TACAACCTTTCGCCACCAAACGTGCTCTGTGACATGCGACATTTCCTTCAGTATCTCGTTTAATTTTGAAGACCCATTTTGATTTCTCTACTGGCTTATTTGACGGTCTATCCACTATTGTCCATGCTTCATTTGTTTGGAAAGCTTCTAGCTCCTTTTTAATAGCTTCTTTCCATTTAGATTTATCGGAGCTTGACAGTGCCTCTTTATATGTGACTGGTTCTGACTCCTCATCTTTATGCATGGCTGAGTAGGTAACAAAATCTGGAAATTCTTTCTGTTTCCTGTTTCGAAGTGGATATCTTCTTTCTTCCAAGTTTCCTTGTAATTGTTGTAAACCGTCTGGCTCTAATGGAACTTCATTTCCTTCATTTTGTACTTGTTCTTCTTCATGGTTTTGTTCATGTGGAATCATTGCTTCATTATGTGAGTCGAGGTAGAAATTTAACGACATTGGAAGAATATCTTTAAGCTGAAATCCTTTCTCACTTTCTTTCTTGTTTGTTATTTCTTCTTCCAGAAATTCTACATCTCTTGCCACAATTATTTGAGACGGATTGCGGGGATCTGATAACCGATAAGCTTTACTTTCCTCACTATATCCCATAAAAATGTACTTCTTGCTCACAGCATCCAGTTTTTGGCGTTTCTGTGATGGTACATGAGCATACGCTGGACATCCGAAAATTTTTATATGGGAGAGATCAATCTTTTTTCCTGTCCATATTTCTTCAGGCAATTGATTCTTTAGTTTCTTGTGAGGTGATCTGTTTAAAAGATATACGGCTGTTTGAGCTGCTTCAGCCCAGTATCTTTTGTTGCAGCCGGAATCATACAACATACATCTTGTTTTTTCCAAAATGCTGCGATTAGCTCTTTCGGCAGTTCCATTTTGTTGTGGGTTATACGGCACAGAGAATTCCCTTTTGATTCCCTTTTGTTTTAACATTTCATTGAATAATTTGCCGCAAAATTCACCACCATTATCGGAACGAACAGTTTTTATTGTCAATCCAGTTTCTGTCTCAATCATTTTCATAAATTCTTTAAAGGCTTCATAGGTGTCACCTTTTTGTTTCAAGAAGCGAATGAAGACTTTTTTACTGTGATCATCCACAATAGTCAAAAAATATTTAGCATTCCCATAAGAGGGCCCAACCAGATCTAAATGCAATAGATCAAGTATTCTTTTTGACCGTTTGTTCTTTGATTGTAGGAAAGGCTTCTTTGTCATTTTGCCTTCCAGACATGGAACACATTTCTTCGACTGATCTTCTTGTTCTTGAAAATCAATGCCACTAGCTAAACCTTTTTTTAGCAACCGCATGCTAATCCTGTTTAAATGCCCCAAACGCCTATGCCACAACAGTTGCTCGTCAACTTGCTGGGTACTTGCAACTTGTTCATTCTTTACAGTATTAATACAAGATTTTTCACATTTGTGATTTTTCTTTTTAGTATTAATCTTATCTTTAGTTGCTGTATTTGCAGATTGGGTCATGTTAACTTTGGTATTTAAACAATAAATCCCATTTTCGGGATATATTTACCGTTCTCACGGTCTTGTCGCTTGCAGATTTCTTATACTTTTTCTTCTACCCTGAAGATGGAGGCGATACGTTCCTCCGAAACGTCGGTTAACACCACATATACACGGTGCCAAATCCCAGAGGACTGCTTTCTTCAGATTTGAACACGTCCACCATAGCCCTGTGAGCCACAGGAGACAAAAAGGGAACCTGGTGCCTGAGGGTATAACTGGGCCACCTTGACACTTTGTCACTGGGGGACACAAATATAGAGACCTGGTCCTGCAGGTTGGGGGCTGGACACAAGGATGATGACTTTTCCCTCTAAAAGTCACTGTTGTGAAATCCAAAGAAGTGAAAACTGGATGGTCTCATTCAGGATGGAATATACAAGCCAGGCAGAATCCTCTAAGGAAGGCTATGGCTCAAAAAGGTCTGATTTGCAGTGGTGGTGGCAGTGGCCGTGATGATGATGATGATGATGATGATGATGAAAACTTAAAAGTTCTGTAACAAAAAAAAACCTTGGAATCCCATCAGATTAAGGGACATCAATTCTATTCTGATTCTGTACCATTGCAGCAATTATGAGAAAAGCCTGAGGAAACAACAGCCAGGTGTGTCATCAAAGTTAGAGCAGTCAGCTCTCTACATATCATCACTGTTTGTCAGTGATGTTGTTTTCTTCAAGAGTGAACAGAATGTCCTGGATCAGATATATTGCAAATTTTACTAAAAGAGAATTCTACTAGTGACGATACTTACAGGCAGTGTCCCATAGTGTTCCCATTATTTTCTCCAGTACATGAAGAATGCTGAATGCCCACTCAGTTGTCACATGCTAGTATCCACAATGATGATCCCTCATAATTCTGTCTATGTATGGAGTTAACCTCAAGAGTAAAGCAACAGCTAAAACTTTGTATTTAGTTGAAAACAGCAACATGTCTCACCTGTTATTCAAGCCATTCTTATTGACCCCTTTATAAATAGGTATTGTGACATGTTGCGCAAAGCCGAGCCCCCCCCCACACCAGCAGTGACGCGGCGGGTGAGTCAGCGCTCCCCTCCCACCCCTCAGCGGTAACGTAACGCTCGCGTAATAGGCGAGTAATCACCCCGCATCCTGGCAGCTACGCGCGGTGACGTCACGAGCGGAGCCGAAGATAGCCGAGCGGAGCCGAGGATAGCCGAGCCCCGTAACCGGGTAACTATGCAAGGCGAATCAACAGCAGTGACGTAACGCGCAGCGCTACGTACCCGTAATCAACTTCCTACTGTAACGTGGCACTCATTACGCAACCGGCAAGCACTGCAGCTATATAAGTAAGCTGCACAGCTGGTACCAGTCAGTTCTAATGTGGCTACCAGAGAGTTCTACTGTAGCAGTCGGCGACTTCAGTTGTACCGTGACAGCCGCCGAGTTATAACGTGGCCATCGCCGAAGATAGTTCCGAGCAAGCCTACGAGAGTGTGTTATCAACAGTTCTCCAGTCAGCCGACTACTGTTGGAGTATAGCAGCCGTCGCGGAAAGAAGATCCGGACGTGTGTGTGATTGTGTAATTGGGAGCGTGTGATACAGTGATACATAGCTCCCCTACTGTAAACGTGTAGACTACTGAAGACAGAGTGAACTGATTTGCGCATAGGGTTATAAAGTGTGAAACCCCGCAACAGTGTTAACAGATTAATGCGATTAGGGTTATAAAGTGTGAAACCCCGCAACTGTGTGATAAGTAATTGTAGCCGTTATTTGTAGATTGTTAAATAAACCAATTAACCATCTCTACGGCGTCTTCGGTAACGTAAACACGTTACAGTATAATAATAGGCTCCTACCAGTGATATGGTAATTTATCCTTCTTCTAAAAGAATTAAGAAATTTCTGGATCTCAGAATGAAGTATTATATAGAGATCAATTTTGCCAGAATGTGTTCAGTTCCTGGTGATTTAAAACCTTTCACGTTCACAATAACAACCTCAAAAGAAGTAGACTTTTGTAATAATGACTTTGCTGCATGTCAACTCTGTCAACCAGTTCACAGCTCTGCGCTCCACAGCAACCGGTGCACTGCCAGCTGTGAGGTGCATACAAATCTTGCTGATGAATCAGCATGCCTGATGACCAATAACGTTTGGAATGAAGGAAAGTTATTAACTCTGTGCTTCATGGCAAGCAGTGCAGTTCATGCATGGGAGTTTATGATTTATCAGCTGTTGGCATCAGTTATCAGCTCCATTAGCCATTTGCTTTCAGTTACAAGTAGTGAGCAGTCTGTTCCACCACGCTGCAGTATGCTTTACAGCAACATGTATTTCTGTATGACACCGATGTGAAATACAGATCTGCTAGAAAGTGTCAGAAAAAATTTTTAAATAAATTTCATGATGAAAGAGTTCCTAGCAGACAAACAATTCATAGTTTGGTGAATAAACTTAGATCAATGAGACTCTCAGTAGACAAGAAATAAAAACATAAGCACTGAGGAAAAGTTAGATGACACAGGAGCTCTAGCTCAAGAGACTGGAGTGTCAAACAATAGTGCCAGAACATAAACAATAAATTCTCTGGCTTTAGTCTGCAAGTTAGCTATAAAGAAATTACTAACAATGTTAATTTGCATATGGATATCTGTGAGTAAGAATGTAATATATGTTCATGCATGTGTAACTTCAGAAATACTTAAAACCCAACATCTGACAACAAGGGCGACACAAGTACATCAGAACTTAAAACCAAGGAGTGATGCTTGTCCCAGTTTGTTTTTGGTTGATGCATGTGTTCATACCATCACTGAAATCCAACATTTTCCTTCAATCTTTTGGAGATCTACAAGAGAATATTATCTCATGGGTGACAATCTTTCTCAGTACTTGGAAGCCCCTCAGCTGTGGCTTATTTAGCTATTACATAAATATGACTTTGGATCTTCTCAGGCTTACAGAACAAGAAATTCTTTGATTTTATTGGACCAAGTCCATGACCATGTTCGCAAAAGCCCACTACTGGATTGTTATCACAACCACAAGTGACAGGTCACTGAGTCTCCTTCATGCATAGTAGTCATACTTTCAAAACACTAAATAGAAATGCATTCTTTATGACATTGTTGACTGAATCTGATATATAAAATTTCTCATATAACAGGTCGTAATTTTGTTGGTAGTGTTGCGTGTTATACACACCCACGAAAATTAATTTTAAAATGCCCGCCCACTAAGATGAGCCTGTGCGCACTGACCATTAAAAACGATGTGACAGTATATCAATTGTGACTTCACTGAGCAATCACTAACTTGCATCGTAACCTTGAGGAGTATGGCAGTTATATATTTATTAGGGCATTCTCAAAATATTTACGACCTATGATGTCATTTCTGCGTTACTATGGTCTTTGTATGACGTCATGCTATGCGAAAGAGAAGAATGAAAACATGTTACAAACACAGCTGACAAAGAACTGCTTACGGTTCACACGGAGCTTCTCCCGCCTCTAAAGGTGTCTGCGTTTCGTGACCTTCCTTTTGCAGTAACGTCCACGACATTATGAATGACCATTTTATAAATGGCAATAATTAAATTCCCTCTATTCTATCAACGTACCGGAATTAACACAAGCAACACACGCACACCCCCTCTTTTAACACATGACTACTACGCATGCGCAGATGTTCCTCATGGTTTCTAAGCAACGCAATCTGCAGCTTCATTGTTCCAGGGCGTTACATTACGGAAATAATGTTTAAAAAAATTTAACACCGGCTGTTGTCCCATTTGGAATAATAACAGAGACATGGAAAGTACTAAAATGATTACATAAAACTAAAACATATGGTCAGTTAAAAGCCTATGAAACTGCAGTACAATAAATAAATTTCAGAGGAAAGAAGTGCTGGAAATCTACGCGAAGGTCGTTTGCAAAAACGTCACAATATGGGTCTCGCAGACCAATGTCAGCAGTAGACGGAAATTAAGAAGCTTACTATTTCAACTATCTTTAAAGAGAGAGAACGAGATGGTTCATGTCATACTTCTTTCCCAATCAGAAATCCCTACAATTCGTGGTTCACAAAGTATAGTCAGTGGACCCCTCACATCTCTCACCAAAACTACAGAAATTCATATCGGCACGTAAACAAATTCAATTTTAACCCGCCATAACTAATGCATTTTTCGGCAGCAGAACCCGGAGTTTCAATACAGTAGATCCTGAGTCAGTTCTCCCTCTTCCGCATAACCTGTTTCCCCAAGACTCACTTTAATGTTATCTACCCATCACCCTGTTGGTCTTCCTACTGATCGCTTTCCAAAATGAATGCATCCGTTGTCTCCTTATCCAAACTACATACCTACTAGATCTTAGCACATGACTCAATTACCCATTCCCCCAAATACCTCCCTTCAGAGATTAATTTGTACAGCAAAAAAAAAATGCCTTCAGCAGTCAGTTATTTTACCAAGTGGCAAAATCTACTCATGTACATTGCTCTCAATTTTCGAAATAAAAATTATAAATTTAGTCAGCCCCAATTTGGATCCTTAAGTCAGTCAAATAAAACGGGGTGTTAGTCCGTTCACGTGCATACGCCATACGGACATTATTAATGTCATCTTTCTCAATGCTGTTGAGTACCACTTGTGATTTCCTTTGGGTGTTGCTGTTTCAAAACGTCGTCCCTTCAGTTTCATCTTCAATTTTGGAAGCAAATCGAAATCACAGGGGCCCAAGTCCAGCGAGTGGGCAGGATGGGAACCGATAACCATGTTGTTAGCTACAAGCTCTGTGGTTTTCAGGGACCTGTGGACAGGCGCGTTGTCATGATGAAGGAGCCAGTTGTGGTTTCGCCAAAGTTCCCGTCTTTTTCGTTACACATTTTCTCTCAAGCAAGTCAAAATGTCACAGTAAAAGTCGGAGTTGACCATAGCATTAGGAGGAACAATTTCACAGTGAACAATCCCCTTCATGTAAAAAAAAAATGAGCATGCTCTTTTTTTAACTCTGGACCTGCCGCACCTTTTTGCTCTTGGTGATTGTGGGCTCTTCCACTGCTAGATCAGAACTGTAAATCCAGCTTTCATCACCCATTATGATCCTAGAGATACAAGTAAAAGTTCGTTCCTCATTAGGCTTCTCTCGTTGCTCAAGACACATGTTTACACACCGCTGCTTATGATCATTTGTCAAGAATCTGGGAACAAACTTCATGGCAAAGCTGAGCATGTTCAAATTTTCTGTTAAGATCTCCTGGCAAACTCCAAAACTCATAGAACAGTGTCTGCAAGGTCACAGATTGTTTGACGACAGTCTTCGTGGATGAGGTCTTGAATTTTGCCAACATTTTCTGTTGTTTTGCTAGGGATTGGTGGCCCTGAACATTTGTCACCTTGAACTGACACTTGACCAGCCTTGAAATGTGAATGCCATTCAAAAACCACTGTACAGCTTATAGAATGTTCTCCAAAAACCTCACAAAGAATTTCAAGGGTTTTGGTAGCAGATTTACCGAGCTTCATGCAAAACTTGATGCAGACTCATTGCTCAATTTTGCCATCCATTGCTGACAAAACAAAACACGAAGTCGAAAAAGCACTTGTGTAAAAACTACATGTTCACGGCACAGTGTCAAGAGGCAGACTGATACTATAGGCTTGCAAAGTGTGACCTTGGCCTCCCCTCTCATCTTCTTTCATCGAGGCAGTTACGACGACGACGACGATGACGAGTTCAGGAACTTTCCAAGTATTATGCAACTGAACCAACATATTCCAGTCTCTCACATCACTGATATGTGTTGGTTCATTCCTGGCTCATGTTCCAGAAGTAGTCAGTTGTTTGAGGTGAATACTGCAACAGTGTTCTAAAATACGTTATGATCCCTTCCTTTCCTCTTAATTTTGAATTTATACTGCATAACTGCTGTTTGATACAAAATAATTTCTGCAGTTGCTAGAGTTGAAATAATGTACAAACCAAACAGAAAAACATCCCACCCGCATTTTGTATATTCTTGTGTGGAACTGATTTCTAAGGGAATGTGGTGTCTTTCAGGGACAATTTTGTCATTTACAAAATACAGATGCTTACAATCTGGACTTCAGTTCAAGATAAAGTTATGCTTAACTACCATGCCATGAAGGCATATTTAAATAATTGAATAGAATATACTATACACATACACAGACATGCTTCATTCTGTGCTGAATAAACAGATAGTGTGTTTAAAATTCCCAAATTTATATGGTTTACATGCCTGCTGCACACATGCACTACATTTCAAGTACCCATAGCTATGAAACTGCTAACAACAGGACCCATGTTGATGTAACACTATTTGCTAATTCCAGCTACACAAAAACATGTAACATTTGATCTCCATCTGTGTATATAGGTTTCAGAGCTGAAAATATTGAGCATTTCGTGAAGGGATCAACCTGTATGTTACGTGCCCCAAATCAAAACAACATAATGTTAAATTACCAAACAAGTCAATCCTTAAAAGAAATATTGGGGCAGATTCCTCTCCTTTCTAAATAAACAATATGACAGCCTGCCATAAAATATTGCCTATTGTTATTACTTCATACAATATACTACAAAGGTAAATTACAGGGTGGGGCGCAGAAACTACCTCTTTGTGTAGATGCATTGTGAAGGGAGGAGAGGTCGCAGAAAAGTGGGGATAGGCTCGGCGAACGCAGCAGTCGCGGAAGTTTCTGTCTAATAGCCCTCAGTAGGAAACATGAGGTGGACGAGTGAGCAGCGTGCATTTGTTGTCGAAGCCTGTTTTTCGAACAACCCTTCCTACGTGGCGGTGCAGCTTACGTTCCATACTCACTTCGGAATTAAGCCCAGAGGTTCGGTTCCCAACCAGGAATTGACATATCCAATAGTTCAATGCACAGAATTCTTCGCGAACATCTTCATTTCCATCCCTATAAGATGGTTGTTGTGCAGGAATTGTCACCACGTGATTTCCAGAACCGAATAACGGCGTGCGGAACATTATTGGAAACTTTACCCCCTGATGCACTTGTTTTCTTTAGTGATATGGCATATTTTCAACGATCTGGATATGTCAACAAGCAGAATATGTGCTATTGAAGTGGTAACAATCCAAGTGAGCTCCATGAGAGGCCACTTCACAGTGATAAGGTGACAGTATGGTGTGCGTTGTCGAGAGTTGGAGTTATTGGCCCTTATTTTTTTGAAGAAGGCAATCATGCAGTTACTGTCAATTCACAGTGGTATGTGGACATGATTAAAAACTTTTTCGAACCAGCTCTTGAAGAAATGCATCTAGGAAATGTCTGGTTCCAACAGGATGGTGCCACGGCCCACAAAGCCCGAGCTTCGACGACAGTTTTAGGGGTAAAGTTCCCCGGACGGCTCATCTCGCTTCGAGGTGACATCCCGTGGGCAGCGCACTCACCTGATCTAACGCCCTGTGATTTTTTTATTATGGGGATACCTCAAGGCAGAGGTTTTTAAACATCGCCCCACAAACCTGCTTCAGCTGAAGAATGTTATTCGGCAGGAACTAGCCCAAATTCCGGTGCACATGTTGGAACGTGCAGAGGGGAACTTCAGAAAACGGTTGCATCAGTGCTTAGAGAACGGTGGCACCACCTTCAAGATATTTGTTTAAAACTACATGATTTAAAACTTTAAAGTACGTTCTTCCATTAGCTAAACATAAATTCTGTCTATCAGCAATAATTTTTCTTTTATTCACCTTCAACAAAAGGAAGTCTCTGCGCCCCACCCTGTACGAAATATATAGTCAGAACATCGCTTTGGACAGAGTTCTTCTCCAAGTACTCTGCATTTCTCAATATTTATAGCTGCACTAAATTAAGGCACAAAGCAGCCTCCGTAGTCTAAGGGAAACGTTCCCACCTCGTGACTCAAGATACGCGGGATCAAACCCGGCGGAGGTCGTGGAATTTTTAAGAAGGGCAGAAAAATTCAGGGAACAAGTCCTCCGGTAGGAACTTTAAGCCGTGGGTGCCGTGTCGTAGCTTTACGGCACGTAAAATAACCTCATTTCCCAAGGGGACCACTAAGCCAAATTCAGGACATTTCCCGCCCAACAGTAGTCTCTAACCCTCTGGTATATGGGGGAAGCATCAAGATACAGCTGAGCCAGTAGAGGCCGAACTCGCTGACTGAGTCGGAACTGATGGTACGCACCAGTACTGGTAGGGAATAGAGACTGGTAGAATATCATAGGGGGACGTACAATGGACCAACAGTTGTTCTAAGTCCTTGGGGAAACCCACCCTCTCCAATACAATACAATACAAATTATGGCACATATTCCCACTCTGTAGAAGTCCTTGTCATTCAGGGACTGTCTCAGTCTTTATTTGCAGTGATGTTCCTGTATCCTTCCTTTAAAGGACCAAAACATAATAAGTCTGACAGAACAAAGAAATGTGGGGCATCACAGTCCATCCAAATCATACACTGGATTGAGTGACGCTTATGTGGGACCTAACCTGGTCACGTTGGAGCAATACTTACGTGGTGCAATCCAAAAGTTCCTGAAATACATTAATAAAAACTATTACATCTTACCTAGATCTTATTCTGCAACATCACCTTCAAAGTAGTCCCCCTGGGAGCGCATACACCGATCCCAGCGTTTCTGCCACTTTTCAAATGCATCCTGGAAGTCTTTCTTTGTTAGGGTGTTTAGTACCGTCTGTGTTTCCGCTTGAATTTCCTCAACTGTATCAAATCTTCGCCCCTTCAACTTGATTTTCATCTTGGGGAAGAGAAAGAAGTCACATGGAGCTAAGTCTGGCGAGTGCGGNGTGGGTGGGGAACAACTGCCATCTTGTTTTTAGCCAAAAATTCCTGCACAATGTAAGCCGTATGCGGTCGTGCGTTGTCATGGTGGAGTACCCAGTCGTTCGTGCACCACTTCTCTGGACGTTTTCTCCTCATGTCCTCCCTCAAACGCCTTAGAACATCGCGATAGAACTCTCTATTGACTGTCTGACCAGGAGGGACGAACTCCTTATGAACAATCACGTCAATATAAAAAAAAACAGAGCGACATGGACTTAATGTTGCTCTTGACTTGTCGAGCTTTTTATGGCCGAGGTGAAGAAGGGCCATAAACCCAACTTTCGTCACCAGTGACAACCTTCGAAAGAAAGTCTGGATCCTCTTGAAGCTGTTGTTGAAGTTCCCTGCAGACTTCCAAGCGATGCTGCTTCTGTTCATTTTGCAGCAGTTGTGGCACAAACTTCGCCGCAATCCTCCTCAGGTTCGGTTCCTCGAAAAAAAAAATTCATTGACATGTACCATAATTTAGTCCCAAGGTGTTACAGAGATCTTGGATGGTCAGTCTACGATCTTGCAGAATCAGATCCCTAACTTTCGCGACATTTTCTGGTGTTTTGCCCATTGACGGCCGTCCCGAATGATCGTCATCATCAGTCAATGTTGGGCCATTTTTAAAACGCTTATACCAGTTGTAAGTTTGTGTCTGGCCTGAACTGTTTTCACCAAAAGCTTGCTTCAACATTTGGTGCGTTTCTGCAGCGGTTTTCCCAAGTTTAAGACAAAACTTTATACAGACACGCTGCTCTCTCAGGTCAGCCATCGCAAAACCACAAACTCACAGAAACACAACAATGGAAATACATTCACCAACAATAAACCCAACCACTCAACTCGGCGCCGCTTGCCACACTGATTCAAGAAGGATGTGTGAGGAGACACCTAGCGGTATTTCAATGTACTCATAACCATTCGCATGCAAAATTCAAATTTTGGAAACTTTTGGATTGCCCCACATATATTTCTCTTGCAGAGTGAACTCAATAAATGTGCACTTTAAATTTTCTAATGTGTCAGCAGTGATATGTGGTCACTGTGGTCCATGACTGCAAGACATTCCCAGGAATTATATCTTCCTGATTAAGGACAAAATTATGGCCTTCACTTTCAGAAACAGTCACTACTAATCTCTTGCTCTATTATGATTAGGGACCGGATTTTTATGCCCTAATAATCCCTTAAATATGTGTGCATTTATGCAATAAAAACTTCCGAAATATGCATTAAAATATGCACATAAAAATTTATACCAAATATTAAAATTGATTTTACATTATTTTAAGACTAACAAATCAATATTTAAGTTCATTTTATGTAATCACTGAATGATTCATTTGCAATAAAAAGCTATACTTAAATACAAATCATGCAACAAAGCCAACATATTTCATTACAAATTTAAAAAAAAAACCAATGGTACTCACATTTAGCTCTCCGAACTTTCAACTTCTCTTCTGTTGCAGTTCACAATTACTAAATGTTCTAGGTTTTCCATAGTTAGTCGCCTCCTATTGTCTCGTAAGATGTCCTTATAGCGGGAAAAACTTCTTTCCACCTCACAGGAACTTAGGGGCGCATGTACAAAAGCCTATATTTGCTCCACTGTTAGTGATATTTTACTTTGCAGTTCAGTACGTTTACCGGCTAAAGTTTCTTCAATTTCACAAATTTGTTCATATCCTGGATTTTTTTAAAGAATGCTGTGTACTTTTTCCTTTACTACCTCACCGACTCTTCCAGGAACCGAATTCAATTTGGAAACAGTGGTTTTGAACAAACTTAACGACTGATACAAAGCAGTATTGCTGTTGCTTGCCTCCAGTGAGGAAATGGCGGATGGAAGATGAGGGAAGTGAGCAGATATATAGGAAAGATTAGTTTCTAGTTCTGCGTTTTTTAGTACATCTTGGGCAATTTGAATTGATGCTGCACTTTTGGGATCAAATGTATTCACGACATTCCTAACTGTTTCTAAATGTTCGGTATAATAACTCGCTGCACACAGCCACGTGCCCCAGCGCGTTAAAATTGGTTCTGGCGGAAGTGGAACGCTCGGTGCTACTGCTTTAAAGGCTTCTTTTCTGTATGGCGCTTTAACAAATACCTTCTTCACAGAAGACACCAACTTGTCAACAAGAGGAAAATTTGCACGAATTGTTTCTGCAACACGGTGCAACCCATGGGCAAGGCAAGTCAAATGTGTCATGTTTGGAAATATAACTTTAAGAGCAGTACCGGCTTTCATCATATAACTTGCGGCATCAGTCACAAAGAGCAATACGCGCTCATATTGAATGCCATTCGGCCATAGTAAATTCATGGAATTGACAAAAAATCCGGAAACTGTGGAGCTATTTGTGGTTTCAAATTGCTCTACCGCAAGAAGATATGGGGTAGATTGTTTATTCTTATTAAGGGATCCAACTATACAATTTGCAATAAACCGTCCCTCACAATCTTGTGTTTCGTCGATTGATACCCACACAAAATTATCTTGAATCTTATCTCTAATGCTTTCAATTGTAAGATCGTAACACTGTTTCACGTAATTTTTGCACACAGTCGATTCATCTGGCACTTTGCACTGTGTATACTTCTCTATGAAATTTCTCAGCGTAGGATTGGTTAGTTTCCACAGCGGAAAATCTGCCACTAAAAATGCTTCGCATAAATCAAAGGAAAACTGTGAAAAACTATTATTAGAAAATTCACTAAGCAATTTTTGAACAGGAGCACTTTTCGTGGATTTAATTTTAATATTCTCTTTGTGTATATTAGTGTTCAAATGCTGAAGCACTTGAAAGCGTTTTTCACAACCATTTTCTCACACGCTCGGCAATAAAGAATTTCGTTATCCGTACTTATCATCTCTCCTTCGAACTTCCGCTGATACATCTGTAATTTAGTTCTCTGACTTACTTTCACTTTTGGCATGACTACAGAACGCTAAACGAACTTAACTACACACTAGTCACCACTAATGTGAATGGCCCCAGCTTCAAATGAAGAAGTGTAACGAACCTCATGGAGACTTCGGAAATAAATAAGTGAAGTCTCTTATCGGTTGAATAGTATTACGTTGATAGCGGCTACATGTGAACGCTTCCGACTAATCTCTTCGCGGCCACTTTGATGATACGCGGATGAGGCAAGTTACGAGTACAGGAATCGAGGAAGTCCCGTCCTGGGTATCGCATCAGAAACATGAATCATGATGAAATGTTGAGTCAAATATGCAACATATTCTAACGCGGAAAAGAAAAATTGTATACACACGACCATAATTAAAAACATAAAATTAAAAAATATATGATAAACATTTTAAAAGGGAAATATGCAGTATAAATAAAGATCTTCGAAAATATGATTCTTATTCATAAAACATGCAAAATATGCATTTATATGCACCATCAAATCATGTCCAAAATTTAAGAAATTAAGTAATTCATACATATATCCAAACGAGCATACTTTCTGGTTGCAAGAAAGAAATATGCATTTGCATTAAAATCCGGTCCCTAATTATGATGCAGACAGTGTGGCCTTTCTTACACTTGGGTATGTGATTCATGTCCATTACATGGAACTAATGTTCAAGGGGCAATGAAAAAAATATAACATAAATTGTCCAAGGCTGAAGGAATTCATGAGTGTACTGTCAACAAAAAAAATCATGGTATCACATTTTTGGAATGAACCTACCTACACCACAAATGTCACATAAAGTTCCTTCAGAGTCAAGCAAATTTTGTGTTCAGATCTGCCTGTGAATAATAGTTTATGTTGGATTTAGTTTAACTTGTCCAAGGTTCCCTTGGATGTGACAACAGAACATAAAAGGATAACAGTTACTGATAAATAATGCCCAATATTTAATGTCAAATACATATCTTATTTAAAAGAAAATAACTGATGAAATGGCAAGACTAAATTACTTCCATTCAGTCTCAAACATTACAGGCAACAGTAAATGACACAATAATTGCTGAACATCAATGTAACAGATCACACACTATTGTAAATCAACAAAGGAGGGAATTCACGTGTTTAATTCAAAACAATACTAATATAATATTCCTATAATTCTTAAACACATCTCTTTGTAACTGAATGTTACACTACTGAATAGTGCATCCATTTGAAACAAGAAAATTCTATTAAAAATGAGATCACATCCTCGTTATCCTTGCATACAAATCATTCTACAAACAGTATTCATGTACTTCCATTTTAGTATTGTCTAAATATGCTATATTTACTGGCATTCACAAACAAAAATTCATACTTTCTTTTTTAAATTCCAATGGATAAGACACCCTAGCATAATTTCACACCTTGCAATGTTTGAAAACACATACTTTGAATATTATTCAACAGTTTTAAATATACAGCCTTAACAAAGGACCAAAAATAATATTCATAATTTCAAAGTTATGTCACTGCTTTATGATTTTAGCCAAATTGAACACCAAAACTCAAATATTTTACCATTACAAAATTCCATCATGGTGTTGCTAATGTGGGCACTGCCAAGTGAGCTTAAAATCATGCACAGGAACAAAATACTTGTATATATTGAGGCTAGCAATTATTAAATCAAAGTGAAGCAAAACTTCGTTATGTGGCAGTGAAGAATATCTATAGATTGGAATTGAATTCTAAAATTCCTACATGTTTTGGAAACTTCAAAAACAAAGTGAATTATATCATGTGGTTCATGTGACAGATCTTTCAAAACCTAACTAACATGGATGTTATCAACCTTAAACACTCTCAACAAGATAACAGTAAGTAACTCAGGTGGAGCTCAAGTAACAGGAGGACATCATTTTGAGCTCCACATGAGACAATATATTCACCTTCATCATAACATGCCAATGCAGATACAGACCTAAATAGCTTAATTTATTGTTTATACAAACATTTATTCTTGGATGTCATTTTCAAAATCTGCCATCAAAACCAGGCCCCATAAAATAGGACTTTTCTTCAACGTGGGAAATGAAAAACCAGGTAATAATATAAGAAGTCTGAATATTAGGAACCTTCAAAACACAGGTACAATTTATATACACTATGCATTTTTACACTGTACAGTTACAGACTCTAGAAGTTCCAATTTCTTGAATTAATATTTGCATTAATTTTACACACACTGAAAGCTAAAGAGAAAGCATGTTTGTGTGTGCAAACTTGACCATATTCGTCTGTTTCTCACATTTAACAGTGAGCTTGAATAAATGGAAACATCAACCATGTGAACAGGAATGCATGTGCTGGAAACTGTCATGATACCCAACAGTCCAATATCATATGAAGGGGATCAAGCAATTGCTTTTGCCTCTGGGAGAAATGCCTCCCAGTACTTGATTAGCTGAAACAGAGATAGATATACATGTAATACGGTTAAAGAGAAGAATGTGGAAATATATTTTTTCCTAACACTGCAATCAAGTAATAACTCTAGGATGTTACATCAGGGGTGAGGGACATATATTTAAAAATCAACAGAAACTACATCTACTACAGATTCACAAACAAGCTGCACTTTTCAAATGCAGTGTTAGTTCCTATATCATTAATCTTTCTTCAACTATATTTTTTCAAAGAAACATTTGAACCTGTAAACTTCTTTTACATATGATTCTGCCTAAAGCCATAACCTCTGATTTTTCTGGATTCAATATTTCTCACAAGAGCAAACCCACTTCTAAGGTACAATGCCCATAGGAGAGAATTCTGTTTATTCATGATGACAAGGTGGTGATGAAAGCCATAAGAGTGAACCTACAGCTTAATATGGAATCTGAACTGTGGTGGGAGGGGTTGAAAGCACCACTATGAACAAGTTCTCAATGCCATGACAAAGATTTGACATACAGTCATATCCATAAGAATTTTAAAGGTAAAAGTTATGTTACATAAAACATAACATATCACGAAGGCACATGGGCCACAAAGTTAAGTTATGACCACTCTTAATCTTGGTACTGCTTGGTAAGTGGTCAGCTTCACACTATGGCTGCCTGTAACCCACCCCAAAGTTCAGGTTCTATATTAAACTGTACATTGCCTCTTCTGGTCATCACTGTCATCAACATCAACCTTCATCAACACCAACCTAACATCCGAGCAAAGAGAATTCTGCCCTGTGAGCATTTGTACCTTAGAAATGGATCCATCCATAATACTGCCTGTTTCTTCTGCCCTAGTAAAGCAATATAAAGTTTATGTTGCTATAAACAGCTAGTCTGGCTTTATAAAGCATTCAACTGGACCAGTGTTTAGAAGCAAAGAACAAAAACTTGTTCTGATGGGTAAAAATCATGGAAGTATATAGGCTGGGTTGTGAGTGAAACTGATAAGTTGCAGGTCTGTTTTAGATTTTGGACTTTCATGGTGGTACAATGCTAATGTGCTGCTCTTTCTGTTTGATGGCGCTGTGTAGATTTAGGACATCTGTCAATGTTAGAATGATCCATCTTCAAGAAAAAATGGATTTGCCTTGAAGCTGGAGATGGTAAGGATCTCTGAAACATTGACAATATAGCCTACATCTGTATGGTTCCATTATCCAGAAAAAGGGTCCAGATTACAATTCAGTTTGTAAAGTAATACCATATCTGCAATCGACTGTACAGGTTATGTATTCACATTTCTTCACATAACAAAAAATTACCAGGTTCATGGTAAGTTCAAAAATGTCTGCATCAATAATGTGTTTGTATGGTGGTTGTACATAAAAATTTAGTCAGTACTGTACTGAAGGGATTTGCATTACCCTGCTATATGCTGCAGTGCTGTTGTCATATGGATAACAACATGATTACTCACATGCTTTATATGCACTTCATGGTAAATAAGAAATTTCAGAAAAAAGAAATAAATGCTGTATTTTTACCCTTAATAACATTTTGACCAAGGCGTAGTTTTTTTTTACATGATCAAACTTCAATATGGCATCACAGTCTGGGAAACTTTCACTATCTTTTTCATGAAAGTTATGCATTTAACAAAATGGTATCAATGGACATCTTCATCTAAGAAACCACATGATGGAGTCCATAAGCACAGATGTCTACACCATTTTACCACATAACATTCAAATTTAATCATATTTCTTGTGAAAACTGTGCATTCAATGACATTTTATTAAGAGGAATTTTTGTCTCATGTTCAAAGAATCATACTGTGGAGTCCAGAGAATACTATATTCTTAATCTTAATAAAATTTCAAATGACACACATTTTTTCACAGAAAATATGATTACTGTTAAACACATTATGGCAGCATTGTCAAAGGAACTTTTATTTGCATTTCCCACAAAAATTACTCATCAGCCAAACTTTCATCAAAGAGCTGTTTTGTCTCAATGTTCATCAAAGAACTGTGCAATGTAGTCTCCAGACATGAACATTCATACTGTGTTGTCACACTGTATTCAAATTTAATCACATTTTTAGCGAAAATATGCCTCAGTCAATATTTTATCAGTGATCATTTCTGTCTCAGCAATCAGTCACATCATGGAGTCTATAGGCACAGATACCCAGATCATGTTGCCACATCAGACAACTGTTTTCTCTTCGGTCTAGTAAGTAAAATTATGCAGTCATACCATAGCTCAGGCAGTTAGTCACTGGCTTCCCACCACAGCTGCCCAGGTTTGAGCCCAGGTCAGGTCATGTGAGATTTGTGGTGGATAAAGAGGCACTGGGCAGGTTTTCTCCAAGTACTTCGGTTTCCCCTGCCAAATCTCATTCCACCAACTGCTACACATTCATCATCATCTATCATATGGGGGCCAGTACAATAGGCCAATTAGTGGCTGATGTATCAAGTGGACTCAGTCTCACCCCACCCTAAGGGGGAAAAAAAAAAAAAAAAAAAAAAAAATTATATTCTGAAAAGGCAGTAATCACACTATAACTCAAACTGGAATTTCTGGGTAACAATGTGAATAAATTACACAAGTAAATACAGATTTATTTTTTCTGAAAAGAAAAAGTCTATATAGATCACCATGCACCTCTTACCTGCTGCTGATGGGTCATCAGATTCTCCAGGTATTGGATTATAATGGCTTTGAAATCCTTCACTCTGTTCACTTCAAACCGCTCCATTTCTTTCTTTATCATCTTTGAAATATTGTCAAACTCTTCTTGACCACGATCTACTTTGGCCTCCCACTGGAATGGAACAGTTATATACACAAAATGTGGAAATACTTGTGTTTTTAGGCATTTTGTATGAGAGGCAAAGAACACTTCCTACAGAGAGGACCTCTTTACACATATCCATGTTGCATTTAATAGTTCTGTCTTTTCTGCAAATTAACATAAAGTCAGAGTGCTCTATGACACTCATGCTGGACACAGATGTCGGGGGGGAACCTTACCATAGCTCTAATAAATAAAAAAAAATACAATAATCTCCACATCAGTAGCTGGTTCATATTCAAACAACCACATGAAGATTAAAATAAAGGGACTGTGACCAAAAATGATATTTTTAACACAATTCTTCATGTTCTCAACTACGCATACATTGGACTATATACAATGCCAAATGGCTTCTAAATGATTTACACTTATACAACAAAAACTGTAATTCTTATTTTTATTACTAGGTAGAATGATTTCTCTTTAATACTTATCATTCCTTGCCTCCTCAACTATAACTATATTCTTTTTATACTAATATTACTATTCCTTGCTCTTCTTACTTTAAAACTATACTGTATTACATTTAAATCAGTCCTAATAACTATGCTTTGAAAACAAAGGATACTTTACTCATTACAGTAAATTACTAACTGACTAATTTTTTTATCATTCCTTCTAAGTCATTCTAGCAGAAGCAACAAATACACATTTTACTGTATGTATAACAAGAACTGAAACCAATCAAAAATTGAAAATATTAATCTGGGAATAATTTTTATTACATTTACTTCCAGAAAAGGACACTGTTCACTATAAAAATATTGTTGCATGAGCAACTGGAGGTGGGGGAATTTGAATGCACCACTATTTTCAAACAATGTGGCCAAGCCAGAAGACTCACTGTCTGAGCCAACTCGATCAGTATTATGAAAAAGTTAATAGTTCCGTCCAGTGTGACGGGTTAAGATTTCTTTTTTCAATTATTCATGCCCTTGCATGTTTCGGCCTTCAGACACCATCTTCAGAGGGACAACAAAACATGTAAGAGCATGAATAATTGAAATAAGAAAAAAAGAATTTAACCAGTCACACTGGATGGAACTATTTAACTTTTTCACAATATTATTAGTGTGACAGACCAGAATGGAACAAATCAAATTGCTCAGTATATTTTCACAGCTGCTACAGTAAAAGTTTTCTTTTCTTAAACCTTACACATCCCTTTTCTTCTAATTATCTCTCATCTAGGGGTAGAGTGCTTCTTTCTGTTTAATACTTGTGCACTTCCCTTTAATATCATTATCATTTAACTTGAATACTTCAATGTTGCCCTCTTTGTTCCAGTACAACTTCTGTTTTGCATTAACTCTAAGATCTGCTATCAGTAACAGATAATCTCTTTCCATGCCTATACTTCGTAACACTTTTATCTTATTTAAATCTTTCCACAAGTTCCTGTTATTATTATATAGTCTATGAAGTACTAACAACACTGCACCTTTTAGCATGTGTCTCACTTTACAGCAAAGTGACACATATACAGTAAAACTTGGTTATAGCAACATCGGTTTCTGCGACACCTTGTCTATTGCGTCAAATATTCAATGGTACGAACTAATTCCTCATAAAGCAACTGTTTTTATACCTTGCTTAGTACGACATGCACAAATGCATCAACCTCGTATGTAACGTCATTTTCATTCCTGAATTTCTCTGATATCGTGGGAAAGTTCGATGTGTCTGCCCACCCTCACTTTCTCTACTTGCTGACGTGACTGTCCTGGAAGAATACGACCGCGGGCTGCAAGAGGAGCGTGGGTTTTATGCGAAAACAAGGGCGTGGGGTGGGACTGCGTGAATAGTGCAAGAGGACGCGGCAGGTTGTTAACTGCATTCCTTTCCTAGTATCTCGTCTAACAGGACCTCACATTGTCTACTTACCTTATAGTGTTCCTGCCTAAACCCAGAGAAGTGCAGTAGCGAAAACATGGCAATGAAAAGGAAAGTTTTAAGCACTGAAGAGAAAGTTAAAGTGATTCGTGAAATATTGTGTGTACTGTCAGTGAAAAGCGCTGTAATATGTCTTTGATATTACACATTTGGGCAATTCCACGTCAATGTTACTTTAGTCTGTACTTAACTACGTATTTCACTAAAAAATGCAACATTTTAACTCAGTTTTTGGTAGATTTTTATGTCACTAACATAAGGCTACTGTGGAAGTGCCCATTTCGGTTACAACGACATTTGTTTATAACGACACTATTTTTAGGTCCCTTTTATGACGTTATAACCAAGTTCTACTGTATTACTAAAGTCTGAAATTCTCTTTAATTTGCAACAGGAATTTTATATCCTTCAGCCGATATCTTACCTAACCACAGTCCAAACTGATCAAATGGTAAACATATCAGCTCTGCAAAGAGCCCACACACATTCTAGTAATCTTGCTTTTATTTGCTATGCTATGTCCTATGTCTCCGGTGTGTGTGTGTTGTGAGGGGGGCAGTTGTGATAGGCTGGCCAAAAGAGCTAAATATCATCTCACTAACCTATGTCCAACTTCCTGGTCCAGTTACCAGTTACATCACCAGAATAAATACACTGCAAGAAAACCAAACACCTGTTCCCAAAAAGAAAATAATACTGGCGTATATGAACATGAGTAATGTTCCTATGTTCCTTGAATACAAGGAACCCGGGGTGCTACAGTGGAATGAAAATCAGATCCCCGTAAATAAAGGAAAGGGGGAGGAGACAACTTCAAGTATTAGAAATATCAAATTACAAAAGTAACCAATAAAGATGGGGAAAATTACTCTGCCAACTGATAATTAGTGGATGAACATATCAATTATTATGTTTATATACTGACTAATTTACTATGATGCTATGATAATTTTTTCTTTTAATTCAAAGAAACGCTTACTTCAACAACTTCCACGCTGGCTTGGTTGCCCTTGTCTGGTTTGCCTGACAGTTCAAGCTTTGCTTTCTGTTCTCTTCGTTTGTTCAGCATCTGTTGTGAGTGTTGCCAATTTTGGTACACCTTTACTCGTTCATGGAATACTTCCTGAAATTACATCATATTTAGGACACAAACCTATAGAGAATACTATTCTTCAACCCTGAAGATGGAGCTAACACATCCCTCTGAAATGCTGCTCTCTCTGAACAACATACCATTATGACCCACAAGGTAGTACTCTCCCCCTCACCCCTCTCTCATGCACACATGCGCGCGTATGCAAGCACGCACACACAGCACCATATTTGATTTAATTATAATAAGCCCTCCACAACAAATATATCTGATATATCTGAAACAGACACCCTAGCTGCTCCCCTCTTCCCTATACCAACATGATATCTGACATGGAAATGCAATTCAGATTGTTTTCCAACAAGACACAGGCCCCTTCTCATTTCAGTCTTCAGGTCTGCTGTGCTCTGAATGCTGTTTCTTAATCAGGAGTTGGAACATGTGGACCAATCACCTGGCCTTCCAGAAATCCATCTCTCACACCAATGAATTCCTTTATCTGTAGATGTGCAATAACACTGACTATGCTGAGCAAATCAATAACTTCTGACACTTTTAAGATTCCCCAGTACTGTGGAACAAGTATACTTCATATGCTTTGCAATACCTTGGTCAAAACTGAATAGCAATAGGATATATGAGGGCTACAAATGACAAATGAACTTTGATTGAAGGTTACAGGCATGGCACACAAAACAAACTGTCTGAAGAGCTCTGTCTTCTGGGATATAATGCCATGTAGTCTGAAGAAGTCAATTGAACATATTGTGACATATCTGCGCTATGCAGGACACCCCCACTCCAGCAGTGATCTAACAGCATCGGAGCAACTGCCGCTGCTACAGTAACAGGCCAGTCAACATTCCGTCCCCCTCCCCCGCAGTGACGTAACAGGGTACACCGCGGTTACTACACAGCCATAACCAACTCTCGGCAGCATTCCCCAGCAACGCCTGTACTCATAAACATGGCGTCACACAACAGGGGAGCCCATGCAACAACTGTTGCTAGGCAATCGATAAACACAATGTTACACAACAGTGGTACCTATCACGTTACTGTTTTCTGCGTTGTCCATGCCGAGCCTAAATAAGGAGCAGCGAACACTATTCAGTAGTGAGTGAGTGGTGAGTTACTAGATAGAGAGAGTAACCAGACAGTTGCAGTCTAGCATTTGCCGAAGTGAATGACTACAGGAGAAGTATTTGTGACGCTGCCGATAGCAGTAGCTGGGAAATTGTGTAATTGTGTAATTGTGAGAGTGAGTGCAATAAATTCGCTATATCCAATACGGCGTGACATATACCCAACGTGTGACCATATCATACCCATCTTCATGGTAGAAGAGTAAGCCAAGGAAGAAACCAGCATTAAGCAGGCTTGCTGTCTGCTTCATGTTGGTTTCTTCCTTGGCTTACTCTTCCACTCTGCATATGGGTGTATGTTCCTCTGAAACACTGGTCGACTTTCACTATACTACAAGGTGTGATGTCCACAAAGACACAACTCTTCATAGTCACTGCTTTAAGAATCTCAAATCCAATAAACTGTCTCCTGTTTTATATTTCAAGTCAACTTACTATTTCACATGCATTACCTTAATGGCACCAATGAGTGCAATATAGTCCTTCAGAAGTTCACACAAAACAGAGAAATCTGCATTGGCTTGCTCATTATGAAGTGCCTCCACCTGCAAAATACAAATTACACTACAATGGCAGCAATATTTGCTATTACAGTTGTAAGAAATTTTAGCATGTGAATCTCATTTCCTTTATGCATCACCACTACCAACCCATTTAATACAATCATACCGTTTTTCAGTGCTATACAAAACAAATCGTCACAGTTGGGTAAAAAAGTTTTTTTGTTTGTACATACATCTATTTCAAAATGATTACTGTCAATTGCACGGTAATTCAAGAACTGGAACGTCAATCAATAATTTGAACATAAAGGATCTTCAGATGGAATCTGTCTTCATGTTTAGACCACTCAAAAAGTACTAAAAGGCTGTAGATTTGGGTCAAATACATCAATGCAGCAATGGTGCAGTAGGCTCCACAGTAGGAAGTTCTCTGTGGAAGGAACATATCTGCTGGTGCAGCAATGAGATGCCTGCCTCAAGGCCCATGGAGACTATTTTAAAGGCCTCTACTCCTTCAATGGAAACAATCCTAAAACAGGTTTCATTTGAAGAACCCACATAAATAAATATTTAGAATTTATTTTATTGAAAACGCTAACACCACAACAATTAATAATGTATGTTTGTAGTATCAAGTAGTACTTTACTACATGTTTCGGCTTTCAAGAACACAACAGGATGCATTCACTGAAAAAAAAAATTGTTTAGAATTTAAATTCAATATTTCTACAAACAATATGAAAGCCTTTATGTAGCTCAATACTATCCACTTCATGTCCCCTTACTGTATCCTGTTGTCATGGTAAGCAGGATTTCATTCTCTGCCTCTTGAGTATATTTAGTACACATTTGTACAACTGTTCTGTTAGCAACAGAATGCAAAAGTCAATTCAAAGAGCAATGGGAAGGTGTTGCACTACACAACTAACAGCCTGTCACACAACTAGTGCTGGAAGACACTACAATGCTGCATGTACACTCCCACATGGAAGTGAAGTCTTTTTTGATTATAAAAACAGATTAAATGAGAGATTATTGGCACTGGGAACGAAAACTGTGAGAACTACAGGTACACACTATAAGATAATGAATGAAATTACATTTTAGGTGAATTAAAAATCCAATCAATCACCGAATATATGGAAGGCAACTGAATTGGAAATGACATGTTAGCAGAATGGAAAATAACACATTGAACAGATTATACACTATAGAACTGTAAGAGTGCACATACCTAATATCTGATAGGAGAATGACAATGGCCATGACAGTGATGATAGTGATGACATTACCAGACTTGACCTACAGAGAATGGAGGAAAAGGAAACAGGAGAAGGATTAAGGCAGCTGGCACTGAACAAAATTTGAAGTACTGTAAATACTTTCTGGATGCACACTAAATGGTGCTGAAATGTCTGATCAACAATATTCCGCATATAAGTCTTTTAAAAAATTTGAATAATCATAGTGACAAAGTAAATGCTCTGGTAGGTTATCAAAAAAAAGTCATGTCTTTTTTTAACAAACTAGATTGTAAGCAATTCAGTACTTCTAATCTTACCATTACATATTCCTAGAATTTGGTATTTATTATATCTTGAAGAAAAGCCTAATTCTGTTTGGGGTGAAGGCACCAAATAGTAGATTCCACTGTCAGATCTGTCTCCATCTTCTGGACAAAGTGTAAAGTGACTTCGCAATCATCCCTGTCAATACTCATGTGTACAGGTCCAAAGGCCAGTTTTTCAGTGATTATTGCATGAAATGCCAGTGGAAACTGCTCCACTTGACATTTTATGCAATAATCACTGAAAAACGAGATAACTTTGTGGACCTGTACTGTAATTATTTGCAAGGAGCACTGTGTAGTCATCTAACCCTGAAGATAGCAAATATTAGGATCTCTGAAACATCAGCAAAGCAGCTTACTTCTACAATCCACAATCATCTAGAAACAGGATCCACAGCAGCAGTGACCCACCATGAAAGACTGAAATCTATCGTAACACTTATCAATACCTTCTCTTCTACTTCCGCTAGCTGAGAAAGAGCTCGTGACAGGGAAGTGTGTTCTTCACAGTTACTTAGCATGGCAGCACTTTTAGCAAAAGCTGAAGTAAGAAGTGCCAAATCCTTGCGATGCAAAACTAATGTTTCCACGCTTGCATGTAACTTTCGTAACTGTGTGTCCAGATTCTCTATCTGTTGTGTTTTCTCTTCAAACCACTGAAAACAATATACGCATATGTCAATATCTATTACTGCTTATAATAATTCACAGTTCATTAGTTCAAGTAACATAAAATCACCACTTACCTGTTGCTCCTCATGTGAAAGACAAAGGGAAAGAGATTCTCAATGTAATAAAACAACATGATAATTTTCACATTAAAGAGCTGAAATAAACTGCCTCAACTGTATTAAGGTACCAGAGTACTGAATATATTTATGCCAATATATATACTGTATATACAGAGTATGATTGATAGACTAGTCAAAATTGGAAGGTGCTATGACATGGAAATGAATGTGGAAAAAACAAAAGTAATGAAAATTTCGAGACAAGCAACCCCAGTCACAATAAAGATAGACCAAAAACAACTGGAGAATGCGAAATGTTTTAAATATTTGGGTAGCTTCTTAACAGATGATGGAAGGTGTGCTTGTGAAATTAAATCCAGGATTGCCATGGCAAAAGCTGCATTTACCAAGAAGAAGAATCTTTTTACCAGCAAACTGGACTTAAATTTGAGAAAGAAACTAGTAAAATGCTACATTTGGAGCATAGCTCTGTATGGGGCTGAAACATGGACACTTAGGGCAGTAGATCAGAAACATCTGGAAAGTTTCGAAATGTAGTGTTGGAGAAGGATGGAGAAGTTCAGTTGGACCGATTATGTGAGAAATGAAGAAGTGTTATTTAGAGTCAGTGAGCAGATGAATACCCTACAGGAAATAAGAAAACGGAAGGCTAATTGGATTGGTCATATCTTACGCAGTAACTGCCTTCTAAAAGAAGTTATTGAAGGAAAGATAGAGGGGCGGATAGACGTGACCAGAAGACGAGGAAGAAGATGTAAGAAGATGCTGGATGACCTTGGGGACAGAAGAGGATACTGTCATTTGAAGGAGAAAGCTCTAGATCGCATTAAGAGGAGGAACTGTTTTGGAAGTGATTGTGGACCTGTCATCTTGACAGATTACTGATGAATGAATATATACTGTATCACAATACTCTAAATACTGTTTCTGACACCTGATGCAGAAGAGAAAATTATTCATGGCCTAAGATACTGTAATGTACATCCACACCTATTTATAGGATATCACAATCATGGACTACAGACAATGACTGCAGTGAATATGTCAAGATGAAGTATAATGGCTATAAAACTGAGACTTATTACTTGACTCAGAACAAATTTGGTGTTTTAATTAAAGATTCTGTAAAAAGGTCATAACCAAGTACAATAAGTCTGACATATTGTGCCTTTAAAATACACATCTATATGGAATGATACCAGAAAAGAACCAATGAGATTAACATAATTTCACTAGTACTTCCATCTCAAATCTGCAGCTTCTCAGCACCACCATCAGGGGAGCCCTTTAAGAGGACAGATATAAAGGTAAAGCTATCCCTGTAACAGGGCGTGAAGGCCCATAGAGTTGTGAGACTTCAAGGCTCCCACATTTTGTCTCGATGATCAGCTCACAGATGGCGGTAACGTGGTCAGCCTTACGCACTGGCCGCACTTTACGCCCCAGGAAGATTCCTGGTACTCATTTCTGTTAGAGGCTGAATAGATCCCAGGGTCACAGTTCAGCTAGAAGGAATAGGTAAATTGAAAAAAAAAAAAATCCACTTCACTGGGACTTGAACCTGTGACCTTTTGGCTTTAGTATAGTGCCTCAACCAACTATGTTACCACATGCTCCCTGAGATCAAATATATGAAAGAAAATACATATTTTGCTACCTACAGTGGTGTACAATTAATTCACTCTATGAGTGATTAATTCTATAGCATCAGTACTAGGGTTACATAATGTTCAGTGTGGATGTAAAAAGATATGTGGTGAATTAATAAAAACCAGTCATTTGAAGATATTAACTATATAGCACTGAGCAGGTTAGATTAGGGTTAAGACACTAGACTTGTATTCAGGAAGTGCTTAGTCTGAACATCAGCCAAGACACCACTATCCTGAGATTTTTCATGGATTCCCCAAGGCTCTTCTGGCAAATGACCAAAATGCTTCCTTCCAAAATCGTCTGTATTCATAATTTAACTATCATCCTACCCTTTGACACCCTACAGTCTCAATACTGACGACATTGCAACCCCCCCCCAAAATGGAGACAAACGTAATTAAAATTCTTGATCACTTTCGAAACAGGTTTACAGTGGAAAATAAAGGATGGTTCATTTAACTTTTAAAATGAAAGTGTATAAATTAGGCATATGTGGCAGCTTCAAAATTTTCCACATAAGGTAAGAACAGTAAAACTAGCTGAGTGCTTAGTTAAGCACCATGGCATGACAGTGCACATGGTATTGGAAATATAGCTCCACACATTCTTAACCTCAGCACTACATGGAAGTGAGTAGTCAGCTTCACGCCCTGCTCTCTCTGAAGCACTTACACCACTCAAACACATGGGTCCATGAGAGACACTCTTCCCCATACTGTTGTTGGAGTCTGTGGTAAATTTCAGCGGACAGGACATTTTCTCCGAGGAATTTGATCACAATGCGTTGTTCCACACTCCCCTGTACCTTCTGTTCACCCATCACTCTAGCAACTCCCAGACAGGACTGAACAGGTTCTAACCCTAACAGGAGGGAGGGTGAAGGTTGTGGTGTCACTCTCTCAAAGTCGCACAGCTGCTGCGCAGTGTGGCTTGTTTACACACAAATCAGTCCCAGTCATATTTGAACCACCTTGTATATATATATATATATATATAAAACACTTCCAACTTCAAACAGGACTAACCCTGAGATCTTTGAATACAGAGTAAATAAGTTTAAATCAAATGAATTTAATAAGCCATAACTGAGTCAACTCAAACGTGGTTAGAAGCACCCCATTTTGTGCTCCAATGTCTATATATCCAATTAAGCTTCTGCCAAATTCTGGTAAAATTAAACATAGAATTCATTATGTAACTGGGGATATAAAGCAGATATGAATTGGAATCCAGATCTGCATAATTAATGTAACACCCGAAGGGGCCAGGGAAATCTGGAATCACTTTATTTCTAAAAATTGCAAATGTAATTTTTCTTCTCATTATTCATAATGTCTTAAACGTTTTAGTTCATAACTTATGAATATAGAATGTATGACTAGACAAAAGAAAATCATGGCTCCTATCTTACTTAAACAGCTGGGATAGCTCAGTCAGAAAATAAGCTACAAGCTTGACGACTAGAATTCAATTCCCAGCAGGGGTAAGATTATTCTCATCACCACCACATCCAGATCTGCTCTGGGCACTACCCACCTTCCAATCCAATGAGTATCCTGTGCTCCTTTTCAAGTAGAAAGTAGCTGGAGCATAAAACTGATCATTTACAGCAGTGCTAAGCTTAAGAATTTGCAGAGATCATCCACTCCCCTACATATTCTTATGTGCTTAACCGGAAGGAAAACTTTACATTTGCCCCAGCTTCTGTGAGTGTTATATGAGTAGCATCATGGTTTATGTTAAAAAAAAAAAAAGACTTCTACCTGATCTCCTCAAACATTCCATGTCAGTGTATCAAAGAAATAATTTCTAAAGGAACTTGTGTTTATTGTGTTTACAACACACCAGAGAACACAGAAATAGCTGTACTCACTGGATCACTTTCATCCATCTTGTATGTTATTTTGTTTACAGTTTCACCGACTTTATTGAACAGACGCATTACTCCAGCACCACTGAGAGCAGATGTATTGGTTGCTTTGGGTAGTTCCATATCTATACAAAATCATACGAGCATTTACTTTACAACTTTATTTTACATTCACTTTTTGACAATTAACATCATGTAACCACATTATAAATGACCTCTCTTGTACAGCCTTTATTTAAACATTCAGGTGATCAAGAGGTTAGCTGTAGCACTGGAACTCAAACATCTGCCACTGTCTTCACAAAAGCCTTCCACTGGGCTGCTTCCAGAGAGAATTAAAATCTTCACAACCCGTATCTCCAAAACTCCATTTCAATAAGGTTTTTCTATCTATGTGACGTCCCTCAAATGGTCTTTTCCAATGAAGTTTCCAAACCATCATTTTATGTTCTGTTGTCACATACAATCATTCAAATGAAATACTTGCATAACAATCTGTTTTTGTATATACACACACACAACTACCACAGTCAATAAGTTCGTGGAATGTCCACAAAGTGACATTGCAGTGCACTACAGCAGATAGGTTGAAGCAAGATATGATGCCCTGTTGGTTCATCTCTCGTCACAGCAAGAGGCAGTTGTGTGCAAACAGTGTAAGTAGAACTATGACCTCTATTGTGAACTGCAGTTAAATGCAGGTGGCAGAAATCGAAAATTTGGCAGTCTGAACAATGGGCAAACATCAAGTTCTGCCAAAAACTATGCAAATCCCCTAGCGAAACGTTTGGCATAGGAAGAATTGGCTGTTGCTACACGACAACGCCCCTGCACATCGCTCTGTTCTTGTCCTAGAGGAACTGGCAAGGCAACAGGTCACCGTTTTGCCACAGCCTCCGTACTTACCTGATCTCGCACCATGTGATTTCTTTCTCTTTCACCACTTGAAAGCAAAGCTACGTGGTGGTAGATTTCAGTCATACGAGAAAGTCGTCATTGCCACAAGAGATGCCATACGGGAATTTCCTGCCAATATGTTTCAGCTATATCAGCGTTGGCAGACTTGCATAGCGGCCAACAGCAACTATTCTGAAGGTCGATGTGGATCTGTGTAAGTGTATGTAATTGTAATACCTTGTAATATGATGCGATAAAACCACATTCCACGAACTTAATGACTCCACCACGTAGATTTTGGGTATTGTACCTGTTCTTATTATCCAGCTTTCTAAGAAAGCATGCACGCACACTCTTACACTTACCAACACCAAATCTTCTGGTGGATACAAGACACCTATAAGTTTTTCTATATGAATATATAATCATCTACATAAAGAGTGTTCCTGTGGCATTCTTGGTTAGTGGGGATAAATAGTGCTCATTAGAGCACCCGGGTGTTTGGAAAATGTGGCACAGTTCAAATGTTTGGGAATGACAGTAACAAATCAAAACCTGATTCAGGAGGAAATTAAGAGGAGACTGAATCTGGGTAATGTTTCCTACCATTCAGGCCATAACCTTTTGTTCTCTTGTCTGCTGTCCAAAAGCATAACAATTAGAATAAACAAAACTATAATTTTGCTGTGGTTCTCTATGGGTGTGAAACTTGGTAGCACACATAATTTTGAGGATGCAACTTATATCTGAGGGTGGCTGATATATTATTTAACACTTTTACATAGCAAACAGTTTTATATGGGTAGATGTGAATGGAACACCAGATTACCTGCTGTGGTTGTGACCAACATCAACTTAGATAATCGTATAATCACTTATTTGATCAAAGTCTTCATAAACAATTTGAAATTCCACTAGGTTATGCTGGGACTTCATATCTTTCTCTACACTGGTAATTTCTATTCACTAAAAACAAGCTTATTTTTAGTTCCTTCAATGTACAAACTTACCTGTTTCTAGAAACTCCCTAAAATCAGGATCAACACCAAGAATGGGATGTGCTGCTGTTCGATTCAAATACCGCTCCAATGATGCTCTCCTCTTCTCTACAAATTCAGCGGATGACCCCTGCTCAGCTTGGTTAGACATTTTTATCTTCGTCATACCTATAAAAATTGACCAATATTTACAACGTACAACATCTTTCTCTTAGTATTTAAATATAAAATTGTGCCTCAAATGATAAAAGTAGAATACATTTCTGAAGTTCTCCACAAGTCTGAGACATCTATGGCTGAGGTAGAGGAGGAGGAGGAGGAGGGAGGGAGGGGAGGCAAGACTTCTATATTCTAGGATACAGTGCCATGCAATCTACTGAAAGTCAACTGATGCTTGAGAGGAATATATCACCACCATCTTCAGGGTTGAAGAATAAACCAATCAAGAAACCACATACTTCCAAAATATTCAGTTGACTTGAAACAGGCAACATAGCATTATAACCCAGAAGATACAACTCTCCATAACCACCACTGTAAGAAACTAAAATCCTATAAAAAGATATTTACAAACTGATGCCCTACCTTCTTCCAAACTTACTCTATACCAAACAAAGCTTTTATTTGGCTGATCATCAATAAACAAACAATACTGCGAATCTCCAAGTTTCTTTGGCTGGAGAGAAGTACACAATACATTACATCTAAAGCCCATCACTATCAGTGACTTAGCATATGCCAGTGCTCCTTTAATAATTTCTTCATACATAAAATTTGTTCAGAGGTTCATCACTTTTATCCTTATACTGCTACTGGCTTACAAATATTTCTCAAATAACGACTGTATAAATTTTAACAATTACACAGTCACAACTGATCACTGGATATTTTAGCTACTAAAAAAATAGCTAATAATAGACATGCTGATTATTTGAGTACCTGACATTTTAAAATTTATATACTTTACCATTAGTGAATGTAATAGCGTAGAACTCTCACATATCTTACTAAGTAAACAGAGATTTTGTAGGATATAGGATTCCAACAGCAGCAGTTATGAAGAGTTCTATCTTCCGGTATATAAGGCCATGTAGTTTGGTGAAAGTCAATGGACATTTTAGAAGAATATGCTGCCTCCATCTTCAGGATTGAAGAATAACCCAAGCAATAACCCAGCATGAAGTAGGCAGCTTAAGGAATGAGTCCTATCAAACTAGTACTATCTTTCAGAGGAATGAATATCATGGCCACCAACTGCCAAACTTAAAATTTTTTTACTATTTCCTGTCGCTTAATTGAGGGACATGGTATTTCAGAAAAAATCCATACACAATTCTGGAATTAAAACTTCCAATCAGTCTCAGACTGAACATATTTCTGTATGAACTTAGACCAATATTCTGCAAAATGTTACAGTTAATTTGCACAGTCTCTCTGAGCTTTCAATGAAACTACAATGAACAAGATTTGGTTTGAGTCAATTTTCCCATGAATACAGAAATGGCTACTTTTCAACCATGAAGACAGAGGTGACATGTTCCTCCAAAACACTGGCTGACTTTCAACAAACTACATGGCATATCCCAGAAGATATCTCTCTTCATAATATTCAATTGCTTCAGATTATACAGTGAGAATGTGCTGATGATACATGGACAAAGTTTTTTATATATATAGCACAGAAGACTTGCATATGTGCAGAACTCAGCTGCCATGACAATACCCTATCACTCCATATCTATTCTTCTGTTATACCTGCTACAGTTTAGTCACATCCTAGTATAAATAAAAAAAAATTGGGGAATTAAGTATTACTTTGGTATGTTCAAATTTTACGTCACTTACCTATTACACTCTTTTCTGGGGCTGGTGGAATAATACGTCCCATACGTAAATATTTTTCCACCAACTTATCATGAAGACCTAAGAAGTCACTAAAACGTCTCATGACGCTAAAACTTCGTTTCCTGAAGATTGGCATATTAGTTTTGGTAATAACTTTATAAGCTACATATGCTCCCATTCCTTCTCCAAGTTTCTGAGGCTCTGTTACTGTCACTTCTATGAATTGGTCACCACACTCCTTCTCCAGCTGTTGACAAACGCAAATCAACATTCATGTCAAAAAAGAACTGACGGCAACAAACCATAACCCCTGTTTGTAAAAGATCCAGCAACAATGCTCCAGAACTGTTCTTTTCAGAAAGTAAAATCACTGGTTTGTGTTTCCCTATAGCATGCGTTTTGAAACTTTTCTGTTAGTAATGAGTCAGTGTGTTGTGTAAGTTGGTTGTACTTTATAGCCAGAATACAGTCTCACAAAAGTATAAGTGATACAGCTGTTCTCTGGCTAAACTTGATAACTTGTTAGTAGATCCCAGGGCCATAATGCAGCTGGAAGTATTATGACAATTGAAAAATCCAATGGTTTCATCAGGAATCACACCCACAACCTTCTGGCTATAGGTTACATAAAATCATATGGTAGGATGAATTGAGAAAGTTGTTGAAGGAAGCAGTATTGACATATTTTAAGATATTATTAACTCCATTTTGGTGAAGCTGGTACTCTCAAAAGAAAATGAAGCAAATTAAGAGTAAGTCACACCTCATCTAAAGGCTTCGCTTGTGGAGCTGGAGCTGGCCTGTCTACTTGAACAATGTCTAGGTCAGGTACATCCTGTAAGGCAATACATATATATCAGCAACAATTCAGAGTTTTTAACTTATTAACTCACTACATCCTAGTACCAAGCCTGGTTCATAATAACTGAAAATTTAATAGTCAAAGTCAAAGTCACACTGCGACTGACGGTCGGTCAGTCAGTCAGTAAGTCTTGGTGTTGAGCCCCACCTGGAGCTCATGACCAGATATTTATTACTATTTGACAGTTACGGTCTTGCTTCTGTGGGGCGCCATCTATGACGAGACGACGGGTCTGTCTTTTGTATATGCTGCTGGCCCATGCCAGCGCAGTCTTTCTCAGGTCCGAGTCCCTTGGTACTCGCGACCATATTTTACTGTCTCAGATTTGAGACTTCCCTTTTTGTCACCTCTTACAACTCTCAAGGTCACAGTGGAGGTATTCGACCCTGCCTACACATGGGTAAAATTTAATAGCTATAGCAAGACTCCTTTTATATTCATTTATTTATTACTTTTTAATGACATTGTCAGTAACAGAGCACCGATTATGTAACCTCAAATGATAAGATGACTGGTAAAAGATGAACTGGAAGGGACATGAACCAATTCTAAGTATTATTCTCATGTGTTCCAGAAGGACTGAGTAAACCATAACACTTCAGTCAGGATAGTCAGTGTCAAGAAAGTGAGAAGCATTTGTGCTTCAGCCAATTTGTTCCATACTCATGACTCTGGTGACGAGTTTTCCATTAAATGGGTAATTTCATGTCATATAAAAAATGCATGATGACAACTGAATTTTATATTTCAATAAAACTTGGCATAAACTGACAGAGTTAATTTTACCAATATAAATTAGATATACACAAATGGTGAGTTTACATTTTATTTTAGTAAACTTATCCTGCTTAGAGACTACTATAACCTAAGTAAAATCACAAAATATTGTGGCCATAAGCCAAAATATCTTCAATTTACAGAATGCTGAAGCTTGTGAGATGCAGACAGCTCTTCACTTGGTAGTAGTATCAACATGGAAAACTGTGGCCTTTATGCATTTCTAGAGTAACTAATTAACTAACTCTGTATGACTATGTCCTTTTTGAGAAACCACCAGTCAATCAGCTATTCAAGAATTTCCCAATATTTCACAGAACCTGAAGATTCTTTACCATGACTCCAAATGCTTGTCACTGACCTCCACTTTGAACCAGATCAAGCCCGTCCATGCCACCCCATCCTATTTCTATCTGTCCTTCAGATATTCCTTCTTTTTGTTCCTCAAATGTCTACTAGCTTCATGTCTTAGTTTGTTCAGTTTAACCCAATTTCTTTGGCTCAGAGGCTGTACCCACTGCAATTTTGCTTGTTTCCTTTGATCTACCAGTTTTGAACTTTCTTTACTGAACCATGGCTTATTCTGCTTCAATTCATAATAACCTAGACTCTCTTTGACTAAAATATTTACATTCTCTTTAACAGCTTCATAGCTCTATTGACATTCATGTCATCATCTAACCTTTCCACTTCTGCAAACCTGTTTGACATTTTAATATAACACTGTTCTTTACAGTCTATTGCATTTAGTTTCTTAAGATTGCAACTCCCCTATCAAATCTTTGTTATTTCCAGCCTCTTTCTAACTTTTGCAACCACTGGGTAGTGGTCAGTATCACAATCTGCTCTCCTGAAAGACTGGACATCAAGTACACTTGACTGCTATCTCCTATCAATGTGGTAAATCTGACCATGTCTTTCAATCAGACATCCAAGCAACCTTATGAATGCCGCAGTGTGGGAACATTGTACTCGTGACAATTAGATTTTTGGATATGGCGAAGTTTACTACCCTAAGTCAATTATCATTACTAATTCTGTGTAAAGCCTGACTCACAGCTGCTGGTTTGAAAATATCTTCATTACCTTCTCTGACACTAAAATATGCTTACAAAATGTTCATGTAGTACATTTCGGAGGAGGCATGCCATAGCGTAGTTTGTTGATGCAATATGCTACAAGCTAGAAAGTTGCAGGTTCAATTTCTGATGAGGTCAATGGGTTTTTAAACTGACCTAATCCTACCAGCCACACTATGGCCCTGAGGTTGAATCAACCTCTAACAGAAATGAGTACCAGGAATCTTCCTGGGCGTAAAGAGTGGCCAGTGCATAAGGCTGACAACCTCGCCATCATCTGTGAGCCAAGTGTCTAGAAAATGCAGGAGCCTCCACATCTAACAACCCTATGGGCCTCCATGGCCTGTTACAGGAACAGCTTCATCTTTTACCTTTTTTTAGTACTTTGGGAATTGACCAGATACATGTTCCTGCTCCTCACAGAAGCTTTCATTCATATCATCAGCTTTATCCTCATTCACAGCAATGACATCACACAAGTTACTTCTTACTATTATATATGACATTCTATCACTAACAAACTCCAACCTCTTAACTGCTGGAACAATTCTTTTATGCACAAAATACCCTGTCCCTAATTTATGATCCTCATTCTCATTCCCAAAGAAAAGGTACAACTGCTTACTGGTTCAGTACCACCCTTGACAAACCTAACCTGCTGTACTCCCACTGATTCTACCTTATATTATGTACCTGTCAGTGAACCTGCCCTGTAGACACTCCTTACATTCCATGTTCCAAATCTCATGTCCATTTTCCTTCGTTTAGGTCATTCAAAATCTCTGATACCCCATGTAACATTTTATAATGAACTGTTTTTTATAGCAAGAAGCTGCTAGCCCCATGCCCAATCCTCTTGTTGTCTGTCAGTGACTCCTTATTCAATATATTCACAGCTACCCTCCATATGTGGATGCATCTGCCTGCATCCACAACCTAAAAACGTTCCATGCCAATGTGACAAGGGACCCACAAAGCACAGATGTTTCTGCAACAGCAATATAAAACTGGTTGAGACTCCCAAAAGCTCCACCCTTCATGTGTCCAACCTTGTAAAAATTATTTAATCTCTGACTCAGAAGACAGCCAACTGCATGAAAATGCCACTGACTAGTTTATTAGTTAAGCTAGATATTTATATATGAACAGAAGTTCACTAGGAAAATACAACTGCCTTCACAGTTCTCACAGCTGATAACATTTTTTAACAAATTTAATAGAATTATGTACTACAATATTTTGCCAAGTTTTATCAATTTTCATCCTGTATATATAAGAGGACAGATTACTGATGAATGAATGAATATATAAGAGCATTATAAAACAAAGACCCATAATACAGACCCATTAAACAAAATACTATGCTTAATTTTAAATGCAGGACTGCTGGAGGGCTAAATCTGAGAAAGGAAACGCATAACAGATCGAAAATGGTAGCAGTGCAAAATGCGTACCTCTTAAATCTAATCTAAAAATCTAACTATAATACTGACATCAACTTGCAATTTACCTATAGACCAAATATTACATGAACACAAATTCATACCTGTGACAGATGAAGTTTTGGGGCTTCCGAAGTCCCATTGAAAGGACCTTGTCCATCACCATCAAGAACACCTACATCCTGAAAGAACATTATAAATATTAAAACTTGAAGCTTAAATAATGAAATATTCATTATTTCCATCAACACAACAATTCTTTAAGAGGCATACAAATTAATCTTTATATTAAAGTCATAAATCTTAACGGCACAACTTGTTTCAACCCCTATTGGGTGACCATCAGGTGTCGGTTAGTGTCAAGGTGCTGATCTTGGACAAAATATGGATCTATATTGTGGTTTGCCTATATTGTCATGAATAAGGGGTTTGCATCACTGATAATAATGGGTTCTGGATGGATGATTGGATTTACTGGCACTTCTATTGCAATTAAAATCAATTATGACAGCTCACAATCAATGACTGTCTAAGACTCACTCCTTTTCTGACTGGACTACAAGTGTCTTCTCGTCCACTGCGACTGACCTGGTTCTGATTTATGAAACGGTCACTTCTACTGCAAGTGCCTTGAATGACAGTCTTTCAAATGACTCCTTGAACTCTATGATGAATGCTGAATGACTGACCCTTCCTGGACTGAACTAACTTCCAGGTGAACCATATACAGATCACCACCTCAAAGAGTTCGTGTATTACTGTTCTGTCCATTGCCACAGGAATTTCGTGTTACAGTAGCTACACCATCCCTTATGCAATCTTTCAGGTATTGAAGATTGTTGATCTTAACCTGGTGGACAATGTTCTTCACATAACTTCACAAGAAAAAATCCAATGGGGTTAATAAATCTGGTGACTTAGGAGGCCAACTAACTGGACCACCTCTGCCAATCCATCTCCCAGCCGTCTCTCTGTCCAGGCGATTCCTAACATGGTGGCAGAAATGTGGCACTATCCCATCTTCTTGGAGGATAGTTTGAGGTGCTAATTTGGGCAGTCCATACAGCTCTAGCATGTCCAAGTATGAACATCCAGTCACAGTCTCTTCCGAAAAGAAAAACGGTCCAAGCAACTTGTCGTGCATTAAGTCGGTCCATACGTTCACTCTGGGGCTACCGCTCTCCAAATCACATGTGACATGTGGATTTTGACTGCCCCAAATCCTGCAATTATACCTGTTTACAACTCCACTGACATGGAACGTCGCCTCGTCCGAGAAGCACGCTTGGCGGAGGAAATCGGATCACATGTCAATTCTTTCTAGCATGTCCTGGTCACTTCCTTTAGTGAATGAATCTTTCGAATCTTGTACATTCTTAGGAGGAACCATTTTTCTGCTAAACTCATACTTGAAAACTGCCACAACTATGATTCTATGCAAGCTACAAGACTCTTTTCATGCTGATTTTAAACTCAATAAAATGCTTTTTACAGGGCTTAAAATTTAGCATTACACAACAGTACTGACCACATACTGTAGGACCTTTACTAAATGGATTCTTCAAATGCACCGTATGAAAGTTAAGTGGTAAGCTTCACACACCAGTCTAAAACTATGGGCGGAAGCCCCGGTACCTACTGGTTAACAGGCACAGCTGGTATGGAGGTATAGGTGAAAGAGAAACATCCCTTCCGTTGCCAAAAATGAAACCTCATTTGTCCATCCCAAAGTTATTCATTTTAATGAGCTAACCTCACTCCTATGCACTGCAATTTATTTATATCTACTTTCACGATGCCTGAAAGCATACTCAGAAGTGTCCGTATAACCTAAATGTATCCTGTCACTGTAGCATACTATAAAAAAAATGTTAATAGTGAACCGGGGAATCTTCGTACTATTTGTAACGAACTCTGAAGCAATACACTGTCAAACTGCGTAATGAACTGTCAATAGATGAAGCATAATACAACTTTTTCTTTTTGTTCAATGTAAAGGGCACCACAAACAAAAAAACTACGCATGAAAATAATTCCTGTGCAAAACTTAACAAAATGTGTAAATAAACACTTCAAACGTACTGAAAACTTACTTTTCTAACATATCACACAACACATGTACACTTTTTTGTCAATTTATTACGGCAACTAAAAAAAGCAAAATCATGCAGATGTGAGAAATTAATAAAACAATTTACCACATCGATTGCCGAACTAAACAAATCCTCATTGTCGTCATCACGCTGGTCAATCTCCACATTATTAAACAGAGGGGGAGGTTCCCTATCGTCAGCCATATTCCTTTACGTTCCTGTACGCCCTGCATGGCTTTCACCCTGCTGCTGCCACGGAACAGTTTGCTACCACAGATGAACTGTGGATGTTACACATACTTTTGAAACGCATAAGACGGCCCAGCAACGAAACTTCTGTGATCTGTGGAGTTAATGAATTTTCAGTCATTATAAAAAATGTGTAATCACAGCCACAGATATCCTCTTCGCTGTCACGGCAACGAGCGTGAAACGTATAGAAAAATGTAAAATATAGTACATCATAAAGCAGATATAACGACTCGCAAAATGAATTATGATGGACCGAACTGAGATAAAATATCGCTAACTCCACACACACACACACAGTTGCCCTTGATGTCCGGCCTGAGGCGACAGCTTTGTGCATATATTGCGGTACATGCTGCGCTAAGTACCGCTAAGTACGCTACTTGAGGCAGACCGGAAAGGACGTGAACGTCGTGATCGGGAACGACTGATGTATCGACAAATCTGTTTCTTACGGGAGATCTGAAAGCTAAACATGTTCTGTGGGGTTGGCAGGAAACGAACCGCGAAGGTAGGATTCTACTAAACCATTCTTGTAACTCTTTGTTTGGCTGCCACTTGGTCCACTGATTTTTGTGAGTTACAGTGGCGAATTAAGTACCTGACAATACCAAAAGCTATAGGAAGCAATAACATTTAAACCAGGATCTTAAAGAAAAACCATAAAAATTACTGCAAAACATTCACCTCTCTGGTCTAGTGGTCAGAATTCCTGGGTTCGATTCAGGCGCTACCAGATTTTCTTGAAAGTAGTAGTCTGAAACAGGGTCCACTCAGCCTCGTGAGGATAACTGAGGAGCTATTTCAAAGAAATTACAGCTCTGGTTTAGAAACCTGAGATTAACGGCCGTGGGGATCCGTTGCACTGTCCACGTGACACCCTCTACCCGCTAAAGTTGGTACAAACTTCGCTGACAAGCGGTGGTCGCTCAGGCGGTATAGTTCGCTTGCGGACTACAGGCCAGTTTTTTTTTAATTTTTCCCACTTTCAAGTTGCATTATTTCCCAAATTCATGGAAACTGGCTAAAATTGTAATGCTCCTTAAACCCAAGATGAGTGAATACTCACAAATATACAGAACAAACAATTAGTATGTGCTACTAGCAGACCTTTGGAGAAAATTTTTAAAACAAAAATAGGAAACACAACAATAATTCACCACTTTCAAAGGCAAACTTTATTCACATACAGACCTAACAATACACAAATTTATGCCTATGCTATTTGCAGCTCGACTAAGAGTTTTAAACCAAAAGTAGTTTGGAATAACTTGCAGATAATGATAAAGTCATCACTGTCTGTTTCAGTATGTGCTCTGCCCAAACAGAAGAGCGCAAATGCTAAGTTATCATAAACTCGAAATGCAGCACAAATTATCACAAGTCTCCCCTCGAATCAGAACTCAACATCATCAAATCATGTGGAGAGGAAACAATCAGACTATACAAAACACTATTTTAGAGAATGAATTTTAATTTGTAATGTGAATAATTTTTAGCTTTTACGGAGCAAATATTTAAGCATGGGAGGGTTTGCATGGTTAGAAATAATAGTTCAGAATGGGTCATTTCAAAGGTACAAGTAGGTCATGTAATAGCCACAGGTCTTGAGGGCGGCCTGCAGATGTAGAAATGCTTAAGAAAAAGATGAAGGAGATTCACAATGTTATCGAGAGAGATCAGAGGAAGTTGTCACTTATCACCGTGATGCTGACTGAAGGCATCTGCACTATGGAGTTTCTCATCGCTAGTTTGTATTAATTTTAGTTACCCAGTGATGATTAAACTAGACCCTGTCAACAGTCACCCTTCTGGTTTCAAATGTTGTGCAACAACGCTTAGAGATGTGATCAAGATCATATAATGATTTATCCACGTGTGCTTCTTTTTAAACGGAAAAACTAACCCTCTGGAAAGAGTAAATTGCAAGGGCAGGAAAGGCTGTTGCAAAATGTGTTAAAAAATGGGAGGCATGTTCCAACACCCTGAGAAATTTGGCCTTTCAGAAAAAAATTTCATTGGCTGATTTAAATGCGTGTATCATGCACAGAACCTCTTTAGAATACCACATGTTAAACAGGATATATTTCACTTAACATAATCTTCTCCCCTTCTTTAGAAGTGAAACTGGATTTCATGGAGTAAAATAAACATTTTGGAAAATAGTGAAAGCGATGGATTTCAATTTTAAGAAATGCAAAAATAGAAGATCACTTTTAATTGAAAGAGAAAATCTTATTCCTTGCTGTGTGATATTTTTGAGAGCTCTAAGATACAACAAGAAACAGCCTAAGAAGCCAGTCAAATATATACATGTGACTTAGAGTCACATCCAATATAGTGACAAAGTGTTGGCAGCATGATACAGCCTGGGGTGCAATGTAAACAACAGTGCAAGTCAAAGGACTACAGTTGTTTATGCATGGGGATAGGGTTTGCTGATGGGGCAGAAGTGATTTATGATTCAAAATCAAAATGGAACGACTACCATGAAGATGTGAATAGGACAAATTTTAACAGAGTGGACAAAAACTTATCCCCAGTATGCCTTTCAGTAGTACAGCAGTAACTGAAAATGCATTTTATCACATAGTATAAAAAAAGTAAACCTCCCACTACATGATCTTGTAAGATTCATAATGTGGCTCCAAAATAATAAAATTACTGTTAATGAAGAATGAAAAATGAAATGCACACTGAGATGTACAAATCACAACTTAATTTACACTGTGGAAAGAATTTGGCAGGAAAAAGATTTTATTATGTTCACTTCCATCAGGACTAATATGGAATTTACTAAAAAAAATACTTGTTTTCTCCGTTACATTAATGGCATTTATAGAAACGACACGGAAAAGTCTGGGTGAAATAATTCATGAAGACTGGACAAAAGCTTGTCAACATTTGAAGATAACTTCTTTCCATAAAAATATTACAGTAAGTTCTTACTGTTCTCATTGTCTGACTGTAGTCATCCATTTTGCACCCCACTTCCTGTCCACAGCTCTCACCCAGTGCATACTAACAAACAACATCGCTCCACTTGGCAGGCACAATCACATCTTGGTAGGAAAATAAGTTTATTCATTTTAATTCCTTTATTGTACTGTATAAGCACTAACTTTTTAAAGCTTGACTTCTAGGTTAGATCATGATGTAACAAGCCTGTGTTGGGTTCAGGATGAATTGGGTGGAGTGTTATTGTAGCACATCCCTTCTGTAATAACATAACATTTTCGTGGAGGTCATAAAATCATTATACCAACCTTTGAGATTCAAATAAAATTACATTATTCAATTATGAAGAAAACTGATGTTTATGGCTGGTACTATAATTAGCATAGTTATAGGTCTGTAGCATCAGCTATGATTCTATAAACTTTCAAATGTGATCACAGAGACTCCACTGCAGAGAAACAGGATAATTTGTTGTTGATTATACAGAGAATTTAATGGTCTCAAACTGTGCACATCTTCTAACCTTTTTACGACTTTGTTTTTCCAAATGATTAAGATTAGATATTGGTCTATGTGAGAATCTGATTTCTGCACATTATCAATGTCAAGCAGGCCCATGAAATAACTGATCTTTTGTTGTCACATCAACTCATATCAGACAAGAAGTAAGATTGCATCTGTGTTCTTAGTTCAGTGAAACAATGCATTATTATTTTCTCTGTAAGGAAGGTGTCAAAGGGCCTGAAATTCACCTGAAAAATATGAGGAATTTGCCTGCCAGTCTTCACCATCTGAACAGTGCAAATCATTCATGGNCCAGTTTACTATTATACATCCATTTATGTCTTGGTTTTCCTAGTGGTCTCTTTCCCACCAATATCCTGCATGCATTCCTCTTCTCTCCCCAAAATTTGTATGGATGAACACAGCATAGTCCAGTACTCAAGAGACAACCTGCAGCTGTAGAAGCTGGATTAGAAAAATATTTTCCTGAAAAATCTAGATGTAGTGACAGGTTACACTGGGCTAGTTAATTTTAGTTTCTGCTAAATTTTATTTGTGTTGGTACCAGCTGGCATGACTGGTACATGAATCCCGTAACAAATCTTGAAGTATATGCTAAGGAGATAGTTGCAATATACATGATCCTATCTTGAAAAAGCAAAGGCAATTTATGTATAAGCCAGAACTTTACATAGAAGACAAATAACGTTTAACGGCATAAGGAACACATCTACTGCCAATCTTCTGACTTCAAATATTCTAACCAACAAAAGTTGTGTACATCAATGTGCCAAACTTCATCTGTATGTTAGCAGTTCCATGCTAGATGAAGAATAACCAAGCAGTGCATTCACACAGAATTACAACTTCTGCAGACAAATGGGGTATAATTTAATTTAAGGAGACCATTACATACACAAAAACTCTCTCATCTGAGGATCGAGTGTTGTTATCATGGAGTCCACTGAATTTTTCGCTTTCTCTGCTACTTTTGAAAGAAGACCACCACTCCCAACTGCACCTTTCACCCACCCCAACAATCCACCACTTCCTTCTGCATGTGCTGCTGCTGGACCTATCTCAGGGGGTAGAACCATAGAAACATCTCCACCTTTGCTAGGAGGGATCACTGGACTAGAACAAATATGAAAAGGAAGACCACTCAAAATCATACAATAGAAACATATAAAACATTCTGGTCCACTAAGTGGGAAAACAGTACAGAAAATGGTTCATTATTTATGCTTAACTGAGGCGTCATGAATGAACCTTGAAATATGTTCTACAAGTTCACTACAAAGAAATACATCCATGGTAGGTTTACAGCCCACTTTAAAGTACTAAAGGCCTGGCCAACACACACTTCACAGCTGAAACAGAATGTGAGACATGTAAGGAATACAATATTATATTTAAGCATCCTGTTGCACTCCATACGATAAATGATATAATGATACAAATTCCATCCCAAGTGCAAACAATATATTATGTGTCTCCTTGATCTTGTTCACCTACACTACATGTTTCGGCCTCAGACGGCCATCATCAGGTGTATAACACTCACGTCGCTGTCACATTGCATTCAGCCCAAAATTTAACATTTAAAACACTTTTCTTGTTATTATCAACATCTACTTCGTTGATATCTGTCTGGATGTAGATTATTTTACACACGTTAATTTTGACGTACCTGTAGTAGCACTATAAAATCTTTAGTTCTAATTTTAAAATCTTTTAAAATTTTTTCTCTAAATTTTAAATTTAAAATTTTTATAGTGCTACTACAGGTACGTCAAAATTAACATGTGTAAAATAATCTACAAACCAGACAGATATCAATGAAGTAGATGTTGATAATAACAAGAAAAGTGTTTTAAATGTTAAATTTTGGGCTGAATGCAATGTGACAGCGACGTGAGTGTTATACACCTGATGATGGCCGTCTGAGGCCGAAACATGTAGTGTAGGTGAACAAGATCAAGGAGACACATAATATATTGTTTGCACTTGGGATGGAATTTGTATCATTATATCATTTATCGTATGGAGTGCAACAGGATGCTTAAATATAATATTGTATTCCTTACATGTCTCACATTCTGTTTCAGCTGTGAAGTGTGTGTTGGCCAGGCCTTTAGTACTTTAAAGTGGGCTGTAAACCTACCATGGATGTATTTCTTTGTAGTGAACTTGTAGAACATATTTCAAGGTTCATTCATGACGCCTCAGTTAAGCATAAATAATGAACCATTTTCTGTACTGTTTTCCCACTTAGTGGACCAGAATGTTTTATATGTTTCTATTGTATGATTTTGAGTGGTCTTCCTTTTCATATTTGTTCTAGTCCAGTGATCCCTCCTAGCAAAGGTGGAGATGTTTCTATGGTTCTACCCCCTGAGATAGGTCCAGCAGCAGCACATGCAGAAGGAAGTGGTGGATTGTTGGGGTGGGTGAAAGGTGCAGTTGGGAGTGGTGGTCTTCTTTCAAAAGTAGCAGAGAAAGCGAAAAATTCAGTGGACTCCATGATAACAACACTCGATCCTCAGATGAGAGAGTTTTTGTGTATGTAATGGTCTCCTTAAATTAAATTATACCCCATTTGTCTGCAGAAGTTGTAATTCTGTGTGAATGCACTGCTTGGTTATTCTTCATCTAGCATGGAACTGCTAACATACAGATGAAGTTTGGCACATTGATGTACACAACTTTTGTTGGTTAGAATATTTGAAGTCAGAAGATTGGCAGTAGATGTGTTCCTTATGCCGTTAAACGTTATTTGTCTTCTATGTAAAGTTCTGGCTTATACATAAATTGCCTTTGCTTTTTCAAGATAGGATCATGTATATTGCAACTATCTCCTTAGCATATACTTCAAGATTTGTTACGGGATTCATGTACCAGTCATGCCAGCTGGTACCAACACAAATAAAATTTAGCAGAAACTAAAATTAACTAGCCCAGTGTAACCTGTCACTACATCTAGATTTTTCAGGAAAATATTTTTCTAATCCAGCTTCTACAGCTGCAGGTTGTCTCTTGAGTACTGGACTATGCTGTGTTCATCCATACAAATTTTGGGGAGAGAAGAGGAATGCATGCAGGATATTGGTGGGAAAGAGACCACTAGGAAAACCAAGACATAAATGGATGTATAATAGTAAACTGGACCTTAGAGAAGTAGATTGGGGTGGTATAGACTGGATTGATGTGGCTCAGGATAGGGATCAGTGGAAGACTCTTGTGAAGACAGTAATGAATCTTCACGTACCATAAAATGTTGGGAAATTCTTGAGTAACTGAAAAACTGGCAGCTTCTAAAGAAGGGCTCAGTTCCATGGAATTAATTAGTGATAATAACATAATTTTATGGTTGTTATATTTACAATTTTTTTTCAGATTCTGGAGGTGATGTGGATGTTGTAGTTGCTTCAGACAAGGAGGTGAAATTGAGCCCTGTTCGTGAAGCTTTCCAAGCTGTGTTTGGTAAAGCAACAGTTTCGTAAGTTATACTATTAAATGAACCTTTTTGAGTTCGTTACAATTATCGTGTTTCTGGACATTGTTCATCATCCTGTTAATATTCATCTAAAAACACGTTTTGCAGACTGAATTCTGTCTTGCTTTGTCAGGTGGAACCTACCCAGTTGTGCCGAATCACTAGAGCTAGACCTTATCTTCGGGTTTTAAGTAAGTAAAGCAGGATGAAGGATATTGTCCAGAAACGCAATAATTGTGTTATTATACCGTCATCAGAAACTTTCAGATCTTTTTGAGTTTAATTTTGGTTTCATACGTTTCTGTAGTTATTGCTTCAGATCACATTTTGTGGGCGTTTTTTCTCAGAGGTGGCGATGTATTGTAATTGGCTGTGTAACTGTCTGACAGAGGTTTGGCTGCACAGGCTACAATGATTGCGGCCCAACCTGTTGGATTTGCAGCAGGTGTTAAGGCAGCGGAAGAGAGGATATTAGCATTACAATCCACTGGGAAACTTCATCCAAAACAGCCTATTGTTGCTATAGAAAATTTCCTTGTTGAAGTTGAAGAAAACAAGTGAGTACTATGCATAAAATAAATACAGTAAATTTTCGTTCTGAAAAAAAAATTATAGGTGCCACAGTTGTCCAATTTTGTATAAAATTATTGCGATAAAAATTTTTCAGTTAACTATATGATATGTCTTGTAAAGCTATTATGTTTTTAGATTTTGAAAGGTGCTGATGGTGTATGACACTCAGGAATACTCTACCGTACTCTAGGGAATGTAATTGTTTACATTCCCTAGGGTACGGACAGCACTTTGTAAGATGAGGCACTGACTAAACAATTAACATTAATTTACTACATCTACATCACGAGCCTCCTATAAAATCTTATATACAAAAAGAAAAATATATATAGAATATTCCAATTTGTCCATAGGAAAGTACGAAAATACAAAACGAACGACTGATTTGATGTTATAAAACATCAATTAGAATTTTATTCTTGTTTTATACTATAACTTCTGTTTTTTTATATAATCTGATTTATTGTATTTTTATGTCAAGTGTTTTATATGTTTAATAGTACTGCAGTTCAGTGGTGTATATATGTTAACCATGTATTTGTCTGATGATGGCTATTAATAGCCGAAACATGTAGCAGAGCCATAGCTGGACATTGACCTTGTTATTTGTTGTGTTGTGACGGTTAATAAAAAAGTATATTGTAACACAACAGGATGCATGAAATGAAAATAATAACTTTGTTGTTGCTGGCGTTACCTAGCAAAGGCCGCTCTTTATACGGTCACTGCATAGCTACGGGTCTATATGCCACAATATTGTAACATGTTGCATTACTGAATACGCCATAGAGATCATTAATTGGTTTATTCAACAACCTACAAGTAACGGCTACAATTAATTATAACAATGTTACGGGTTTCCACACTTCAGTAGTCTACACGTTTACAATAGGGGAGCTATGTAAGTGTCCCTGTATCACACACTCCCAATTACACAACTACACACACGTCTGGTTCTTCTTTCTGTGAATGCTGCTATACTCCAACTGTAGGCTGCTGACTGGAGAACTGTCTTCGGCTGCTGATACACTTTAACTGACTACAACTGAACTCGCCGATGGCCACATTACAACTAACTCACGCTTACTGCTCAGCCGGCTTTTATTCCGTTCGCTGTTGCCTGTGCCTGCGTCAACAGTAGGAAGCGGTGCAGCGTCACAGTGTTTGCGTATAGCCTAGCAACGCTGTTACCTCACGCCATCTTACGTCACTGCGCGTTGCATGTTATGTCACTGTGTGGAGGGGGGTGACGGAGCGCTGACTCATCTGCCACGTCACTGTGGGGGGGAGGGGTTCTCCTCCATTGCGCAACAAGTCACAATATATTCACATACCAAACTTCTTTCCATTATACTAAATCTTGTTATTCATTATTAGGTTAAACATTTCTTTTGTCTAATTAATGGCCTACCCCTACTTAGGTTGTGGTTTAGTTCCTGTTTCATCTTGATGCAAAGCAAGTGTTGTGAAAGAGAGCGTCCTTCTGAGAGGCAAAATATGTTACAACTCTTTGGTGCACACTGATCCAAATCTCAGCTTGTAGGACAATTATAAAAATCTCCAACAGAACAAATTCCTGTAACAGTATCCCATACAACCTGTTGCATGTGTCAGATGTGTGGAGTAAGGAACATAAGTTGTTATATGTATTGTATCTTATTTCCATTAGTCTGTGGTCTGGTATTTAAGCTTTAGTTTAAATTATTTTCTAGGTGGTATGATGTAGGGGTATTAATGCTCAAAGACCCTGACCGAGAAATAAATCTGCACACATTTACTCAGCTCACCCCAGTGCCTGCTGCTGTTGTTGCTCTGGCTCAGGAGGACACTCCTAATGATTATCCTCTTCGGTGGTCAGGTTTGGCAGTTACCATTGGTAGCCTCATGGCTAGTAATTTGCAGGCAAGTAAAATACTTATGGAATAAAATTAATCTTAAAGAAATAGGATATGAAACTGTGGACTGGATACATCTGGCTCAAGTCATGTACCAGTGGTGGGTTTTTGTGAATACAGTACTGAGTCTTCAGGTTCCATTAAAAGATGAGAGATTTTTCTGTCATCTGATTGACTAATGCGACCTGGTGAAGAATTCTTCTCCGTTAAATTAATTTTGGGGAAGGTCATGGCCTATTTCTAGGTGTTATCCTGGCATTCATCTAATAATTGCTAATGATGTGGTTTAGTTGCAACTTGCACCATATTTGTATCAATAAATACTGCCCTTAATTGTGCACAGATTTATTTTCAGTGGGACTGCATTTGTTTTCTTCAATGGTTCTGTTTATGAATTACAGAATAAAACAATTTCTCTATTGTTTGATGTAGTTTGAAAGCATGGTATGAGTGAAAAATATAAAAAGTTGTTTTTTTACAGTGTTCTCCTTCTGTTATTAGAATAGCTAAATCAAGGAAGGCATAGTGAGCTAATCACATAGCTAGATGAGGAATACAGGTAATATGTACAGAATTTGGTGGGAAAATCTCATGCAGAGCATCACTTTGAAAACCAAGACAGATGTGGAAGGATAATACTTAAACACAGTTGAGGGAAATGGGTATGGCAGAGAGAGTTGGACCCCAGGAGTTTTAATATTGGATGGGTGGTTGGTTGTTTGATAAGAAGTTAGAGGATTGGTATGAGCTGCAAGAAGTATCAGACTTGTATCTGTGAAGTAAGACAGTTCTGTATGATTTTGTTTTCAGGTTCATCATTCAGAATGGCATCAAGCCCTGACTGGGGTTTCCAGGAGAGAGATGCTTTTGATAGCAGCCAAAGTATTAGCAGGGTTGTACAAGAACAGTATAGGTGGGAACATCATTTGAACAAACAGTTTTAATTTATGTGATACTGTACCTTTTTATTACAAGTGTACACAGAGTGGTTGCAGGTACAGTAATTTGGCAGATCTGTATTGCTTCTATTAGGAAATATGACCTACTGTAACTAGCAGTAAATATATTATGAGTAGCTTAAAAAATTCTTACTATTCCAGGTATCATGTTATAGTTTCTAAAATTTAGTATGCAGTAACACACTGATAATTTGAAATAGTAGTGACCAGAATTATTTCCTGCAGGTTCAAGGGACTGTTGTATTTGATTATTTATGAGGGCATTCTCTAAACCAATGGTAATGTTGATAATCAAGAAATTCCCATATCACCACATGGAACAGTGAAACATAAAATTAAACATCTTTTTACAAATATGTATTGCTGTAAAGTGATATCTTCCTAAATGATACCAAATTGCAGGTATTTAATTTCTAGGATTACTTTAAATATTTCTAAGAAGAGCTGTATTTTTTAGTGACACAAGTTCTATGATTAATTTGGTGGTTTTCCTACTGGCTTCTTTCCATGCATGATAATTTCCAAATTTCTCCTTAGTAATGTATTCAGATTCTTTATCATACGTCTAAACCGTCGTCTCCCTAGTGTGTCTTGAAATTTTCTAATGTTCAGCTTTTCTTATTGTGGAATTTATGATTCTGTTTTATGTCCTTTTGCTTTATGCATGTAAATATAAGAAGTGTCATTTCCATTGTTTTGATTTTTCTGCACACTAATCCATCAGATTATATTTAAATTTGAAAATAGTCTGCATAATAAATTGACATTTATGAAACAGTGGCTGGAACCTACAGTAAACGGAAAAGTTAGAATGCATTGAACCAGAATCACCAGTTGACTTTTCTTTCATTCATATAACCTGCACAGAAGTTTCATTTCATACGTAAGCATTGGCCCTGTGCATCTGTGAATGTTTTGCAGCAAAGTTGAATTCATATGTCTCCACTTCATGCTGGAATGTTTGCCTTTAGGAGTGCAGTATGGACCCATATGTCCCCTCAAAAGTAATGATACACTTAACCATTTTACTGCCAAATGCACATGTTAGAAATGTCAGAGCTGCTTTGGGGTTCATGGTGTTGCAAAGAAAACTCTACAATACTTCCTCAAATGACCTTCAACTCTCAGCAGGCATAGGTCATGTGGAGGCTTGTTCATCCCTCTATAAACATTGGTATGTCACACTTGATGCCATCTGTTTACAGAAATACTGTGCAAACTGATTAACAGTGAGCTGTCAGCTTTGTGGATCTTAACCCAAATACCTCAAGTTGATCTAATCAGTTTGTGGCATAGAAAGGTTTAGGAGTCATATTCATCCCTCTTATATCATAGATTCAGAACAGCTGAAATGTTTAAACTTGTATAACCATTTGCATTGGTGACAGCTGTATGGGCACAGATCATATACTGACATTCATTGTTATGTTATTGTCAAGTATGATGTTACAAATTACTAAATTGGTGTACCGGTATCCTTCTGTTTTTCATATAAGCTCATCATTATGCTCTGTAGTCTCATCACTGGCAGCAATTGTGACCTTGCTTTATGGTTTTCATTCTGTGCCCACTGTGGTGACCCTCCATGAATGAAGAAAGTTGTCTTCTGGGATCTGGCGCCGTGTATTCTTTGTTTCAGCTGACGTTTCGGAGGAACGTATCGCCTCCATCTTCAGGGCAGGTGAATTGGCTTGCGAACACAGAGAGCAGTAGCTGTAATGATTAGGAAGTGAAAAGCGCTACTTTATATAGGAAGAAGGCAGGGGGGGTGGTGGTTAGGGAGAGGGGACCAATGGGAACAGTGAAGAGCGATTAAGGCCATCTATGGTCAGGGGGGGCGAAGGGGGGGAACGGCCAGTGAATCCAGGCAACTTGGAGGTCAATGGCATGGAGGTTGCGGTTAGACAAGAAGAACCGGTTGGCTGGGGACAGGCTACTGACGTCAGTGACATGATTAACAGGGGACAGGCTACTGACGTCAATGACATGAAGAAGAGCTGGGGTGACCTGGTGGAGTTCTCTTGAGGGAAGAGATGAGAGAACTCCACCAAGTCACCCCAGCTCTTCTTCATGTCATTGACGTCAGTAGCCTGTCCCCTGTTAATCATGTCACTGACGTCAGTAGCCTGTCCCCAGCCAACCGGTTCTTCTTGTCTAACCGCAACCTCCATGCCATTGACCTCCAAGTTGCCTGGATTCACTGGCCGTTCCCCCCCTTCGCCCCCCCTGACCATAGATGGCCTTAATCGCTCTTCACTGTTCCCATTGGTCCCCTCTCCCTAACCACCACCCCCCCTGCCTTCTTCCTATATAAAGTAGCGCTTTTCACTTCCTAATCATTACAGCTACTGCTCTCTGTGTTCGCAAGCCAATTCACCTGCCCTGAAGATGGAGGCGATACGTTCCTCCGAAACGTCAGCTGAAACAAAGAATACACGGCGCCAGATCCCAGAAGACAACTTTCTTCATTCATGGAGGGTCACCACAGTGGGCACAGAATGAAAACCATAAAGCAAGGTCACAATTGCTGCCAGTGATGAGACTACAGAGCATAATGATGAGCTTATATGAAAAACAGAAGGATACCGGTACACCAATTTAGTAATTTGTAACATCATACTTGACAATAACATAACAATGAATGTCAGTATATGATCTGTGCCCATACAGCTGTCACCAATGCAAATGGTTATACAAGTTTAAACATTTCAGCTGTTCTGAATCTATGATATAAGAGGGATGAATATGACTCCTAAACCTTTCTATGCCACAAACTGATTAGATCAACTTGAGGTATTTGGGTTAAGATCCACAAAGCTGACAGCTCACTGTTAATCAGTTTGCACAGTATTTCTGTAAACAGATGGCATCAAGTGTGACATACCAATGTTTATAGAGGGATGAACAAGCCTCCACATGACCTATGCCTGCTGAGAGTTGAAGGTCATTTGAGGAAGTATTGTAGAGTTTTCTTTGCAACACCATGAACCCCAAAGCAGCTCTGACATTTCTAACATGTGCATTTGGCAGTAAAATGGTTAAGTGTATCATTACTTTTGAGGGGACATATGGGTCCATACTGCACTCCTAAAGGCAAACATTCCAGCATGAAGTGGAGACATATGAATTCAACTTTGCTGCAAAACATTCACAGATGCACAGGGCCAATGCTTACGTATGAAATGAAACTTCTGTGCAGGTTATATGAATGAAAGAAAAGTCAACTGGTGATTCTGGTTCAATGCATTCTAACTTTTCCGTTTACTGTAGGTTCCAGCCACTGTTTCATAAATGTCAATTTATTATGCAGACTATTTTCAAATTTAAATATAATCTGATGGATTAGTGTGCAGAAAAATCAAAACAATGGAAATGACACTTCTTATATTTACATGCATAAAGCAAAAGGACATAAAACAGAATCATAAATTCCACAATAAGAAAAGCTGAACATTAGAAAATTTCAAGACACACTAGGGAGACGACGGTTTAGACGTATGATAAAGAATCTGAATACATTACTAAGGAGAAATTTGGAAATTATCATGCATGGAAAGAAGCCAGTAGGAAAACCACCAAATTAATCATAGAACTTGTGTCACTAAAAAATACAGCTCTTCTTAGAAATATTTAAAGTAATCCTAGAAATTAAATACCTGCAATTTGGTATCATTTAGGAAGATATCACTTTACAGCAATACATATTTGTAAAAAGATGTTTAATTTTATGTTTCACTGTTCCATGTGGTGATATGGGAATTTCTTGATTATCAACATTACCATTGGTTTAGAGAATGCCCTCATAAATAATCAAATACAACAGTCCCTTGAACCTGCAGGAAATAATTCTGGTCACTACTATTTCAAATTATCAGTGTGTTACTGCATACTAAATTTTAGAAACTATAACATGATACCTGGAATAGTAAGAATTTTTTAAGCTACTCATAATATATTTACTGCTAGTTACAGTAGGTCATATTTCCTAATAGAAGCAATACAGATCTGCCAAATTACTGTACCTGCAACCACTCTGTGTACACTTGTAATAAAAAGGTACAGTATCACATAAATTAAAACTGTTTGTTCAAATGATGTTCCCACCTATACTGTTCTTGTACAACCCTGCTAATACTTTGGCTGCTATCAAAAGCATCTCTCTCCTGGAAACCCCAGTCAGGGCTTGATGCCATTCTGAATGATGAACCTGAAAACAAAATCATACAGAACTGTCTTACTTCACAGATACAAGTCTGATACTTCTTGCAGCTCATACCAATCCTCTAACTTCTTATCAAACAACCAACCACCCATCCAATATTAAAACTCCTGGGGTCCAACTCTCTCTGCCATACCCATTTCCCTCAACTGTGTTTAAGTATTATCCTTCCACATCTGTCTTGGTTTTCAAAGTGATGCTCTGCATGAGATTTTCCCACCAAATTCTGTACATATTACCTGTATTCCTCATCTAGCTATGTGATTAGCTCACTATGCCTTCCTTGATTTAGCTATTCTAATAACAGAAGGAGAACACTGTAAAAAAACAACTTTTTATATTTTTCACTCATACCATGCTTTCAAACTACATCAAACAATAGAGAAATTGTTTTATTCTGTAATTCATAAACAGAACCATTGAAGAAAACAAATGCAGTCCCACTGAAAATAAATCTGTGCACAATTAAGGGCAGTATTTATTGATACAAATATGGTGCAAGTTGCAACTAAACCACATCATTAGCAATTATTAGATGAATGCCAGGATAACACCTAGAAATAGGCCATGACCTTCCCCAAAATTAATTTAACGGAGAAGAATTCTTCACCAGGTCGCATTAGTCAATCAGATGACAGAAAAATCTCTCATCTTTTAATGGAACCTGAAGACTCAGTACTGTATTCACAAAAACCCACCACTGGTACATGACTTGAGCCAGATGTATCCAGTCCACAGTTTCATATCCTATTTCTTTAAGATTAATTTTATTCCATAAGTATTTTACTTGCCTGCAAATTACTAGCCATGAGGCTACCAATGGTAACTGCCAAACCTGACCACCGAAGAGGATAATCATTAGGAGTGTCCTCCTGAGCCAGAGCAACAACAGCAGCAGGCACTGGGGTGAGCTGAGTAAATGTGTGCAGATTTATTTCTCGGTCAGGGTCTTTGAGCATTAATACCCCTACATCATACCACCTAGAAAATAATTTAAACTAAAGCTTAAATACCAGACCACAGACTAATGGAAATAAGATACAATACATATAACAACTTATGTTCCTTACTCCACACATCTGACACATGCAACAGGTTGTATGGGATACTGTTACAGGAATTTGTTCTGTTGGAGATTTTTATAATTGTCCTACAAGCTGAGATTTGGATCAGTGTGCACCAAAGAGTTGTAACATATTTTGCCTCTCAGAAGGACGCTCTCTTTCACAACACTTGCTTTGCATCAAGATGAAACAGGAACTAAACCACAACCTAAGTAGGGGTAGGCCATTAATTAGACAAAAGAAATGTTTAACCTAATAATGAATAACAAGATTTAGTATAATGGAAAGAAGTTTGGTATGTGAATATATTGTGACTTGTTGCGCAATGGAGGAGAACCCCTCCCCCCCACAGTGACGTGGCAGATGAGTCAGCGCTCCGTCACCCCCCTCCACACAGTGACATAACATGCAACGCGCAGTGACGTAAGATGGCGTGAGGTAACAGCGTTGCTAGGCTATACGCAAACACTGTGACGCTGCACCGCTTCCTACTGTTGACGCAGGCACAGGCAACAGCGAACGGAATAAAAGCCGGCTGAGCAGTAAGCGTGAGTTAGTTGTAATGTGGCCATCGGCGAGTTCAGTTGTAGTCAGTTAAAGTGTATCAGCAGCCAAAGACAGTTCTCCAGTCAGCAGCCTACAGTTGGAGTATAGCAGCATTCACAGAAAGAAGAACCAGACGTGTGTGTAGTTGTGTAATTGGGAGTGTGTGATACAGGGACACTTACATAGCTCCCCTATTGTAAACGTGTAGACTACTGAAGTGTGGAAACCCGTAACATTGTTATAATTAATTGTAGCCGTTACTTGTAGGTTGTTGAATAAACCAATTAATGATCTCTATGGCGTATTCAGTAATGCAACATGTTACAATATTGTGGCATATAGACCCGTAGCTATGCAGTGACCGTATAAAGAGCGGCCTTTGCTAGGTAACGCCAGCAACAACAAAGTTATTATTTTCATTTCATGCATCCTGTTGTGTTACAATATACTTTTTTATTAACCGTCACAACACAACAAATAACAAGGTCAATGTCCAGCTATGGCTCTGCTACATGTTTCGGCTATTAATAGCCATCATCAGACAAATACATGGTTAACATATATACACCACTGAACTGCAGTACTATTAAACATATAAAACACTTGACATAAAAATACAATAAATCAGATTATATAAAAAAACAGAAGTTATAGTATAAAACAAGAATAAAATTCTAATTGATGTTTTATAACATCAAATCAGTCGTTCGTTTTGTATTTTCGTACTTTCCTATGGACAAATTGGAATATTCTATATATATTTTTCTTTTTGTATATAAGATTTTATAGGAGGCTCGTGATGTAGATGTAGTAAATTAATGTTAATTGTTTAGTCAGTGCCTCATCTTACAAAGTGCTGTCCGTACCCTAGGGAATGTAAACAATTACATTCCCTAGAGTACGGTAGAGTATTCCTGAGTGTCATACACCATCAGCACCTTTCAAAATCTAAAAACATAATAGCTTTACAAGACATATCATATAGTTAACTGAAAAATTTTTATCGCAATAATTTTATACAAAATTGGACAACTGTGGCACCTATAATTTTTTTTTCAGAACGAAAATTTACTGTATTTATTTTATGCATAGTACTCACTTGTTTTCTTCAACTTCAACAAGGAAATTTTCTATAGCAACAATAGGCTGTTTTGGATGAAGTTTCCCAGTGGATTGTAATGCTAATATCCTCTCTTCCGCTGCCTTAACACCTGCTGCAAATCCAACAGGTTGGGCCGCAATCATTGTAGCCTGTGCAGCCAAACCTCTGTCAGACAGTTACACAGCCAATTACAATACATCGCCACCTCTGAGAAAAAACGCCCACAAAATGTGATCTGAAGCAATAACTACAGAAACGTATGAAACCAAAATTAAACTCAAAAAGATCTGAAAGTTTCTGATGACGGTATAATAACACAATTATTGCGTTTCTGGACAATATCCTTCATCCTGCTTTACTTACTTAAAACCCGAAGATAAGGTCTAGCTCTAGTGATTCGGCACAACTGGGTAGGTTCCACCTGACAAAGCAAGACAGAATTCAGTCTGCAAAACGTGTTTTTAGATGAATATTAACAGGATGATGAACAATGTCCAGAAACACGATAATTGTAACGAACTCAAAAAGGTTCATTTAATAGTATAACTTACGAAACTGTTGCTTTACCAAACACAGCTTGGAAAGCTTCACGAACAGGGCTCAATTTCACCTCCTTGTCTGAAGCAACTACAACATCCACATCACCTCCAGAATCTGAAAAAAATTGTAAATATAACAACCATAAAATTATGTTATTATCACTAATTAATTCCATGGAACTGAGCCCTTCTTTAGAAGCTGCCAGTTTTTCAGTTACTCAAGAATTTCCCAACATTTTATGGTACGTGAAGATTCATTACTGTCTTCACAAGAGTCTTCCACTGATCCCTATCCTGAGCCACATCAATCCAGTCTATACCACCCCAATCTACTTCTCTAAGGTCCAGTTTACTATTATACATCCATTTATGTCTTGGTTTTCCTAGTGGTCTCTTTCCCACCAATATCCTGCATGCATTCCTCTTCTCTCCCCAAAATTTGTATGGATGAACACAGCATAGTCCAGTACTCAAGAGACAACCTGCAGCTGTAGAAGCTGGATTAGAAAAATATTTTCCTGAAAAATCTAGATGTAGTGACAGGTTACACTGGGCTAGTTAATTTTAGTTTCTGCTAAATTTTATTTGTGTTGGTACCAGCTGGCATGACTGGTACATGAATCCCGTAACAAATCTTGAAGTATATGCTAAGGAGATAGTTGCAATATACATGATCCTATCTTGAAAAAGCAAAGGCAATTTATGTATAAGCCAGAACTTTACATAGAAGACAAATAACGTTTAACGGCATAAGGAACACATCTACTGCCAATCTTCTGACTTCAAATATTCTAACCAACAAAAGTTGTGTACATCAATGTGCCAAACTTCATCTGTATGTTAGCAGTTCCATGCTAGATGAAGAATAACCAAGCAGTGCATTCACACAGAATTACAACTTCTGCAGACAAATGGGGTATAATTTAATTTAAGGAGACCATTACATACACAAAAACTCTCTCATCTGAGGATCGAGTGTTGTTATCATGGAGTCCACTGAATTTTTCGCTTTCTCTGCTACTTTTGAAAGAAGACCACCACTCCCAACTGCACCTTTCACCCACCCCAACAATCCACCACTTCCTTCTGCATGTGCTGCTGCTGGACCTATCTCAGGGGGTAGAACCATAGAAACATCTCCACCTTTGCTAGGAGGGATCACTGGACTAGAACAAATATGAAAAGGAAGACCACTCAAAATCATACAATAGAAACATATAAAACATTCTGGTCCACTAAGTGGGAAAACAGTACAGAAAATGGTTCATTATTTATGCTTAACTGAGGCGTCATGAATGAACCTTGAAATATGTTCTACAAGTTCACTACAAAGAAATACATCCATGGTAGGTTTACAGCCCACTTTAAAGTACTAAAGGCCTGGCCAACACACACTTCACAGCTGAAACAGAATGTGAGACATGTAAGGAATACAATATTATATTTAAGCATCCTGTTGCACTCCATACGATAAATGATATAATGATACAAATTCCATCCCAAGTGCAAACAATATATTATGTGTCTCCTTGATCTTGTTCACCTACACTACATGTTTCGGCCTCAGACGGCCATCATCAGGTGTATAACACTCACGTCGCTGTCACATTGCATTCAGCCCAAAATTTAACATTTAAAACACTTTTCTTGTTATTATCAACATCTACTTCATTGATATCTGTCTGGTTTGTAGATTATTTTACACATGTTAATTTTGACGTACCTGTAGTAGCACTATAAAAATTTTAAATTTAAAATTTAGAGAAAAAATTTTAAAAGATTTTAAAATTAGAACTAAAGATTTTATAGTGCTACTACAGGTACGTCAAAATTAACGTGTGTAAAATAATCTACATCCAGACAGATATCAACGAAGTAGATGTTGATAATAACAAGAAAAGTGTTTTAAATGTTAAATTTTGGGCTGAATGCAGTGTGACAGCGACGTGAGTGTTATACACCTGATGATGGCCGTCTGAGGCCGAAACATGTAGTGTAGGTGAACAAGATCAAGGACACATAATATATTGTTTGCACTTGGGACGGAATTTGTATCATTATATCATTTATGTAAGGAATAATCTAACAGCTAATTCCCAACAGCAGCTATTAATTTACATTTCACTCTACCCATTCTTCACATGTGATGGCAACTTGGCAGAGGGGATGCTAGCCATGAGGGAGCACTGGATACCCAGAATTATGGTCTTCTGGGATAATGCCATGTTGTTTGGTAGATATGTACCAATATTTCAAAGGAACCTGCTACTTCCACCTTCAGGATATAACCAAACATGAAAGCAGTAGAGGCCTGTGAAACACCGGTACCCATCTACTAACACAAATGGTACCATGTCACAAAAGACCATAATTTTATTATATTTTTGAGAATATCAAATCTTACAGGGGCTCCCAAAAATCACAAAAATTTGATGTTGTAGAGCAAAGGGATGAATGTATGAATGAACACTGCATCTGGCCAATGCTGAACCTGAGGCCTTCAACATAGGAGTCCAGCACCTACTCCTTGACCACCACCAGTCCCCAGATGATATTTGTTTAATTGCTTTAAAATTATATACCAACCTGTATGCTAACAATGCTCATGAAAAGTGGTATGATGTCAGAGTATTAATTTTCTTGGAATACTGTACATACACACACTATGATCACCATCAAACATTTATCCATATTTCATAGTCCCTAAGAGAGCTGCTACATTTGGGGTTCTTACTGGGTATTCCTTATAACAGAAAAGGCTATCTTCTTTACCTGAATGTAGTTGGATGGTAGGCATGAGTTGATGCTGGCACAGGCTGTGTCACTGTTATAGGCTGATGAGTGGTGCTGGTAGCAACATGAGTTACTGATCCCATTGAAGGTGACACAAAACTCGGAAGTGCAGAAGGTGGAGCTACACTAGATAGTAAATTTCCCTCACTTGCTGTAATGTTCAATGGCAGTACTGAAGATGATGATGTGACACTGCTCAGAGACTCTAATGACATTAAAATCACTTACTTTAGCACTACCAGCAAAGGAAATTTGTGTACATGCCTGGACATCAATTAACACATTCAAAAGTGTGAATTACAGAATTGCTACACAAAGCATATCTCAGATTTGGAAGAAATTTGAGAAGATGACATCAGGTTATATTTTACTTCTGAAATAATGGATAGAAATGGGCTCTTATTCTTGTTATATTATTTGTCAACAATCTGAATACTATAAGATTTTTAACCATTTTCTTATTTTCAATCTGTCCAGTTCATTAATATTAAGATAAGTATCCTTGATTTTTTCATGTTACAAGTAATTTCCCAAATAACATTGCCTGCTGTACTTGCAACTTTTCTGTCAATCTTTTGGTATATCAGAAAGTTGAGTGTACTAACTATACTGCTCACAGCATATACTCCATTCATCCCTCACAAGCAGCTAATCCCATATTCTTCCTCCCTTCCTTTACTTCCACAATTACATATTTTCTGTCAGGCTATTTGCTTACTTTAGTTTGTTCACAAATACTATCTCTTCTCAGTGGACTTGTTCAAGAAGTGACAGAACATTATCTCCTATAACACGCCTAGTGTTTAAGCATACAAACTGCAGGATACGTATAAATATATTATCATAAAAACTTAACCATTATTTAGGGTATACGGCTGCATCACATTGGGACTTAACTTGGATAACCTACAAACTACAAGGCCTATCTAACAATTCAGAACGAAGCACAAAGGCAAAGGAACTGCCACTTTCCGTGTCAAACTGCTGTTCCGAACCTGTTGGTAATAACTGAATATAACATTCGACGAACACAAATTAATACGGACCTGGTCTTGGCAAAGTTTCATTTGAAGTAACAGACATTTCTTCCACTCTCTTTTCAACAAACTCAAATGTCGATTCGCCATTAGAGTCTTCGTGCATCATTTTCATTATTACCTGACACTTCCACTTCTCAACACTACATCCGAATGATTTGAATCGTGCAACAACCACTATCAGCCACCTGGTCAAATACGCTAAGAAAGGTGAGAACGATTACAAACGGAAAAAAAAAACACCATGAACTGCAACAAACACCTTCACACCGTTCACACCCAACCCACACTTCCCACTGCTAACTGAACGTAACTGAACGCTACTGAATACTTATTCTCTAAGACAGCAGTTTTGTGAAATCCCTTATGAAAACGGTTGGCCCAAAGGCACCAACATCACCCAAACGAAAAAGCTAACGATTGCGGATTCTTTAAAAAACCACTTCACATGCCACGACCTGAGTGATGACCCTCAGCACCATGAAGACCATGAACGACAGGTGAAGAAAAGAAAAGTCCAACCTCTGCTTGCATCTGTAGACTACACCCCGCTGGGAAAAGTAAAAACACCTTGTGACATACACAAACTAGCAAATTCACTGAAACTGAGAAAGGCTTGTAGACTTGATGGTATTGCAAACAAATGCCTCAGGCATCTTCCAAGACGTCCAAGACGATCACTTGTACATCTGACACATTTATTTAATCACTGCCTTCGGCTTTCCTATTTTCTAAAGTCCTGGAAGAAAGCAAGTCATGTTACCGAAACCCGGCAAGGACCCAAAATTCCCTCGAAATTTACGCCCGATTAGCCTCATGTCAACAGCGCGCAAGCTATTAAAGAAGGTTTTTTGTTTTCCTGAAAATATCCCAAAGGCACGTTGGCGCCATTGGAAGTCGATGCCTGCTTTAATGCAAGCCAGTTTGATTTCAGTGCCCGTCACAGCAAGATGTATAAATGCGTGAGGCTTACACACCATGTCACATTAGATTCCAACAATATGTCTACGGCTGCGGTCTCCTTGAATATCGAAAAAGTCTTTAATACAACACGGCACATTGACTTGCTACATAATTTATCTAAATTAAAATTTTCGATCAGTCTAATCATCCACATTGGCTTCTTTTCTTCTCAGAGAAAATTCAGAGTCTCGACCGTCTCGACCAAGGGATATATTGTACAAGCAAGGGAGCCACAGGATTCTTTGCTGATGACACCTGTATGCCACAGACCGCATAAAAAGTTATGTTCTCAGAAAACTGCAACGAGGTCTCAATGATACTGAGATATAGTGTGAGCGATGGAACATAAATACCCGTATCAATGAAAATAACGACTCAGACCATCTACTTTTCTCAGAGATTTAGACCCCTTGAGGCTCATTTTACACTGAACGGAAAGAATATCCCCTTCGTGAATCATGTAAAAAATCTCTGTTTAATCATCGATAAGAGTTATATGGAGACTGCACATGGAAATGAATAAAACCAAGACCTTCAGAGAATTTATTAGTCTACCCCCTCTTCGAAAATGAGCGTTTAAGAGGTAACATTCAACTAACCCTCCATAAAGCACTTATTAGATTATGTTTGCCCACCTGGGAATTTGCGAAAACCCCATTAAAATTGTCATATAATTATATAAGTACAGATGTTTGAAAGCCGTGTGCAAATCGCAAACCGGTGTGCACCTTGGAAAATTTCCAATGATGCAGAGAACTTTGTTTTTGAAGGCGCCACAATTTCAGTAGATGGTTGTCTTCTGCAAACTCCCAGTTACGGTCTTGTTTTTGTAGGGCACCCTCTCTGGCAAGAGAACAGGTCTGGGTCATTCNCAGACGGGTCATTCCATGTGAAATCATCCAGAAAGGTCGCTCACCATTTAAAAAAAAAAATCAAATTTGTACACTTATTTCTACATATTTTCACACCTAAAAAAATTTTAAAAAATTGTGATCCGCTCGGTACTCCCGGTACAGCCGTTTTAATAATGCGAAAAAACGCGTTTTCGGCTCAAATGGAGGTTTGTGTTATCTTCTGTATCTCGATAACTAGTGAAGCTAGAGACTCCAATGAAAAACCAATTTGTTCCTCATGATATGGTCAACAAATCATATCATTACAAGATTTTACTCAACTCACTTTCTCTAGGTGTAATTAAGTTCGAAACTTACCTATCGATTTTGGGAAAAATGCTATTTTTGAAAATTTTGGAAAATAGGTACGGTGTTCAAAAGTATGTGATTATATTCTTCATGTAGGAGAAAATAAAGGATAGAAACCACAGATCTGATACTTTCCCCCTCCCATTGGTTTCTGAAGGTCAAAAATAGCGTTTTTCCCAAAATCGATAGGTAAGTTTCGAGCTTAATTAGACCTAGAGGAAGTGAGTTGAGTGAAACCTTGTAATGATGATTTATAGTCCATATCATGAGGAACAAATTGGCTTTTCATTGGAGTCTCTAGCTTCACTAGTTATCGAGATACAGAAGATAACACAAACCTCCATTTGAGCCGAAAACGCGTTTTTTCGCATTATTAAAACGGCTGTACCGGGAGTACCGAGCGGATCACAATTTTTTAAAATTTTTTTAGGTGTGAAAATATGTAGAAATGTTTACAAATTTGATTTTTTTTTTTAAATGGTGAGCGACCTTTCTGGATGATTTCACATGGAATGACCCGTCTGTCTTTTGTATATGCTGCTGGCCTTTCCAGCATAGGCTTACTCACTTCCGAGTCCCTTGGAACTCGCTACCATATTTTACTGTCTCAGATTTTAGACTTCCCTTTTCATCGCCTCTTATGACTTGCAGGGTCACAGTGGAGGTATGGAATCATTCCAATAAAATAACACAAATGCTCAAGCAAACACAACTGCAATAGAGTCCAACGGGCATGTACCAAAATAAAGTGAAATAGGTACATCATAAAAGGCCCATAAGATGTGTAGTTATAAAGAGAAAGATACCTATAAAATATCTACATCTCTGCAAGTGTATCAGATAGTTACGCATGACAAATCACTATGTCATCATTATTAAGTTACTGGTTTTTATTTTAGTATATGATGCAAACTGAAACTGCTTTATCAGGGATCTTGAACATACTAGACTTTTCTTCTGTAAGGTTGTCTAATGAAGGTACGACATACAACCTTCACCAAAAATCCCAAGCAGTCCTTGCTGTGAACTTGTGTTTTGACAGACAATTATGTTCTGTATATTGTTCACACAATATACTACCAGCATGATGATTTAGTATACACTAAAATGATGTATAAAATGTCTCACTGTTGCTATGAAGTGTTCTACTTCTGAGGTGTAGCCTGTTGAAAGTTAACCAACATACTTGTCTAGAAATTTGGTTTACTTTCAACAGACTACATGGCATTATCTCCTAGAAGATGGAACTCTTTACAAAATGTTTATAACTTACGATCATACTAGATGTCAGATGACTGGTTACCATAATCTTCCACTATCAAACTGAAAAGTATAGGTTGGTAAACCCTGATGCCACATTGGGATTTTTTAATCTACTTAAACATGCCTCATTACCCTTACAGGAGCAAACCAAACTTAATGATATTCATGATTTTAGTGCAGCATGTACAAAACAAGTCTGGGTATCCAAGGAATGTGACAAGTTTCACAGAAAGGACTAAGTGATAACTTATGTGACAGCAATAAAAATGTACTTTTTGAGGCTGGATTAGTGCTGCACAACACATGAAAAAACACTCCATTAGATGGAAGCCAGTTTTCATAAGGGCAAATTTACCATCCACATCATATTTGGGGGGCAGACAGTACTGTGACAAATGCTTCTATCACTGGATAATGTAAACACTCATAATACACTTGAGATCCAGGACATCAAACTTCAGAATAAATACTTGCTTTAAAATTCCAGTTAATAAATGACAACAGCAAAATGCGAAACTAAGAGAAAAGTGTTGCACCATATCTTATGATAAACAATGGACACAGGGAACTTGAATTATAGATTAACTCAGCAAAGTATTAAATACAAGAGCAGAACACTCACAAACTCTGGACAAAGGAATGGAGTAAAATGTTGACACAACAACAAAAACTATGGATTGTAAATGTATAAGTTTATTCTGAATACAAAATGAATCTTCATCATTATACAGCATATGGTTTCAACTTAAGTTCCAAAAACAATAATGTGGTTATTTCAATGCAACAAAAATGAATAACAGAATGTCAACCACAGAAGTGGTCTTTTGACAGTCACACTTGTTAAAGAATGTTTAATATTTAAAAATTACTTCTGAAAATTAGTGCATGATCCATGTTTATTTCAATTACTTAAAAAAATTCAAGCCATTTTCTGTTGTCAGCATTTTACTGTGCATTCTGTACTGAGCAATCAAATTTTCTGTAATCTGGCAATGTGGCAAGAAAACATGGGGGCTGGTGAAAATGATGAGGGCAGAATGAAGTGTTAAGCATATTACAGGAAATATGCGTGATTAGCAACATGCAGCTCCACTTTGAAATTTACAATAACACTGAATCAAGTACATCTATCTAACAGCGCTCTAAGAACAAATTAAGTTATCGTGGGTGCCAACAGTATTACATTTAGTCACACTGAACTTTCAATTACTAGTAGAAATAACATTGAAACTTTCAACATTTTACACTTGCACAATACTCCATGACAACAGTGAACACTTCTAGGTTGGAGGTTCATTTTTCACAATTTTTAACTATACTCTTAACAAAGTTCATGCTATGGGACATTCTGTGACTTTTAACACATTTATGGTCTGTTCCTTTTTCTACAACTTATTGGAATTTTAATTTGGGGATTTAGAAACATTTTCACGTGACTGGTCTTCGTTAAGCTGGCAAAAGCTGAATACAAAGCTACCTATATAAACAATGCAAACTAATGATTTTACTTTATCCTGAAGACTTACTACACTAAATTACAAATTCGCTATGTCTTGAATTATTGTATGTTCTTGGACAGTAGGTGACAGATTTTGAACCGAATGGCAACCTTGTGTGGTCAAGTACAAATTCAATCAATCAGATTCGGAAACATATGTTAAGAGTGATCCACCGACATAGATGTTAAATATCAGGGCATTGCAAAATGCACACACTTTCCAGATTTACAATTCTGTGTCAAACTAAAATTCAATTATCTATAACTAACTAAATCGTTCATATTACAGTTGTTATGAATGTTTACTGTCAAAGTAACTGATATGAACATTCTCTTCCTCAAGTTTGCTTACACACATGCTTGTATGTAAGCATTTTCCCCAGCAATTAAAATCTTAAATGTATTCCACAAATTCCAGCTTTGCAGAAACTGAAAGCTATCATACAAAACAAGCATACCTCTTTGGCTATGTAACAAACTGTGCTATGTATAACTGGTATGTTAAGAGCTGCTATTATTTTGATAAATGAATGAAAATCATTCAAAACCAGCCAGAAGTCAGAAACATGAGTAACCTGACAACGTTGCTGAGTGTTTGCATTTGGGGGATCAACTGAATTACCAACACAGGGCATGTAGATATAGTTTTTGAACATATCATTCCAGTGAGGAAATTTCTGCAGTACTGAAATTACTAAAAGCTCAAAATATATGCACTACCTCTAGAGCAGAGGTAAGCAATGCATCACCCTTGTTATGTATTGAAAAGTCACCCATCAGATTTAAAAATTTTATACAAATTTGCTCATTTTTCATGTCTTCCAAAAATTTAGTTTTAGGAATGTATGTTAAGTTGCAGAGAACTGAAATAATATTGTGACACTCTTCTATGGTGTTTTAAACAATCAATTCCCCCACTTCTTGACTTTGGATGGGAACCAGCACTTCCTGTATTCATGCCACTCCTGTGCATTGGAGGAAAACGAACCCACTTGAGTGATGTGCACATAGTTCGATGCATTGGAGCTCAGTATTGCAATAACCTTTATTTCCTTCATGAATCGGTATTTTCTCTTGGCTGCATGCTGCCAGTGTGGGTTAACAAAAGGTAAAGAATGCATTACATATATACTGACTGGGAACAACTGTTGTTTTACAGACCTCAGAATAAGCATGTCTGTCGGCTCTGTAAAGCAAGCATAGCAGTACCTAAAACCAGTAACATCGAGACACCTTAGTACAGTTCATGGAAATTTCAGAAAGACACTTTCCACTGGCTCAGGAATTAGGAAAAGAAACATCTGACCTGAAGTCCAGTTCAGCAAAATAGCCATCTGCTTTTCCCACACCACACCAAAAATGTAACAACTGCATCCTTTAAAATTTTGAAATTGTTAGCAAAGGAACAGAAAGCCACCTTAAGACAGAGACACTGTGAAAGCTACCATGCTGACTGTATTTGAAACTGCAGTAACATAAATGAAATAATTTAATCTATAAAGAAACTGTAACTGTCCTGCTAAAACAATTATGGATTAAAAAATATTTCAAACAGTATGTAGTCTCAATAAAAAACTGGTTTACAAAATGTACATTTCTCTCCTTACAGCCAGATGAACCTAGATACATATCAAATACTGCCCAAATGTTTAGTTACAAAGACTGAAGTTCAGCAGCTTTTTTCTAAAATGCAAAGTCAAGACTTCTGTAGAAAGGCTGAGCATGGGGTAAGATATTTACAACACATTTATAAGAGTATGCAGAGGAACGTAGCACCTCTCAAAAAGTGAACATCAACACATGGAACATATGAAATGACTGGATACTGGAATGCACTCATTACTTTGGTACCACAAAGATGATGATTCTTAATTTTGTTTTCTATCATCGTATGACACATCCAAAGTGTTACACACTAAAGATCTTTATTTAGAGCATGTTACGAAAACTAGCACCCAGATAATCAACCAAATTATAGCTGCATATTCACAAGACATTTGCATGATGAAGAGACTAAGCACAACAACATGCTGCTCTATTCTCAAGAAAGGTTACTTAGTTGGGAAAAAATGTTCTTTAGGTTCCTAAATATCTGGAAGAAAGAGTGATCCTGCATTTAAGAAATGAATACTATGCAGAGTTGGATGACATTCCCTGGCTTATAGACCTTGGATTCCTGACTGAAGTAAGCCCAATGATGAATGGGATGAATTTACAAATGCAGGGGAAAATTCAGATTGCAAAAATCATCAGCTCAATAAATGCATACAAGTACAAATTAGAAAATTAGAATTCAAGTGTCACCTTGCAAGAAAGTCACTTTTGCTTTTCCCAAATTAGAAATCAGTTGTTGGATCTGCATATCAGGGAAATATGTTGCCTTACATGCGCCAACTCGAAAAGCTACAGCAAGAAATGGGAGGTAGATTTATTGAGTTCCTGGCAAAGGACTTTTAAGCAAATTTGTTTAATGCCAAAGATATCAGTAAGATTTGTGTTCTTAATCTGAATGGTACCACATTAAAGACACTGCAGTGGTGGAAGCCAGAAACTTGAAGAATGATATTCTAAGATCAAACTGCAATCACAAATTCTACTTGCTACTATGGCACTGCCTCTGAAAACACTGTGTATACACAAAAGGCTGAATCATTTTTCTCAGCTATGAAGCGTTTGTAAGTACAGATCATGGTTACTGGATTAATATCTGGCAAACTGTTTATAAACAGCCACATCAAAATTCATCCCAAATTATAACAAGACATGCAATGCCAAATCTCTACACTAGTAACATGTTTTAAATATAAGGTATAACAATGAGACTGTTTTAAATAAACAGGTTTAACTTTCAACTTACAAAACTTTGGTTTCTGGCCTTAATTATTTGATACAAACTAAATGAAAAGGTTGTTATTCATTTTTCTAATGTTCTGCATCAACATGAACCAAAAAGGGGGGCAGGGGGGAGAAGAAAGAGTATGGTAGCGGAAATTTCTTTATGTACTTAGTGTGGGCATGGAGAATGATTACTTCAGATGCTCTCATTTCTTTTTGCGACCTACTCCCACATCCACTGTGTTGTGGTAAGGTTAGACTACCTGAGGTGTGTACATCTTGTGGCAATAAAGGTCTGGATATTTTTAATATTAGTGAAAATTTTCCTTGGCATGCACTGGTGTGATCTTGGCAAATAGCTCCACAGGCTAAAAGGTTTCCAAACCCTGCTTTAGAGGCTTATTTTATATGCTGAAATTAAAACAGTAAAATGATGCAACAGTTCAAAATTCACACATCCCTCTCAATTTTCATACCTAAAATCCTTCAATCTGTACTATAAGACAGCAACTGATATTCATTATACCATGGCATTAACTTTGTAAACAGCATGAAAATACTGGTATCATTTTCTTTTTATTCTTCTCACCAACTGGACTTTATATGTTACAAGCAAAGTTCATGGAAACATATAAGAACCTGAATCTTTTGGGCTTCTGATAAAGTGAAATTATATTTTACTGTAGCTAACATGCACTAATGAAGAAAAAGCAAGAAAGAACATCAATACCTTATTCTGACTTAGTTTCTACTACAAGGGGACAAAACATGTTTTTGTTACTACTCTTCAGTAAATAGATCTCAATTACTTCTTCTTCCTTCCACGGGCCCTGGTAGCCAGGGATCCTCTGGTTCCCTTATTTCGAGTGCTGTTGCGACTGCCCTTCGCAGGAGAGTCTGGTTCCTGCTTTACAGCCAGTAAATCTTCCTCCATCATTTCATTCAGACTCTCGGTTTCACCTTCGCCATCAACAGCCTCTAGGAGACTTCCAATGTCACGATCCACCTCTGCCCATAAATTATCCTCTCCATCAGCAGTATCATCTTTCTTTATCTTCACCTTCTCCTCCTCTTCCTCCTTCACTGGTGTCTCAGGCTCTGTATCTTTGCTCTCATCCCCAGGATTAGACTCCTCTGCATCTGCCTCCAGTGGGTCATACTTCTGACTCCCATTTGTTGGAATCTTCTCTGAAGGTTCTTCCTTTATTATTAGATTTGTGGCTGCTGCCTCACTTACTCTATCATCAGTCACTGTGGGTACATCTGCATCATCATCATCATCTTCAGCATTTGCCACTTTACGACGCTTCCAGTTTCCTTCGTCATCTACTGTGGTCGTATCTTCTGTACGTTTGGCTGCCTATAAATCAAAATTCAACTGACTTACTTGGTAATTCCTAAATTACTGATTAATATTTCTACCTCTGGATGGTCCACTTTTCAGAGCAAGAGCCTATAAAGATAGTGATCATATTCTTAATCACCTTACAGAAGGATTGATAGTATGCTCACATGAAACTAATTCAGAAAGCAAAGAATGAACACATTCTGGACATTTTGTATATAAACTGTCTGGATAAGTGACAACTGGGATAATCTTACAGAAGAACATCCTAAAAGAATATCAGCATGGTTATTTCATTCAAGATATGAGATAACCCACTCCACACAGTGAGCATCTTAATATTTAGTCTGTTCTGTTCTTGAAGTCCTTACCTTCTCTGTCTTTTCCAGACTTCCTTCCTTCTTCTTAGCCTCGGCCTTAGCTTCTCTTTTCTCCTTAGCTTCAGCAATCTTTGCCTGTTGACATATTAAGGTTACATATGTTAGAAATGTGCTGATGTGGATGCAGGGAAAGAAGTCTCCTGACAACTTTGTGATATATGATACAATATTAAGTCAACTGCTATGAATTAAGGTTTCAAGATTCCAAACCATTTATCACCTGGCTCAAGATACAGACTAGTGGGTATGGGGAGTTCTTATGAATATGATAATGAACCTTTCAGTTCTCCAAATGTGGGGATTTCAACTAACAGAGTGACCATTAGTTTCTCATGAACTCTGCTCCAAAGTGTGAGTGAAGGAGTTGAGTCTGTTACCTTCTCTTTCACCAATGCTACAAAATTGTTGTAGTGTGTCAAAGTGCGACAATGAGTTTTGGCGTCCTCCACATTAATGAAGAATCTATGACAGGTGCGGCATATCTGACCAGTCATCTTCTTCAAAAGGCTTAGTCCTGTGAAAATATACAGACCATTAAAACACTGGTATCCTTAAACTCTAAATGGACACTATAACACTAGCAAATTCAATGTGGACTTGAGATGATGTTCTCAAATTCAATATCTCTGACAAAGAGGTCAGTATCTTATCCTAGATCACCACACTAAAAGGAAACTGAATGACACTACCATGAATTACAATGGTGATAAAAATTATGATACTTTAGATAATTTAACCTTACTGGCCAACCAAAGCACTAGCACTACCTGCAGTATATCTGGCCATGTGTTGGCAATACTGGGACACTGAATTAGCCCTTTGGTTTGAGCCAGTATGCAGGAGTTATGCCATTGCAACTTTCTTTGCTGCTTTACATGAACTTCCACTATGTTATCATGCTGGGATTTCTTTACAAACACTGAACCTGGTAGGGAAATTTGTAGGTGAAAAGAATAAGGTTCCAGTCATGTCTCCTTCATGTGCACTTTCCACTAATCTCATTTACAGTTGGTCTTTTCAACTCTGAGACAGCAGTGTCTCAGTCATGTGCAGGATGAATACAAATAGTTTCTCCATTGCAGCACACAACCATCAAAGGTTTTGAACCTGTCAGTATTTATTATGCTTGTGGGAAAGTGACAGTGACAAATAAGTTATGTTGCATGTTAGTTGAAACATGGGGGGATCAGCAGACACCGAACTTCCTAGGGTTAATACATCACTGTGCAAGAGAAACACATTCTTGAGGACTAACACATATTCAACATGAAATCATTTCTGGAAAGAGACCGATGAGGCAATCTGATCTGACAGGGAACTTCTAGATGCACAGCAGAAACAGGAAATTACAGCAATGTGCCGGAGGCCAAGGTAAAATCTTCCAAAGACCACTACACCCTTGGAATTTTGGGGGTGTTCATCTTTTTACTGGAGGTATTCCAAAATGTATTTGAAAAAAAAGCACTACTTTTAGTCTGTGACTAGTACAAAAACTGTTTCCAAAAAATCTGACTCCTGAAATATAATTTGTACAAACAGTACTTCACATTTCTAGACGATTTCCTTCCTCACTGTGATGAATTTCTGATTCAGAAGTTACCTTTGTACTGTGAATTTGAAAACATGGGTCTACACATACATGGATCACCTGAGTTCTAAAAAATTTGGAAGTTGCTCCACCCTGGAAGAGCACATTACACTCTACATCTGATCCTGCTGGTGAACAGTGATCAGTGCTCAGCATGTAAAGCTCCAATGCATCCTCTTGGATGAGAATGAGGAACATGCTCCTTCATTCTCCTTTTCAATAAATTGTGAGCCAGTCAGATAAAATTTTAATGATCTATTTTGATACCACAGAAAGCCTGAATAATGTAGTTATTCAGAGCAGCTGGTGGGAAAAAATAATCTTTATGTCAACTTCCATGATGTGTAAATTATGAGGAATGTCAGACAGATACTGCCACATAAGGAATTATTTTACTTTGTAAAACATGACTAACATGAAACTTTGCCAGAACATTCAGGATTTGAGGCTCTCACAGTAGTTACAAAGAGTCCTATATTCTAGAATATGACACCATCTAGTCTGTCGAAATTTAACTAACATTTCAGCGGAACAAGTCATAGAAGCCCCGCTTGCTACCTGCTTCATACTGGTTTCTTGCTTGGCTTATTCTTCAACCCTCAAGATGGGGAAAACATGTTCCTCCAAAACATCAGCTGACTTTCAGCAGGGTACATGGCATTATACCCCAGAGGACAGAACCCTTATTGCCAGAACAGTTCCTATACTGCACTGAATGCTCAAAAACAGAACTCAAAGGGAAGCAAGGCACAGAGTATGGTCAACATTTTCATGCAGATTTAAAATTTCAGAATTCTGTAAACATTAAAACAAAGTATTTTGAACCCACAAATTACAGGCCTAGGCTTTATGTACAGTACTGCTACTCACCAACTGCTACATCAGGATTGTACTTGGGTACCCTGAAACGCAGTTTGCCTATTATTGTTGATTCTCCTTCATCCTTCCCTTCAGCATCTTTCTCTGCCCCTTCACCTTTCTCTGGACCATCATTCTTGTCTGATCCTTTGTCAGTTTCATTCCTTTTATCAGCTTCTTTTATTTCATCTTCCTCCTCTTCTTGTGTCCTCACTTTAATCTCTCTCTTGGAAAAATCATCTCCTGCGAAATCAACATAGTCTGACAAACTAATTCACAATTTCTAAGCAGAAAAACTGAAATAAATGCAGCATAAAATCTGATACATGCAAGGTGTTGAAGTTTCAATAGCTATCGCCCCAAGGTTATGTAACGAGGACACTACCCAAGATACAGTCTGTCGTCAGGAGTTCAGCTGAGAGTGGAGAGAGACCAGGAGGCTGGTGTAAAATGGTCAAAAGCCTGAGAACCGATTAGTTGCCTTGTCAGTTGACAAAGAGTTCTGCATGGGCATCTGTGATAAGAGGACTTGAGAGAGGGAAGCTGAAGAATCTCCACTGTTAGAAGCCATTGCTAGGAAGCTGCTAGTGGAGACTGTAATAGACCGAGGACACTAATCAGTGTGTGTCAGAGATCTGTAAAGTCCAGTTCCAAGCAGTGTATAGAAGAGCTCAGTAAATCCATTCATCAGTCCATACCCTGCCTACAGTCACAACACCCCTAAACTGTGGCACTATTAAACAAGTCACCCCAGAAAAGAAAGGCATTAAGAGACAAAGCAATAGCAACTTGAAAAGGTTTATGTCAAAACCACAACAAAACCCAATGTACAGAAACATACACTGGAATATTGCTGAAAGTGATTATAATGACATTTTGGAAGAGACTATGGATGAAGAGGCTGATGATGATAGAATGACACTAATAGAAGCAATTACTGAAGAAATTATTGAAATATCACACCAAGAACGATTTAGGTACCCAGTTTCAAAACCACAGACTATGAGCTACTTCAGTTCTCACAGAGAAAGTGGATGTCCAAACATGTGGTTTGAAAACTGTGTTCAAACGACCGTCTTGACGATGTCCAAATAAAATTCAAAAAACAAACTGAAGACAACAGTAATTCACCAATGAGTCTGAGGAGACGTCTGATGCTGATGACGCTGTCATTAAACTATCTAAACTAGTTTAACTTCAGTAGCTAGCCAGTTGCGATTTCCAAGTCATTGCTGGGAATCAAAATGTAAAAGAAGTCAAACAGTGTTTTTCTAAATATGCAAGTAAGATGAAAAACTGGATGTAACATTCATGGTAAGGGAAGTAGTTCTTATATTTTGTATAACTGCAACCCACAATTAACATAAGAGCTTCATAATAAATGAACTAAATTTTTATTCCTTTTTCATATGGTATAAGTATCAAAGGATAGTGTTCCCAGGTACATAATTAACTGTTTCTAGTATATGAAGTCTTGCACCAAGGGACATTTTCTTCTTTAATATCAAACATGGCTCTTAAGAAGAAGGTTAAAATCATGAACTTGTAACACTGTTTCTCAGTCAGAAAATGTGCTTGCCCTATCCAGATGGATATGAGCATTCCAACAAGATTGAATGTTGCCTCATTTCTAGTAAAATGTAACTGTGGACCAAATGGTTAGCCACCTTGTTCTCTGGACTTCACATACAGTATTTTCTATTCCCTAATCGAGTTCTACAAGATGTACACACGTTATAGTAATTTTTGTTCAGCAGTAAAATAAATATTTTAAGTTTTAAAAGTGTTAACTGCCTTCAAATCCAAATTACATTCGTCATTGTAAGGGACATACCAAAGCCACCTCCCTCTCCAGAAATAAGTTCCTCAATTCCAAAGTCGTCATCTGAACCAGATTTCCGGCTCTTGCGGACTTCTGCAGTTTTCTACAAACAAAGCACAGCAAATTTTACTTTAGTATTAAGAGACATATTTATGTAACCAAAAATTTTGCACACAACACAAACCATGTTCCGTGACAAGGTAATATTTTATGCAGTTACAGCTATATATTTCTCAAAGCATGAATGGATTCCTTCTTTAAAAATGTAAAACTTAACACAATGGCAAGATACAATTAAAGGCTTACACAAAACACAGGTAAAAAAAAGTTGCTCCTGTGCTTAGCTAATTAAGCACTATGCCATGAAGTTGATGTATAGATCCACATTTTCTTGGCCTGGGCAACAGCTGGAGCTGAGTGATTTCACATCCCAGTTGCTTTCACCACATGGAAAGAGCCCCCAGTGCTCACTTGATAGGGGGCTAGGCACGCCCCAGAGCCGGTTTGGACTTAGAGAAAAGTATTGACCCCCCAGGACTCTGACCCCTTGGTCAACCAGCCCATACCCCAAACGCTATACTGACTATGCTATTCATGTTCAAGATGAAAAAGTGAGCTGAGAATGGAAGAAGCAGAACAAATATAGGGGGAAGAAGTACTGGATTGTGGGCCCAGTGCTAACAAACACAAGGAAGGAAAATGATAAAAGGATAAGAGGTCCTTAAAGAGGTTGTTGTCAAAGTAAACAGAGCTTTGAAGACATGACTTTTGAGTGAACCAATAGGGAAAGGGGTAGAGCAAAGGCAGGAGAGAGAGATTAAAGAAAGAGTGGCCCTAAGGGGCCTACTTAAAAGGGTTAGTTAATAGGAGGCAAGCTATAACACTGGCAGTTTGTGAAACAGAGGGCAGAGTTAGAAGAAAAGATGAGGAAACAGGAAGTTCAGGAAAGGACTAACCACCTACTTTCCTCTCACTGCAACTTAAGTATCTGACACAAGGAGAAAAAACTTTAGTATGTGTAGTGAACTCAACTTTTATAGAACCACAATTACAAATGTAAAAATACAATTTAAAGTGGTTAATTTGTCACCAGAGGCAATATTTTAATAAAAGGGTAAAGTTGTCTCTGTGATTAACTAATTAAGCACTATGCCATTATGGCATATGGGGGAGTGGTTGTATAGATCATTTTCTTCACCTCAGCACTAGCTGGAGGTGAGTGGTCACCTCCACGCGCTGCCTGGTACTCACTCCATACATACACAGAAACTGTAGCTGTGATACGTGATCAGCATTTAACCAAAGAGAGAGAAACAGTGATCACGTCAACATCCAACTGTGGAGAAGAGTCTGCAATGTTCATAATATGCTGATATTTAAATTGAAAAGGTTAAACTAGGTAGGATACAAACCCTCAGATGCAGAGGTGTGAGTTTATGATGATCCCATTCAACACGAGTAGGAAACTCCTTTCCACAGGGCAGGCATCGGGGATGAAGAAAATTTTTCAGTTGCTGTAATAAGAAATGAAATATGCATGTGACACACTTCATATCACTTTGCACCAAAAAAACCTTCATCCATGTGATTGTTCCTGAGGCAATGTGAACTCCACAGCATTCAAGTGTTTATCTGGAACCATCTAAAACAACTGGAGAACAACAACTTTTGAGGGGGGTGGGGACAAACCTTGTACTTCAAATGCCATAAAAAGAGAAGTGAAAGTATTTTATGTCAGTTCTTAGATGAGAATCAAAATAGCCACTTCCTAAATACAAGCCACAAATGTTACCACCTGGAATCATTTTATTAATGGATTTATATCACTCATGAAAAAAAAAACACCAGGTGCATATTCACTGAAGTTACAATGTTAATACTTAACAGCCACTGACAATAACAAAGACAACTCTACAAATATAATAATACCTGATGACGATCATTTTTGCGATGCACAATAAGGTTGCCAAAGAAATGCAAGTCACACATGGTGCAGTACTCCCGAATGCTCATGTTCACCTTCTTTCCTTGACGTTTCATTCTCTCCATCTCAATTTCTCTCTGCTGTTCTGCAACCTGCAACATATCACAGTCTACATCATACTACAATCATACATTTTAATTACATCTGCCAATCCAAAAGCAAGTCACTATGAATTTCGCACCATGAATCATATTCCTAAACCATCAAACATCACAAAGTTATAGTTATAAAGGAAGACAATAATGTGACTGGATAAGGTCAGGGATACAGAATTATGCTCACACATTTTCCATAGATAAGTTAACAAGGCCTGGTGGTAACTACAAGTAGGATGTACGAAATGTATTTTATGACATATATTTCAATGCAACAGGAAAATGAATTTTGTTAAGTGGCTATAACTTAGATGCATTTCTGGACTATGGATAACATTATATAACAACTAATTTAAGAATTTTGACATTCTGCCCAATACTGTTGAATCTTCTGTTAACAGAACTCGTAGGTTCAACAATGCTACCACCAAACCTAACACAATCGTACGCCAGTTACATCCAATCTACATCTTCAAAATGTAAGAAACAGTTTAATCATTGTCCAATCAACTGATATATCCAACAGAATTAGCTGTCTTATGATAACGCTTTCTCCATCTTATTCTCCCACATGCACTCTCTTTTTCATACAAGGGAATTTAAAAAGTAATGGGACTGGCAACACTGCTCATATTCAGTGGCCTTCACCAAGGTGGTGCAAACACTATGCTGCTTCCTTAAATGTGTTCAGCTACTAGTGCAAATGTTGTCATTTTCCACATGTTTGCTTGTAAAAGCTCTTCCAAGAAACCTGTTCTGCAATGGGAGAACAGAACAGCATTTCATACGACTTATGACAGAGATGTGCAACAGAATTTTGTGTGAAGTGCGGAGAAGTGGTGGAGAGATGTTACAGAATGTGTGTTGAGCTAGTGTTTTGTGATGGAAGCATTTTAAAGACAGAAAAGGGTGCTTGACAATGCACGAAGTGGGAGATCAAGCACCGCTGTCACAGATGTGACACTGATATAGCTGAACAACTGCTGAAGGACAAGAAATTTAAACATGACAATGGAAAGGATTCACCGTATTGTTACAATGGAATTAGGAATGCGTTGAGTGTGTGCAAGGTGGACTCCTCGTGGCCTCAGTGATGAGAAGAAAACACAACTACTGGAATTATGCCACTGATAAGTTACTTCTACTGAACAACCTCCTGACTTATCATCATTCATGATCACCTACAGTGAGCTCTGGACAAGATATTATGACCAGGACTAGAAAGAAAGGTGGTGTTTGGAAACACGAACATTTGCCTGCACCAAAGAAGCTTTGCGGAGTACCATGTCAGAAATACGGATGTGCATAGGGTTTATCGACTCAAACCCCGTTATTCTTCAGCACTGGCTACCTTGGAAGCTAATTGTGACTGGTGTTTCTATACAAACACACTTAAAACTCATTTTAGGAATGCAATTTGTGGTGGGAGGGGGGGTCCTTGATGAAATGGTGACTTCTTCAAGAGAATGAATGGCTGCATACTGCAGATACTGATGATAGAGGCGATAGCAGACATTGTGAAACGCCTGCAAAACATTAACTCTATAGTCCAGACCTTGACTTACGTGAAGTTTGGGCATTTCTAATGCTTAAAACATGAGTCATCAGGGTAGACATTGACCACTAACACTGAAGTGAAATAAGCCACTACCATTACCCAATCCATGTCTGAAAATGGCCTATTGCACGTGTCTGAGAAACAGGCAGGGCACTCCAAAAAATGTATGGAATATCAAGGGTGTTACTCTGACAAAGAAACAGCATCCAAGTCTGAGGAATCCTCAGATAGCGAATAAAATCAGTGGTAGCATTACATTTTGGACCCACCTCGTATATGTTATACTCCCTCCCTCTTCTCTTTCATGCATGTTCCTTTGTCCCCCCCCCTCCCCACTTAGACTTGTGTCACACCAGTCACCTCCCAAGTTTCAATATCACTCTTAAATCTTGTTTAACAGCCACTCAGTGGCCACTTACCAATATATGTAACTGCATCAAGATTATGTTTCCTGCTCATCTTTCCAAGCTACATGTCTGATGCTCAGTATGAAAGGCTCAAGTAATAATCAATACAAAAGGCTAACATGACAAAATATCAACATGATTGTTACTTCTGACTTAAGACCTAAGTACCATATTTGCAACTTCTACTCTGCAGTGAAATGTTGTAACTACCACCAGAGTAACAAAATATTCAATAAAACAACTATATTTTTCTGAATCCCACCAATTTAGTATACACCTTCATACACAAATATTTCACTTTAATATATACCACTGTAATAAAAATATCAGTTTAATGCAATACAATCCATACTGCTATTTGATTTGATTGAAGAAGAAAAGGCATTTACACTGATCTCAGCCAAACACCACTATTCAATGTGATCAAATAGTGCATACACACGTGCAGCAAATTATGGGCAAAATGTGGGTGGGCCTTGTAAGCATATCAGTAATCCATGTTCATGGACCTGCAATAAATATCTGGCAGGAATTCTGCTCATTAGGGATGGCTTCTATCAGCTGTCTGATGGCAGAACAGGTACTGTACGTTACAAAAATCTATCTTTGGTTCAGATAATGCTGCTGAAAACACCAAATTATTTTTCATTAATCTCCTATCCCTGTGACAATCATTCAAAGAAGTAACGCTGCAATGTCTGCATTATCATATGAAACTTCATGCCACACTATACTATACATAATCATAAGTTAGGGGATCGACTTGTAGTTACACATTTCAACCATTTTAGAGTATGTAAGATTTGAGGCTTTCACGGGGGTGACTACGAAGAAAGCAGTCTTCTGGGATTTGGCACCGTGTATATGTGGTGTTAACCGACGCAGATTTCTTATATTTTTTCTTCTACCTTGAAGACGGAGGCGATGCGTTCCTCCGAAACGTCAGTTAACACCACATATACATGGTGCCAAATCCCAGAAGACTGCTTCCTTCATTTTAGAGTATTCTGGATGTTCGTTACAATGACTTTTGGGGGGGGGGGTAATTTCTTGCAATATTGAAGTTCCGCTGTATGTATTCTGTGTAACAGACCTCAAATATTACAATATTCAATAAAGGTCATGGTAAATTTATAGAACTTGTCTCTTCAAATACCGCACCTTCTGTTCATGCCTCATAAGCTCCACCCTTATCTTGTAACTCTCTTCAAGTTTATCCATCATCAATTGGTGTGTTCTTCCCTTCAAGTGATTCTGGAATGACTGAAATAAATGGAAACAAATTACTAATAAGCATTCCTAAACCAAAAAAAGAGGAGACAAACACACAAAGTTGCTCATACATACAATGTCATCCCACATGTGTTTCTTGCAAACATGACAGTAAAAGAGTGCAGGCGGTATGCCACTGTAACGTGATGTTGGCACTTTCTCTGCAACATCCTGAAAGAAGAAAAAATGCAATGTGAGTTCAAACACATTCATCTATTTAGAAAAAATTACAAAATATATGAGCTTTGTGGTTTCCTGCTTAATATGTACTTTCCTTATATCCCCAATTTCAATGCATCATATTTAAGGCATGACATCTATTCAGTAATTTTTCTAGCCTTGTTTAATTTCACAATCTCACTATCTATTTTGTGAAAACTATTTCATCTTTGGTGCACTGAAAACACCAAGCTTCAATATGGCACAAGGAAGAACAGTCAGATTCCAAGACACCAAACATAGAGCACTTCCGTAAACAGATTTCATTCTATAACCTACACATTTCTAACTTAAGGCACTGCACTGTATTTTATAACTGGACCAACGACACAAGAAATCTATACTAATTCATGTCAGGGATACTGGCTACTTAATTCAGCCAGCTATAAGAATCTGTCAGGTTCAAACTTCAAGTTTCAGGAAAGAGGAAGCTGGTTCCTCCTACATGACAATGTGAGACCTCACACTGCAGTATCAATAAAGCAGTTAATTCCAGAATTAAATCACCCCCAATATTCTCCTGATTTATCCCCACCAGACCTTTGCTTAGTCTCCAAAATCAAAACCTTATTGAAAGGGAGATTTGAAGACATGGAGGACATTAAAAGAAATGTGACATACAAAGGAACTGTCAGAATTATGTGCAAATGAGTGTTTCCAACAATAAGTGTGTAACATCCCAAGGAGATTACTTTGAATAACATTAAAAGATGTTGATTTTAAATGTCATTATCTTAAAGTTCATGCAGTCCTGGAAATTAACCTTGTAGATTCTTCTTGTCTTACAGTCAAAACGTTTTCTTTTTCATGCTGGCTTTTGTGACACAGCTTGAGATCTCTGTTATTCACTCTACTCTAATACACATGCTCTTGGTTACAATGTCACTAACTTCATTTGAGTTTACACTGGCTGTTGCAAATGTTAAAACAGTTTTGACAACACTGTACACAGCAAAGCACTAATCTATCTCTCTCTTTTGTGGCACAATAACTTGTCTACTTGTCTGATGATATTAAAATTACCTCCCCTTACTCACAACACAATCATATTCTATGCTGCAAACAGCAATGAAATATGAGCTACCATGTTAAACCATAACCTTTTTAGAGGTAGTAACTATGGAGAAGAGTTAGGGCCAGTATGGAATTGTGATGCCAATTGCAAGGACAATCAGAAACATAACACTGAAGCCCTTCTGAGTGGAGGACTTTGCAGTATGCCTGTAGGCTTCTCAAAGACGAGCAGCATTAAGCAAGAAGCAATGTGATATCTTGGAAACAAAGAAATGTCACACAGGCATCTGTTGCCAGATAACATCAAGGACCAATCCCACCTACCATGTATTTCTGTAACCACCTTTCTGTACACCCTGTCCCTTCTTCCCCCCACTTCCTACCTGCTGTCTTCCTATCCATCCCCCACTCCCTTCTCCCTACCAGTTAACAGCTGTGTACTTCTTTGGCATACATTTGGGATTCACTTGAAGTTGATTACTGCCCTAGCTGTGGCAATGCCCTGCAGAGGCGGCTAATCAGAAATTTGGTGACTGGGGGCAAGGTGAATGTTTCTTCTAAATTCAGGTCAAGGTTGTGTTCCTCAATTTTGGTTCATTAACTTCTACTGTATTCCCATGGTTGGCATACAGATTTTTTGTCAAGTCTTTCCTCTAGGGCTGAATTCTGTGCATCCTTATTTACCTGTATTGTATTATTTCTTTTATTCTTTTGTCCCCAGCCCCTGTAAATTGCTGCAGGGTGGATTTCAAACCACACCAATGCTAGCAGCTACCTTGTTAAAATATAATGGTCCACCATATGTCATGGCCTTATTACTATTGTATTATTTATAACCTGCATGCCCACAATGCCCCTTTTTTGCAGTACCACTGCCTTTACAATTTCCATGTTTTCCTAAATACAGGATGATCTCAAACTGTGATCAAGAGGGCCCAGGGAGAATAGTAATTAATACACCGACCCATTTATTTTTACCAGTACCCTGGAAAAGCCATTTCAAAAACATCAGATTTCACATCTCTGCACTATATGCATATCATACTGCAGCAATCAATAATCTTGACGCATTATCAAGACACCTCTGCCCTCCTCACATCAACTATTAAACTGAAACATTTCCACTGACAAAAAGACTGCTATTACCTTTTACAGTGTGAATCTATTTTTTCATTACTGTTCAATCACCCATAGCGCAATTATTCTATGGAATATCTAGTTTAAACCTGTATTGTATGCATCCTGTTGTATATCACTATGTCATATTATTATGTGGCTATCAACATAACAAATTCCAAATACATAAACCAATATGAAAGAGTTAACATTTGTTTACTATTCCGTATCTGCTATAGGTTTCGATCCCGCTGGACCACCATCAGATAGTTTCCATGATATATCATTGTTACTGAACGGTGCTCTAGTATGATCCATATTAATAATTATACTAATATATAGGGTTTGTCCGAAAAGTAATGTCAGTGAGTCGATTAAAAAACTTTTATGGATTAGATTGGTGCAACACATTAAAAGGCTTCAAAATAGGCTTCTTCTGCGTCGATACATCGATTCCAGCGAGATTTCTAGGCATCGAAGGCGTCATGGTAGGCCTCCTCCGGAATGTCCTTTAGAGCCTTGGTGCAAGCCTCTTTGACTTCGCCAACTGTCCCAAAATGATGTCCTTTCATGAGAGTTTTCAAGCGCGGAAACAAAAAGAAGTCTGGGGAGCCACGTCAGGACTGTAGGGCGGCTGGGGAACCGTTGGCACCTTTGAATTGGTCAGGAAGCGGGTCACGAGGAAGGCGGTGTGGGCTGGCGCATTGTCATGGTGAAGTTTCCAATCGTCCGCGATGTCGGGCCGGATGAGACAAACACTTCGTTTGAGTCTCTTTAGCACTTCCATGTAGAATTTGGCGTTGATGGTTGTACCATGTAGTACAAACTCACATTTTCGTCGGTGGTGCTTGTTGATGGCCGTCCAGCGCGGGCTTCATCGTCGACCTCTTCACGGCCTTCTAAAAAGGCCCTGTGCCACCGGTAGACCTGACATTCCGACAAACAATCATCACCGAAGGCCGTCTTTATCATGGGAAAAGTTTCCACTGCAGACTTGCCAAGTTTCACACAAAACATGATGGCAATCCTTTGTTCCAAGGAGCGCTGCATTGCGGCTTGCACGGGAGACAAAAACGAGTTTCACGGAAAAGCCTTTCGTCACTCTCAGGAAGTTCGGAGACGACTAAGCGACCGCGGGTTCATAAGCTGACTTCCCCCTCCACCGATCCCAACCGGTCTGAGAGTGCTGCGACATATAGTCACTTCACAATAAAATAACTGACATTACTTTTCGGACAAACCCTGTATATTTCATTACCAACTTCTACAGCTTGTTGTGTTACTAAACTGTTAATATCAGGCTTCAAGGTTAAAACATTGTTTTAAATCTCCGTCAGAATGTTAAAATTTGTTACTTGTTAATTAATTTTACACTGGAATTATTTTGAAGTAAAGTGAATGTCTGTGATGATATGTCAGAGTAGAGGCTACATTTCTATCTTGGGAGTCGGCACTGTTTTTAGTTTGTTACACATATGTTATGTGGGTGATACACAAAATAGCCAGGTAGTTTAGAAAGTAACAGACTGTGTACCTTCTTTAACAAAAATATATGCATGCACATACATGCTTTTAAACATATGCACACACATGCACATACACACTTTCAATCTCTGTGCACAATGATTGGATTAGTGAAGAATGAACTGGAGGATATGAAAGAAGTGGCTGTGGCATAATTTATCCAGCATTATTTGAAAGGGCTTCAGAAAATTTCTATCTGAGAATTCCTAAATACAGAGTAGTGATAACTAATAAATTACAATATTCAGTCCTAAGTACTTGTTGAGATGTTAACTTTCATGGTGAAATATATGCCCACATATGCATCTAACGCAGGCCGCGCCATAGCTCAAGCGGTTAGTCGCTGGCTTCCCACCCCAGTGACCCGGGTTCGATCCCGGGTCTGGTCAAGTGGGATTTGTGGTGGGCAAAGTGGCGCGGGCAGGTTTTCTCTGAGTACTTTGGTTTCCCCTGCCAATCTTCATTCCACCAAATTCTCCATCACCACAATCACTGAGGGCAGGTACAATAGGTCAATGAGTGGCCACCATGCCAGGTGGACCCAGTTTGACTCCCCCCCACCAAGCGAATTAAAAAAAATGCACCTAACTTGAATCTGATTACACAATGATGACCATTGTAGCTTAAACTACAGTCAGTGTCTAAGAAAAGACAGCATACGTTGAAAATGATTAGAATGTATTACAATTATGGGAAATGGAAGCATTTTGAATGGCTTGTAACTTTAAAACATATTTGGAAGTGGTTTTCATCGGTGTATGCCTCTCATTTATTTTACTAGGCACATATACTGTACTGTACAATGATACTCAATAATACTGAATGAAAAATATTAAGCCTGACTGTATATTGTTAACAGAAGAATCCCATGGGAAAAAGTCTGAAAACAGACACACATAGCCATTAGAACAACATGAACTTTTTATCTTTCATTTAATCTCTCACTCTCATCAAACACAGAAAATTACTGCAGGGTTTGCAGTGTCACCTACCTTCTCTTTTCCACTATTTCCTTTTTCATCATCTTTTTCATCTTGATTATCATCCAACATTTCTTCAGATTTTTTCTCATCTTTCCAATCCCTTTTCTTCTCACCATCGTCACTCTCATCTCTGAAAATTTGCACATAAATTAATTACAGCACCTTTGAAAGCAGGGTAACGTCTATTTGACATTCCTTTCCTATTAGTGCATAAGACGTTACATATTCACTCCTACGCTGGCATAATTAGTTATAAAATATTACTTTTCACTTTTCATAGCTTACTAAATGGGACTCTTAGCAAACTCGCCTGAGAAAAATTAAAAAAAAATAATCCCAACAGGTGTCCTTTCTTTGACGATTCTGGTACTACTGCTAATACTGACACTTTTAAAAACAATACAACAATCACATGACAAAATAATTCAAGTCGGAAACAACAGACTCCAGGGAAGCAGATGATATTACTGAAGACATAAATAGCTACATGTACAGATAAAATTATAGCCAACTTCACAACAAAAATCCAACAAATTAGAAAAATAATCTAAGTGAATTCTCTGTGGTCTGACGAACAGGATATATAAATTTTACGACTCTAAATGTCATGTTTTAGGTTCAACATTTACTCACAGATTTGCTCCACCACTTCTATGCTGAAAAGTAAAGATGTCGAAGATATTGCTAATGAGCAGAAAGACATTTACTACCCAATATTTCTAATGCTGAGAGAAACAACAATCCGCTACCAAATCAATTTCACTGCTGGGTAGTTCCACAAACCCATACTCCAAGACACTTCTAAAATGCATACTTAATCACTATTCCATCCATTTTCAGTAGGGATAGATCAGTCAGCATGGCAACCAGGCTACAGGAAGGAAAACCACGGAGTCCAACTTCTTGCAGAGGAAAGAGACTTTCTCTTCTGCAGCATCCAGACTGACTCCAGAACCCAACAAAGCCTCCTACCAAATTCCATCCTAGGAGTTATTTCCTTGTGGGTAAAATGACCATGATATGAAGCTGACCACTCACTTCCAACTAGTATCAAACTTATGAATACATCTCTCCCCATACACCTTAAATGCATGGTGCCTAACTATGCACTGGAAAAACCTTACTGTTCTAGTCAATTCCTTATAGAACTGGAGAATTTACATAACCATTTGAGAAATCCCAACTGTGAAGCCAGAAGAGAGAGCCATTGATAGGGTGTGGCTCTGCAAACACAGGTGCTGCCAGGCAACAGATTTGTAACACAAAACGATGGAGTAACTGGGAAGTGGTGTTCTCTACATGGTCTGTGCAATAGTTACAAACAGAAGAACTGCTGGAAGAGGCGTCTTCTATGTGGCTATGCCAAGGTTACATAACGAGCAGCAGCTGCAATTACGAGAGTCATGAGATGGCAGTGAGAAGAGTAGGATGTTGGTGTGAGATAGCTGCCAGCCTGGGAATAAGTTAGTATAGTGGAGTGAGTTAGTCAGAGGAATGCTGCAGTGTGCGCGCTGTAGTGAATTGCAGAGTGTGAATTAGTAATAGTGCTACAGTTACTTGTAACTGCGAGTTGTGTATAAGTGTTCAATAAATCCAATTACCAATCCAAACCCTGTCTACAGTCAATCATGTGACTATATATATATAAAAGGTTCAAGAAAAGAAATAAAAATATGAAATTTTGTGACCCACAATAAGAATGGAGTGTCAGTGAACATTTACATTCAACAGTAGTGTCTGACAATGATGCCAAGTGTGTTGTAAATAATAACAGAAATGGGATGAATTAAAAGAGATGCCCTGCTAGCAAAGAAAGTGAATTTAGATAAGGCACACATTTTCACAGAAACACACAATATAATAGGTCTAAGTGATAGCCACTACATCCCTCTCAAACACTGGGCTTTCTTGGAACTATATAGTATTATAATCCAGAAGACTGTACTCTTAAAATGCTACTATAGGTCGTCCAGAAAGTAAAGACCAATAGGTGATTAAAAATGAATCAAATTAAGAAAAATATTTTTATCATTACTACAGACCTTAAATCAATTTTCTACATAATCCTCATGATGATTTAGGCACTTGTTAGAATGTGACAAGTTTCTGTATGCCTGCAATGTATAAATCTGTCACCAGTCCACCAAACCAGTCTTTTACCATCTTCTTCACTTCTTCATCGCTCCCAAAGCACATGCCACCCCAAAACTGCTTCAAGTGTGTGATCAAGTGAAAATCACTTGGAGCCAGGTCCAGACTGTATGGAGGATGGGGGGGGGGGTCCCAGGCAAAGTCAGCAAGTAGCGCACTTGTACTAGAGACAGTATGTGAGCACGCATTATCATGCGGCAGATCCATTCCTGTTGACAGCTGGCATCACTGGTGGTTTTAGATGACATGTCAGAGATACTTCAGAGTTGCACAATGACACATCATTGATAGATGGCTAGGACGTTCTGGGTTGATATATGTTTGAATTTTATGGAGTTTGATGGTGAATGAGAATGATGCCAGTCCAGAGATTGATGTTTACTCTCAGGGATGATATATGAAACCCATGTTTCACCTCCTGTGACTATCTGGACAAAAAATTATTGCCCTCTTGGGTGATACCACTCTAAAAATGTCAAAGTATCATCCATATGTCTCGTGATTTTCAGTGAGCATCCATGGCACCCATACTGCACTTTTTTTTTTTTTGAGATACTCCATAACAATTTCATGAATCAGAGAGAGAAATTTGAGGAAATTTCGCATGAATTTCATCAAGAATGAAACGCCCATTTGAACTGATGTGTTGACCAATCCTGTGTTTCAAGTCCTCAGTGATGAACAGATGCCCATGTTGCTCATCATGAATATCTGTTCTACCCCCATTAAACATTTGATGCTACTTTCTCACATTTGAATCATTCATTACACCTTCCACATATATCTCAGTAAGCTGATGGTAAATTTCAATTGGACAGATTTTGTACATTAAAAAACTGAATTACAGCTCACACTTCACAATCTGCTCATTTCTAAACACTACAAAAAAAATTGCAAAACAATATCACTGCATTCTTCGCTTGGCTTGTTACTAAAATACTACTGAGGCCCGTTAACCTTGAAATGGTGTCATTTATTGACCTGCACAAGTTCTATGTGCAAACTGTCTTTACTTTCTGGATGCCCCTGGAACTCCATGTTTACAGTGGGCTTAAGGTGGGACCAGAAAAAATATTCAATATATGGGGACTTAGCTAGACATGGGGGCGCACCACAGCTCAAGCGGTTAGTCGCTGGCTTCCCACCGCAGCAGCCCGGGTTCGATTCCGGGTCTGACCAAGTGGGATTTGTGGTGGACAAAGTGGCGCTGGGGCAGGTTTTCTCTGAGTACTTCGGTTCCCCCTATCAATCTTCATTCCACCAACTGCTCCACAATCACCCTCACCTATCATCTGGGGCTGGTACAATAGGCCAAAAGTGACCATAGTACTAGGGACTTAGTCCCACCCCACTAAAAAAAAAAAAAATAGCTAGATGTGGGAACACATACGGATTTCACTGCACAGATGGATGCTTCAGGTTATGGAAAAGAGCTCTTGATTCATGAAAACGTGAATTTTTCAGTGAGCATCCGCAAAAATGGGTCATAAAGACCTGGCCAATGTAACACAGATTACATACACAGTGGAACCCCCTTTAATGTTTCTCACTTTAAACTCCTCCTTCATTTAGCATTCAATTTAACGCACGCACGCACGCCATCATCATGTGACATCTTTTGCCATTTTATTTCAAAACACACAGTAAAGAAATATCTAAAGAGGCTTCCTTCCCTTACACTTTAAGTTCTTAGAGTTTTATATATATATTTATTACCTGAGATACAGGACAATCTAAAGCAGAAGCTACAAATGTAAATAAAGTGAATGATAGCGATGAATTAGATACATTACAAGAAGTTTGAATGTTGAAGTGACCTTGGTGATATGAATTTCATGATGAAATTGGAAAAGACAGTATTTACAAGAGGTGCACAGATTCAGTATCAGGCAGTGGTCATTAGGGCTGATGATTCAATAGATGACACAAAAGAGACATGCAGTCTCACAATTAACAAACATTTTGTAATGAAGTTTCAAAGAGCATTTGCAGTGTCTCATACAAGAGGGTACCCAAAAGAAACCGAACTTATTTTTTTTTAACTTATTTATTCAAATCTTAAGCACAAACCTTCAATCCCCTCCAAAGTACTCTCCACTTACACTAATACACTTGTCTAGTCTTTTATTCCATTTTTCAAAACATTGTCTAAATTCATCTTTTGAGATGCTTGACAGCGCCTCCGTCATTTTTTCCTTCACCTCAGCAACATCAGCAAAACGTTTTCCTTTCATGTCTCTTTTCATTCGAGGAAACAAAAAAAAGTTGCACGGGGCAAGGTCGGGTGAGTATGGAGGGTGAGGAACAGGGGTCATACCATTTTTGGTCAAGAATTGTCATACAGACAGGGCTGTGTGAGCAGGGGCATTGTCATGATGGAAAAACCAGTCACCCGACTGCCACAAATCTGGCCGCTTCCACCGCAAACTGTTGTGCAATCTTTTCAAAACTTCCAAGCAGAAAGCCTGGTTAACTGTCTGACCCTGCGGAACAAACTCTGAATGGACGACTCCTCTCACATCGAAAAAACAAATCAGCATTGTTTTCATGTTTGATTTCACCTGACGAGCTTTCTTGGGGCGAGGCGAACTTGAAGTCTTCCACTGGCTTGATTGTTGCTTTGATTCAGGATCGTAAGCATAGCACCAGGTTTCGTCACCGGTGATAATTTTTGAAAAAAAGTTTTGATCATTTCGGGACTCTTCTTTCAAAGCACAGCATGCTTCCACGCGACCTTGTTTTTGTTCAGCAGTCAGCAGTCGTTGCACGAATTTCGCAGCCACCCTTTTCATTCCCAAATCTTCTGTCAAAATTCAATGAACTGAGCTCTGAATAACTCCCGACAGCTCCACAATTTCTTCAATGGTCCATCATTGATCTTCCCTGATGATTTCACGAATTTTTTCAACATTTTCATGTGTTTGGGCCGTGGGAGGACTACCAGAACGAGGTTTGTCATCAATTGACATTTCACCATTTTTGAAACGGGAAAACCATTCAAACACTTGAATTTTCCCCATAGCATCGTCTTTATACGCCGTTTTTAACATTTCAAGAGTTTCTGTTCCACTTTTCCCGAGCAAAAAGCAGAATTTCACCGCCGCATGCTGTTCACGAAAATCAGCCATTGCAAAAACGACGATCACACGAAACATTTGTCACTATAAACTCTGCCGAAAGTAGTCCTTACCTTCTTAAGCAACAGTAGTCGGCTTATCGACTCAAGAATGTTAGCTCTATGCGCTCATACCGGCAAAACGCAGTACTACAAAAGCTCTGCCCATAAAAAAATTAGTTCGGTTTCTTTTGGGTACCCCATCGTATATTTTGAATTTCAGGCCATACACAGCTGTGCTTTTGCAAGGGTGTCCAAAATCTCCTCACCAATTAAATACATTATTTAGTCACTTAAAAATGGTGTATGATAATCAATGTAAGTTACAAATTATAATAATGGTCTATACTTTTGTTTGACCTAAATTTTGCAGTGTCTTGACATGGCACTATAAAAATTAAAGCTCGCACAATCAGAGCTAATGCAATTCAATAACATTTTTTCATTTAGAAAACTGTCATTTTGTATTTCAGTTTTCAAGTACATTCATTTGCTTATGGTCATTTAATATCGCTGTTTGCAGGTCAGACTATGTATTGTTAAACGACAGATCAGTGAATGAATTGCAAGAATATGCACAGAAGCAGACACAGCCTAATTTGAGGTTTTACATCAACTACCTGGAGAAACTGAGGAAAACCTCAAGAGATCTCTTGGCTGAGATCTAACATCGAACCTCCACAAATATGAAGGAGTACTATCCATGTGACTGTAACTTTTAGTTTTGTGTAAATTACCCTTAATTTTCTATATATATTTACACATAAATGAGATAGAAAGCAATGCTACAAACAACAAAAATTATGAAAATTCAGTAACATACTGAAGAGACAGAGTGAAGAGATGGATTAAAAAATACACTTCTGAACTCAAAAGATACCCAAAACGCATTTTCATTACAACAGCAGGAATGACTTCTCACTCAAGATTACAATAATCATTATGTAAATGTTAAAATACAGGAACAAAAGAATTAAAATGTAGAACTATTTATGCAGCTTTTCTTTAAAATTGGAGTTTACACTGCATTATACATCAGATACAAACCTAAGTTGGAATTCTTTCAACTTATGACCCCCCCCTCTCAAGTTTGCACTCAACATGTTAGCTGCAGCAGCTGTCCTTCCAACCCAAACTATCTGCATCTACATCCTTTCGGTTTACAGGGGGGAAGGGAAAAACTCCAGTTCTTTTTAGATGAAGACAACTAATAGCACACCTCTTCAGTTATTCCATGAAAATTTCAATTCATTCTGCCTTCCAACAGAGAATCTAACATACAAGGAACTGCACCTAAATGTCAAGTGATGTTTGGCAGCAACATGTTAAGGTGTACATTGCTATTACCTAACTTATGGTGGTACCTGAGAAGTCAAGGGTAAAAACATACTAGAAAGAACTGGGAAGGTAGTACACAAACCCATTTTAATGTTTATCATTCATTTTAACATGCATAATCATGGCAAACTTGGATTAGTGCAACATAAGTGAACTACAGAATGTTGTTGCACCAATATTTGCCTGGAGAAAGTGAAGAAATCCACGAATACATGGCTTTAGGATTAAAGTCCAGACAAACCTGAACATTAACATGTGGAAACAAAACTACAATGTATTGTAGAAAGCAATGCAAGACAAGAGGATAAATATGGACTCCATGACAAGCTGTGATAAATTCTACACCCTGTGATAGTTCTACCACAATGCACATTTTCAAAACTTTGTGAATAAGGGATGCACAGTTAGATGGGATACAAAAGCATTTGAACTGTGCAGTCAAAATATGACAACATGCCAAAAGTCCTGTGATCTTCATAAATTTTACACAAGTATAAATAATAATGAAAATACTCCTCAAAGGTCTTCCACACTGCACTGCAGGCTCATATGAATCGTACAACCATTCACCATAAACAAGCCTACTTAAACCAGGTACTCTGAATCCTGAACACAGCAGCTGAAACACTGACAGCCTCCTGTTTCAGAAATGAATTTGTATTTATCTGAAAACAAATACACATCCACAAACTGGAAAATTTGCATTATAATTATAAGCTGTCCATGATAGAAGAGGAACTTTTTAATTTGCATATGAAGTTGCAGTTTAACGGATGAAGAAATGTTCAAGGAACATTTACAGTATACATTTAAACGTGAGTGTACTGGGTTGTCATATCTGGACACACATCTGATGCAAAATTCGTGCAAGGAAAACACTGCAGTTCAATTCTTCTACCATCGTTGACAGAACTGTCCACTTCAAAGGATTACTCCAAACACACACCTTTAGCAAATTATTTCAAGAATAAATTTTATCTGTATCTAACACTCATTTATGCCAGAATTTTATTATCGTGAGTATATATTTCCAAGACATAATATCGCACATGACTTAACACAAGCAATCAAAATCATTACAAAGCTTTTCTTCTGAGGCTGAATATATTCTCAGAAATGTCTTTTCATTTCAATGTATCTGAAAGAAAGACTGCTCTGATACTGGTATGGTTCATAACTACATATCTGAAAACTTGGACCAATAAAATTCTAAATTTAATAAATTCTTTGTAGACTTTGTCAAAGTTGTTCCAGTGAATACTATTTCAGACCAATGTAGAATGGGGCTGTTACTGCCTCCAGGCAGAAGAAGAATCATGACAGAGCTTGAAAGCCATTATTCACTTAATGACTATTGATGTGAACCCTTTTGATATTCCTTCCCAAATGGCACACATAAGTCAACTTACATATGGTGTACAGTAACTTCCACTTATAGACAAATGTCCATTTTCAGTAAAATGTAATATCTGATGTTAAATGATTTAAGTTGCTCTTTGAAAATGATGCTCATCTGAAACCATGAACTCATTTGTACATTAGAGTGTGTAAGGAACACAAAAATTATCCAATCTGCTTTTCTAAGCAGGAAATTGGTCCATACACCAGAACACAAGATGGAACCCACATACAGTGTAGATTCTCCACATGCAAATGAGCCTGTTATCACATGATAGGGATTACAAGATATGATTAGACATTACCAGTATTTAAAGCTTCAGAAGGAAGAGTTATCAATAATAATGCAGCTGTATCAGTACAATGAAAGATAAGCTGCAGGGAAACTGCAGAACATCTTCTTCAGCAAATAGAATCCAGTCTCACAATGAGTACCAAATGAAAATTAAACACAAGAAAAAAGTGAATAAATTTTAAACTTTTAGAATTTTGAACAGATATACAAGTGTAGTGAACTAATTATTGTGACATGTTTGTTTTAACACATTGCAGTGAGTAGAATTGGAGAAGTACTGTCGACATGAACAATAAAAATATGCTTGTATATTATTACTGTGCATCTACACCAGGGAAGGAGCATGAACAATCCACAAACACACAAACATGTGAGGTCATTTATACCTTACACATACACAATGTGAAGATCCATTAGTGCAATGTTTCTTATAAATGGTGTGCTTGGCCATATGTTGGCAATATTAATCATGTTCATGTATATAAGTTTTGCGATGTAGCTGTAACCCAGAGATGACACAGCTTGCTTGGGAAACTTCTTGATTCTGTGTGCGTAACGAAGACGCCACAGAAAGAACAGAAGGAAAGTAATGTTGAAAGGCATCTGCTTACCTCTTAACATCCTCTTCATCAGTTTTCTTTTCAGCTCCACTACTTATATCATCCTCCTGGTCTTTGTCTTTCTTAGGTTCATTGTCATCATCCTTTCTGTCAGCTTTACCCCCAGGTTTGGTGCCTGAGCCACTGCGACTTTTCCCTACGCTAGGACTTCGCAACCCCTGGCTACCACCAGGCTTCCTCTCAGGACCCCCCCTGGCAGAGGCAGGGCGACGACCCTGCGTGGGCTGTATGTCATCATTGCAATTACCCATATGTCAGCAGTTGGAAATCATGGATTGGAATCAACATGGATATAGAAGTTGTTGCAGCATGGCCCAGGTCTTTGAGATACAGTGGATTTATTGATAGAAGAAATGAAACAGGCTGCAGATGCTGATCAATGTCTGAAGCTTCACAATGGTATAGAACATTGTTAGTAGAACATGACAAGAGATACAAGATTCAGAGGTAATAAACAAAATGCTTGCTTGTAATGTTTTCTCCAAGTACCTTTAACATAAATTACCTCAGTTCTGAAGACAGCACCTGATTCTTAGAACTGGGTTACATATAAATTCTTGGTCTTATCAGAGGACATATCTGCAAAATTTGAATCAGATTAAATTATATTATACTACACACACAAGTCCAATTCCCTCAGAGGAGTAAAAATTACATGATGCTGTTGATTTTCACAGTTGGATGAGGTGCTGGAGAGCCTTTTAGTGCCTAACAGCATAACAAGCTTTGTAGAAAAACTGTTTAGGAACAGAGAAATGATTGGAAATCTTGTGATATCTCTAGAGCAATATTTACTGATGACATGAACAGTTTTGTTAATTCCCCTAAAAAGCCTAGGACAACTTTTAGATGATAAATATCCTTAAAATGATTTGTAAGGATGAAGATTCATGACACTTGGTTAGAAACATTACATAACTTGCAGAATCATGCATTTCTCAATGCAAGCTATTTCATTTAGAAGACTAAAATAACATTATACAATAATATTACACTTTAACCTTTATCATACCTTATTTAAATAATTCTCAGGGGAGACCAATTTCCAAACTAAATGACAGAATTTATTCAAAACTGTTTCCCCTTTTCTAAAAGCGTAAATTTCTCCAAAACTATTAATCACAACAAATAAAAAGTATCTTAAAGCAAACAAAACGTATATGACAGCAATGCAAACACTTCATTTCTATAAATTTGTTATATGTAAGACTTCTGTATGAACCTGCTATGACAGAAAATACCAAAATGGTAGATGTCTGATTTATTTGCCTCTCTGACATATGAATCCTACAGCTGTTCCACACTAAGGCACTGACCTCACAAATTCACTTTAGTGTGATAATCCACAAAACATGTGACAGTACACAGGCCAATTTCATAGGTAAGGTGTATGCTTATCTTTGTTGTGAGTGAACAGACACAACACTGCAAATGTTTTCCTCAGGATGGCCAATGCTGCTTCCTACTGCCATACAAAAACTTTATTTTTTTTCTGCAAATCATAGTTTATTATATAGGTGCCTGCCATTCTGTGGCTTGGCTACAAAGGACGCATTCTGTTTCAGGCATCAATAAATTTACAAGTTTCACGTTGTTTCTATGCTCATCACAGAATTTTCCATCTTATGGTGGTAGTTTGTACACTTGTGCTTGTAGCTTATACAACAATGCTATCAGCAGCTCAGAATATAATTCACTGAATGGCAGATGATTATGAAAATGGAAGTGGTCAAAAATGAAGTAATATCTTGAGGAGAGGGACTGAGGAAATGTACACATATCTAAATTAGGGTAGTCAGTGCTTTGCTGAGATTCAAACTGATGACCTCTCAAATACAAGTTAGAAATATCATGATCTGAATCAACTTTCTTCATATGGCGCATAGTAGTCGAGATACTATTACTCTGTCTCCAAACCATAACCATCAGGTCACTGCTAGTCCGTAAGCGAGCTAAATGCTCTTTTCATCCACAACCCATTTCTTTTCTTGCTACTTCTACAGAACCTGCCACCCTCCCAACTCTGGTCACTTTTACCCTGGAGATGGAGGGAGTGTATTTCTCCAAAATACTGGTACCCTCCTACCAAATGCATGATGTCATGACCCTGTGGATCATAACATATATAACGGTGAAAGAGTTCTCAAATGTATTGAGCATTTCTTCCCAGATTTGTTAAATTAGATCCCAGCCCAACAATTATGGTCATAAGAAAGCAATTTCAGGTAGAAACAATGGTGATAGTACTTGACTGTCTGATCTACTTAAAATACTAAGTGGATCTGAGTTCTCAAGCCCTATGGTCTGCCAGAGAAGAGGTGGACAACCTTGAGGCATTCCTTACTGGCCATTCCTGCTCTGCCCCAAAGTCCTACAACTAAAGTATGTGGTGCAATCCAAAAGTTCCTGAAATATGTTAATAAAAACTATTACATCTTACCTGGATCTTATTCTGCACCATCACCTTCAAAGTAGCCCCCTTGGGAGCTCATACACCGATCCCAGTGTTACTGCCACTTTTGAAATGCATCCTGGAAGTCTTTCGTTATCAGGGTGTTTAGTACTGTACGCGTTTCCGCTTGAATTTCCACAACTGTATCAAATCTTCGCCCCTTCAACTTGATTTTCATCTTGGGGAAGAGAATGAAGTCGCATGGAGCTAAGTCTGGCGAGTACGATGGATGCGGAACAACTGCCATCTTGTTTTTAGCCAAAAATTCCTGCACAATGTAAGCCATATGTGGTCGTGCATTGTCATGGTGGAGTACCCAGTCATTCATGAGCATCAACGTTTTCTCCTCATGTCCTCCCTCAAATGCCTCAGAACATCACGACAGAACTCTTTATTGAGTGTCTGACCAGGAGGTACGAACTCCTTATGAACAATGCCATCAATATCATAAAAACAGATCAACATGGACATAATGTTGCTCTTGACTTGTTGAGCTTTTTTTTGGCTGAGGTGAAGAAGGGCTCTTCCATTGCGATGATTGCTGCTTGCTTTCAAGGTCGTAGCCATAAACCCAACTTTCGTCACCAGTGACAACCTTCGAAAGAAAGTTTGGATCCCCTTGAAGCTGTTGTTGAAGTTCCCTGCAGACTTCCAAGCAATGCGGCTTCTGTTCATTTTGCAGCAGTCGTGGCACAAACTTCGCCACAATCCTCCTCATGTACAGTTCCTCTGACAAAATTCATTGACATGTATCATAACTTAGCCCCAAGGTGTTACAGAGGTCTTGGATGGTCAGTCTATGATCTTGCAGAATCAGATCCCTAACTTTCACTACATTTTCTGGTGTGGTGCCAGTTGACAGCCATCCCAAACGATCGTCATCATCAGTCGATGGTCGGCCATTTTTTAAATGCTTATACCAGTCGTATGTTTGTGTCTGGCCTAAATTGTTGTCACCAAAGCTTGCTTCAATATTTGGTGCATTTCTGCAGCGGTTTTCCCAAGTTTAAAACAAAACTTTATACAGACATGCTGCTCTCAGGTCAGCCATTGAAAACCGCAAACTCACGGAAACACAACAATGGAAATACGTTCACCAACAATAAACCCAAACACTCAACTCGACGCTGCTTGCCACACTGATTCAAGAAGGGTGTGTGGGGAGACATCTAGCAGTATTTCGATATACTCATAACCATTCGCGCGCAAAATTCGAATTTCGGGAACTTTTGGATTGTACCACGTACGTACATGTACAACATAATCATGCAAATGTTGGTAGGTCAGCATTATGTAACTCAACCACCACAATTCAGTGATGGAAAGTCTGAATGAACTGTACCCCTAACAGAAACAATACTGCTTGCTGCACTTTGTTAAGTATAAGTATAGAGAAGTCACATACAAAATCTTTTTAACCAACCTCTTTCTATTCATAAGCCTATTATCTTGCATACGTTATTAAAGTCAATCCGTGTCAGACCACTTGCAAGCACTTCAAAAATTGTTTGTATTTTGGTGATAGCAATATGACACTCGCATAAAGGGCTAGCAGGTCTGAAATTTCACTGCATCATGAAAGCATATAAGGGGCACAGTGTTTGCATACCGTCACATGGTACTTGAGGCACCAGGAACACTCTTCTTAATACCACAGGGGAGGTACTTTGGGATGATAAAGGTTAAAAGTATGAGAACTTTCACAACTCCAGCATGTGAAGCTAATTCATGCAATAATACTCCTACCTTATTGTACGGTTCTTGTCTCCTAGATTCTGTACGTTTACGCCTGTTCGGACCAGGATCTTGATACCTTCCTGGACCATAGCCAGAATGCTGTCGATATCCAGAGCCTACTGAATTTCCCATATGATCAACTGCACCCAAACTCAACAGAGATGGCACCTAAACAGTTAAGTGAAATTCACTGAAGGCCTGAATGTGTATTGTCACAAACTTTACTTCCTGAAGATAAATTTACAGTTTTTAATGTTTAAAATATCTGAATTAATTTTGAAACAAGCAAACTACCGCTATATACTAAGAAGTAGCTACCTGGGGAGGCTGCTGTTGAGGTCTCAACAGTGTTGACAGCAGGTTACTGGCAAGAGCAAGCTGTGCTTCAGGTGATGACAACTGTGACAAAAGATTTGATGTCTGCGGAGGTGTTGGCAGCAAGCCTGTTATTCCAGCCCTTCCTCCTGGAACCAACCCTCCTTCCCATGGATTCACATTCATCTGCTGCCCAGAACGACCACCATAGTGGGCAGATGAATTCATTTGATAGGACTGCCTACCATCACGACGATAACCTCTGTTTTGAGACATCTTCATAAAAACTGCTCTGTAAGAAAAACAAATCCTGCCGATAAACATGTGCATTTCAGTCACTTTAAATTTCAACTAAAAAAAATATATATATTTAACCATCTACAATATGAGATCACCACAGAATTAAAAATAGAAAATTCATGAAAGACAACATACTGCTTGCCAGAATAGAGACATCAGTGAGCACAGTCACCAGATCCTTTTCTATATGAGACTACAGTAAGATGTGTATACCTATCCCAACTTTACCTCCCCAATGACATCTCTGTTCCGACAGACACCAGCCGAAATAAATACACATGATCTATACAGGAAATACGTCTTCTCTAATAACCAGCAATTTGAGGAACAGCTGTAATGCAGTGATGTTGCTTGTGATCACACACTGCTGAACCTCCCTGGCAGAAGGCCCAGACACTCCTCCCACCAACTTGGGTACACTAACATTCAGACTACTAGCAGTTCTAACAAACCTACGGCCTAACACTTAATGTTACGTGTTTCATACTGTAATGGATTTGATCAACCATTGCCAGGCAACAGCTCTGTAAACACAGTCCAACACGCAACAATAGAGGATGATGTGTTTTCTGTAGATCAACCAACAAGCCAATAGACTGGCTGGATAGTGATCATGCGATATGTGTTTACAGCACGTCCATCTTCATTCTGCAGCATTACAGAGTAGTAGTAGTGGTGGTTGAGGCATGCAAACAAGAGGATAGCAGAAAGCTGGAGGAGTACAGAAGATTACAGGATGTCAGCCAGTGAAGATCTAATGTGTGATTTGAAGACTTTATGTGTATTACAGTGCAGTCGTATTGGGAGTGTGCGATTTAGTGAGACTTTTATAGTTCGTGTGTTTTAATTGTGTTACCAGGAAACGACTAGTGTGTATGTTAACAGTGAATTATAAAGAGTAGAAATACCAACAGCACTATAATTATGTGTAATCACTGGATGCGAGTAATAGGATCAAATAAACCCATTCATCCAATCCAGAACCCGGATTATTATTCACTAATACAGGTGATAACTGATGTCAGAAGTGGTATGGATTGGATCAGATTGAACACATTATTGAATTTATGACATTGGGTAGTGTATCGCCACATTATGGAGACAGAAAAAATGATGGCATGCCTGCTGGCTAAAAGAAGAACAGGCCAAGAACACATGAAAGAAATGATGAACAAAATGAAAAACGAAATCAAAGAGGGCATGACTGCCAACAGAAAGGCCAACCAAGAGAACACGCAAGACATGTTGGCCAGGATGGCTGCTAATAGGAAAGACGACCAAGAAGAAATGAAAGATTCACAATTAGAGCATGGTCGATGTTCAAAGAAGACACGGGCAAGTAAAGAAGCCTCTTTGTATTTCCAAGTATAATATGTTCATGAAAGGAGTTGATAGGGCCGACCAGTTCTTGGCCTATTATTCCCTTCCTAGGAAAACAGTAAAATGGACGAAGAAAGTTGCACTGTGCAATTTTCAATTCATTTACTGTTTTCAAAAAGGTGAACAGAAATTCTACTTTGAAATACAAAGCATTTCTGTTGAAACTGGCAAAAGCTTGGGCTACTGACGTCACGGTGGCGGCAGGACCTGCGTCACACACAGACGTAGTGCAGCCAGGGCCATCTGTTCGCACCCACCGGAGGCCAAGTAGACCCCCCTGGCCGACTCTCGGGTGATATGCAGAAACATATTCTCGTGAAAATTGTGAAGAGTGAATATTGCAAGAAGAAACACCCTTCTAGGCACTGTCGTGTGTGCGCAGAGCACAAGAAGAAGAGTAGAACTGCCTACATGTGCAACTTCTGCGTAATACCTCTTCACAAAGGGGAATTTCTCCAGAGATATCAGACGCGCAAGTACTTCTAGGAGCTCTGGTAAGTGTTCTCCAAAAATTTCAGTTCATAAAATTCATTAGGAGATTTTATATTAATTTTTAAAGTGAACAGTGCACAAGTTAGGGTAGTAGGTTTAAAAACGCCGGTCCCCAGGGTGATTTAAATGTTTAAACCACTGGTCCGCAATGTGTTAATAATAGTATTTTACATTTGTACCTATGGAATTTTTATTATATACTAATTTTTCAATTTTATGAATTGTATATTTTAGACTGCTATCGAATTGTATATATTATGATTTAGTTTTTACAGCATGATTGTGACAATGGTAACTATTTACCTGCGTTAGTTATTGCAGTACATATAGTAATCTGACATGTTCTACATCCTAGGCACATTGTAACCAGAGAGGATTCATGGAATTTTAAAATAAATGATTGAATGTAAGTCCAAGTCACATTGCGACTGACAGTCCGTCAGTCTGTCTGTCTTGGTGTCAAATATTTGTTTTTCTTTTTTCTTTCCTTTCTTATATGAAAGTTACTGTCCTGCTCATTTGGGGTGCCCTCTCTGACAAGAGGTCGGGTCTGTCATTTGTCAAGTCATAGTCCGTATTAGTATGTCCATTGTCAGTATTTACATATACTTACATTTTTAATCCTAATTCCTATTTCTATGTACAATATACACAAGACGAATGAATGTAACTGTATGTTCCTATGTAACCTAGAGTCGGACAAATAGAAAACCAGTCACTGTCCGTATTGTTGTGGGCTTTGCCTAGCAACTGCTGTTTACTCATCCTTGCTAAGCAATGAAGCTTGCGTTGTCACACTTGCTTGAATGTGGGCAGTTCCCACAAATTAAATACATATCATTTTATGACCTGATGCAGAACTGAGCTTTTAAATTTTAAAAACTCCCCCAGCTATGAGTGTGTATTAGTGAATGTAAGGACCACCTGCTAAAGGTTATCTCTTCAGTGCCAGGCTTGGTGCACTGCATGCCAGCAGTTTCTGTCACATACCCTGTACGCTTCCCCC